AGCGATGGCGTAGTCCGATGCATCCGTTTCAAGATAGCAGGTTTCGTCCGAATCTGCTTGAATTAAAACGGGTTCGCTTGCGAAAGACGAAAGTAGTGTAGCGAACGCGCCATCCTGTTTCTCGTTCCAGACCCAGGGCTCGGATTTCTTGGTCAATTTCACGAGTGGAAGTGTTAAACCGGCATACCCCTTGATAAATCGTCGGTAATAATTGGTAAATCCGAGAAATCGTTGAATTTCCTTGATACACGTCGGTTTGGGCCAAGTTCGGATGCACTCCAATTTGTCTTGAGCCATCGCGATCTGGCCATCCTTGATGATGTAGCCGAGGAACTCGATAGAAGACTTGAAGAACTCGCATTTCTTCGGCTTCAAATAAAGCGAAAAGGCGCGGATCCGGTTAAAAACCTCCTTGATGAGCCGAATATGTTCCTCCCTCGTTTCCGTATACACCAGAATATCGTCAATGTATACGGTAACACCCTGATCCAATAGGGGGTTGAACACGTCGTTCATGAAGAACTGGAAACTGGCTCCTGCGTTGGTCATGCCCTCTCGCATGACTCGAGATTTGAATGACCCGTAGCGAGTTAGGATTGTAGTCCACTCCTCGTCTTCTTCCCGCATTCGAAGTAACTGATATGAAGTTGGCATATCGAATTTGGAGAAGAAGCGAGCTCTGCTAACTCGTTCTAAGGTGGTGTTGATCTTCGGAAGCGGATACGCGTTCTTCTTTGTCGCATTATTCAATGCTCGAAAGTCGGTAACCATCCTGAATTCTCCAGGAGTCTTCTTTGGTACGAGGAAGACCGGGGAACCAAACCAATGCGAACTCGGTTCAATGTGCCCAATCCGCCTCGATTCGTCGATCCAATTCTTGAGCCACTTGTCTGCCGCAGCAGAAAGCGGATACGGCTTGAGTCGTTTCAACTCCACGTTTGGTAGCAGTTCCACAACGTGATCGTACGACCTGTGGGGAGGAAGGCTGGTGTAATCGCTTTTCCTGAATACGTCTAAGTAGTCATGAAACTCAACTGGGATCACTTGACGCATCTCTTCCGATGCGATGTCGTAATCCTCTTCGTCGTCGTGTTCCAGACCTAATTCCCGTAGCGCTCGAGGATTGACATCTGTGTCGACAACTTCCGGGTCTTGTCTTTGGAGGAACCGGTTTCGCTCCAAATATTCCAGATTCGTTCCCTTGAGAGGCGAATCCGGCTTGATCAAACTGATCTCGCAAGTGTCCCAATCCGTGATGGTACGAAGACCCTTGACGAATGGGACTCCCAGGATAATGTCTGGGGCAGCAATTTCCGCAATGTCGAAGTCGAGGGAGTAGGGACCGATGTGTCCTCCGACATAGAAGACCAAATTCACGTAGTGAGTGATTTCTCCTCGCTGATTCGGATTAGGTTGGTTATCGACCAACCGGAGTCGCTTCGGCTGATCATAAGGGATCGCCTCGACATGCTGGAGTACCTCCGCAGAGGGACGGATGAAATTACAGCTGGCTCCACTATCAATCAGGGCGTCTGTCGTGAAAGAAGATGCTCCTGCATGGAAATCCACCGTGATAAGAGGATCTTGCCCCTGGAAGCGAAATTTGACCCATTCGGTTCGATTCGCTTTGTTTGCCCAGGTGGGAGCCGGAACTGCTTCGATTGTGGCATTTCTAGCTCGTTCGACATTAGGAGTACCTCCTCCATTTCTGCCAGCAAGAACAGGACAGGCTGAAGCGTAGTGTCCGGCCTTCCCGCAGTAAGTGCAAAGGTCGAGGTCGCGGCGCCTCTTCCTTTCTTCATCGGTAATAGGACCTTTTTGGTAAGGAGTCGAACCTCTGGGTTTGACGACCTCCTTCTCGTAAGTTTTGGTCCGTTCGGTGACAACTCGCTCGGATCGAACCGGATTCGGTTCCTTCCTGTTATCCTTGCGAGCGTTCCGCTTCTCGTCTTCTCGGTTGAGAACTCCATCATCGTGAAGCCTATTGTCCGCGTCGACTGCTTCATTCCTGAACTCGTTGAAGTCTGCGAACTCCATCCGTTTGTTCAGGATACCGAGACGTTCCACCACCTTGGCCTTCAGTCCTTTCTTTGCTGCAGCGATAAGGGCTTCATCGTTAAAGCCACACAAGGGACTGTACTGGGTGAATTCGGAGAAGTAAGACGAAGCGGATCCGGTTTGAACCAACTTGTCTAAAGCGGCTTGGGCTGCAGCTTTCTCGTTGGAGCCCCCGAAGTTATGCTTCAAGAACCTCTTGAAGGCATCGTAGTCGTGTAGGAAAAGGGGTTGGTCCGCTTCATCCAACTGGAGATAAGACGAAACCGTTTTAAAAGCCCGTCCTCCAAGAAATCCGATAGCAAAATCGATCTTGGATCCTCCAGTGGGGTAGCGTCCAGGTAATTGTCGGAAGACCATGTTGAGTTTAACGATGAATTCGTCTAACTCCTTGGCGTCTCCCTTGAACGTGGGTGGATCAGCCGGTTTCGGTTCCTTGGTCCGTTTGGCAAGCAGATCCGCTTCGTTCTCCCGAAGGGGAACGTCCCTCATAGGAGTATAGGGATCCCTGGACCGAGCTACCGAAGGTCGATGAAGTTCTCTAGGGTCGATAGTAGTTCCCGCTAAAGATGGAGGGTTGGATGGGTAGATGTTGAACTGCCTTCGAGGAAGGGGAGCCGGAATCTCTTCTCGTGTAGCGAGTTCGTCTCTTTGTTTCCTGATCGTCTGCATGAGTTCCAGGATTTGTTCTTCGAGACGACCAATACGTTCAGAGTCCGTTTCTCTAGGAGCCGGATTCGTTTCGATTGAGCCGGTCCTGGCTCGAGAGAACCGTTGTTCTTCCTCTGGAGGCAGGTCGTGGTTTTCGGAATAGACTGACATTGTCCTAACCAGGTGCGATGAAAAGAAGTTCCGATATGCTGTTACGGCGGAAGTCGCTAATGGGCGATAGGTCCTAAGTCGTAAGGCGTAGGGTGCTTAAGGTCGATCGCAGGTAGTCGGGAGAATGTCGCAAGTTCGCTTAGATGAAGCGGGCTTGGGTGCGGGATACGAATCCAGAGATGTATGGATAAGGAAGGTGATCACTCGGTGTGAGGTACCAGATTCGGTCTAAGGTAAAACGATGAAGCGTAGATACTTAGCGACGTCCTTGAGTTGTAACCTCTCCGCAACACGTCTTGAAGATGTTGTAACAAGTCAGATAGGCGTGTATTGAATGTGATATCGGAACTTGACCTATTACTATTACAGAGCGTCCTCTATCGAAATCGGTCAAGTTCCTCTAGCTATTTATACGGAGACGAGTACGTAGACGAGGCTGGCGAACACTGAAAAGACCCAAGAGAAAAGAATGTCGAAAGATGGCGAAACTGGGAGAACGAGATGGCGAACAGACGAATCCTGTCGAGAGCAACCGGATTCGGTAGAGGAGGCGAGTTTGTGTTTGCATTGTCCCTAGGTACGTCGAGTAAGGTTGTCGAGGTTCTGAGTAAGGTTGTCGTGTACCTCGAGGTCCCTGTACCTGTTTGTGATATGCGTCGGGAAGGTTTGTTGTTTCGGTGAATGGTGAAGGCGAATGGTAGGGACGACCGAATCTGCTCCGAGGGAATCGGATTCGCCTCGTCGAGCCGGACTTAGGTGTATGCTGATGTCCGTAGATCGAACCTGTATGTCGGTAGTCGACTCACGTGATGATCCCGTAACATGCAGTCTCTGGCTCGTCTCGGCATACACTGTGTCTGCGAGGTAATCGCGGACGGCGAAACGATCGGCACCGCCCCAGATGCGCGGCGATTGGCGGATATTCGCTTGATAGACTTCTCTGGTGAAGTGATCCAGGTTGTTGAATCTTCCCAGGCCCCGAACGCGTTCTCGCATGAGGTTCAACTTATTATTCAGGATCTTGCGGACATGTCTCCGGTACCCGTCTTGTATCGTCAGTCGCCTTCGCCTCCGTTGCCCTTGCCCCCGTCGCCCTCGCCTCCATCGCCATCCTCTCCTTCGCCATCCTCTCCTTCGCCCTTGCCCCCTACAGCGGCAGCATCATACACGGCCGTCTATAGCAGTATCTCGCGACCATGCTATCTTCGACTCAATCTAGAATGGGACGACACCACCGCGTGCGATCGGCATGAATTTGTTACGGTCTGCGAAGTCGTCACCTCTAGGGCCGATCAGCTTGAAGGGACCGTCAAAGCGGCCAATCTCGGTTTTACATACGAGATCAGTCAAGAACCTGCCAACGAAACCTGCAAACGATGGCGGATGTTTCCAGCTCTTACCCTCGATCAATCGGTGTCGAACAAACGAGCTCGCGCGAACTAACTTCCATCTCAGTGCAAATCCCTCTGCCGATGTGGAAGTGGAAGGATCCTCAGCTAAAGGGGTCATTTCGAGCGTCAATCGCACATTCCTCAAATCCGCTTTGATCAAGCCCCGAGATCCCCGGGGGGTTGCGCTGGAACATCGACACACGCTTTCTATGTATGAACCGACTCCGCCAACCACGTTTAAAGCCAATGTCTGGGCTAGATACAGGCGACAGCACAACCTCGTAGTGTCCATCTACACAGTCCGCATGCAAATGAACATCAAACACCCCTCACCTGGCAGACATGTTGTTGATATAATGACGGGTTTGGATGATGTCCCTCATGTGAGAGGAGAAGCAGACGGGATGAGGTGTGAGGTCAATATCATCAGTGCACTCAAGACCCAGTCTCTGGAGATAGAGGGGAAGTCGAAGCCCAAGGCATTCAAAGTGTCTAGGTCCTTCGTCATCGCTCATCCTTAAACGTTACGGACCGATCCAGACCGGGCCTACTGGAGCCGACCGTAACATAGAAGAAGCACTTCATCGTTTTGAGACCTTGCCTGCATCATACACGAACTCATATATCGCCTGCACCATACACGAACGCATGTATCCAATCACTAGAGACTTGATACTATACATGATGTACCCTTCCGCATCTGACTGCCATATCGATCCGTCGGGCTATACACAGGGAGTCGCGCCATTCGATGCCTCTGGCACTTGAAACTGTTAAACTGACCATGGACTCGTCGCCAACCGTTTCGACTTGCTACTATCAGCGAGAGAGCGAGAGATGATCCTCGAAGCCTTCCTTGCCTATCACCCGGCGAACTCCTATATCTGCAGACTATCTGGCCAGGTCTGGGATCATAATCAAACAATCTAGTCGGCCATCTGAACAGCAGAGTACATCATGGAATCTACGGAAGGTGCGGCGGCGGCATCGGGGAAACGCACGACGACGGCTTGTGATCGGTGCAAAGAGAAGAAGCGGAAATGTATCGTCACAAATGAGGGCAAAGGGTGCGACGTAAGTACAGTTGTTGACCACTCCTCCTCATCCTCTTCTCCTCTCAGACTCTGTTGATCCTTTGAGACTGATGACAGGTGATCTGGTGGTGGACGTGCTTTACGTGACTTAGCGTTGTGTGAGACTCGGGACCTCCTGCGTTTATTCCGAGTGAGTCGAGCGGTCTACTCCCACAGCAGAATCCTACTTTTCTACGGTGAAGCTCACCCCTGGATGTCATCGCTCAGGCTCTCTACGACAAGCTATATCCGGTCGCTACAACAGAAGATCGAAGAGCTGGAGGGAAGGTTGAACCAGACGCTACCAGGACCTGGACCTAACCCCAATACGGATGTCAAGCCCGATGCTGTCCCTTCCTCTTCCAATCATGATTCAGGGTCTGGCTTCGACCTCGACCAAACCCGACCCCCTCTGATCAACGCCTCTTCGTCGTCATCATCTACGATACCTAGATCGGCATACCCTGTTCTGACGAGCCCGCCTCTTCAGGTTGGACAACATCAACATCACCATCAACAATATCCGCACGTCCTCAACCCGAACTATACTGCCACCTCTACCAACAATAACCCGAATAACAGCTTCAACTTGAACCTGGAAACTAGATCACACATCAGCTCTCCTCGATCCATCCACTCCATCCACTCCCACTCTCCCTCGGATCGCCTTGCCTTCCTGCACCCCCCGCAATCCTCTCACTCTGGCCAAGGCTATTCGGGCGTAACGAGACTCGGACACCCGGAAGCTCATAGGGTCTGGAAACATCGAACGTTGTTACCTCAAGATGTTGCCGATGGGGATACAGAGTTTTTGCATCCGGTTACGAGGACGGCTTATCCGTTGGATCTGGATACGACGCTTAGGGAGATGCGCGTCGGTGGAAGTGGAAGTAGAAGTGGGGTCCCAGCGGATGCAAGAGCGTCACGGAAAGGAGGTGGAGATAGACCTGGAAACAGCGTTATCGGGCCAAATGGAAGGGTCGATCTGGATGCGACCACGACGGCCAAGGGGAAGGATACTGAGCGGACGGACCAGGACCCGAGGAAAAGTAAAAAGCGGAAGTTGGACGTTGGAGGAGATATTGACGGGAGCCGGAGCGATGACGACGAGGGTAGTAACAACGATCGGACAGGAGTCGGAGACGAGTATGACACCCTGGTGGACACGTTAACGGACCGGGAGTTGCCTAGGAGGATGGTACAGCGAGTCACAGACAAGTGGTTACAAGGAGATGACGTCCACATTCTCTATCAGCAGTGAGCCGACGGACACGTCCTATCCGGCATGAAGTGACCACCCTGACGCGGACATATGTTCATTTGGTGTTTCTTCGCAGGTTCTTTGACAATCTAAACGCCTTTATCGCTCTGCTCGACCCGTCCCTCCACACCCCTCAATATTGTCTTCGAACATCCCCACTTCTCCATGTCACCATCCTCGCCGTGACAACATTTGTCTATCGCTCCTCGATCTATCCGGCATTCTTCGAATGCGCCAATGTCCTCCTTGCTCAGGCGTTCATGTCAGGGGAAGTTGAGATAGGTCTATGTCAGAGCTTGAGTCTATTGAGCGTCTGGAAAGAACCGACGGATCACCGATCTTGGCTCAGGGTCGGATACGCGATCAGGTCAGTATGAAGCGCGGAGCCAAAGGTCGCCGACGTCGATGACCTTACGATTGCTGCTCTTTGCTAAACCTCTGCCGTTCGCAACGGGTAGGGCGGCGTATGAACTCGGCCTCCATGAAGCGCCGGTGAGGCCGTTATCAGACGACCCGCTTGCGGCTAGGGAACAGTTGAACAAGGAGAGGACGTTCCGTCAATTGGCCTTGTTTGACCGAACGTAAGCGTCACAGTGATCGCTTTTTCTTGGCGCCGCCATTATTGACGTCCTGTTTTTGCAGCATGTTCATGCTTCATGGACGAACGCAATCGATGATCGGCGTCGAGGTTATCTGGCAGCTCCCTGAATGGCTCGTGGACCACCCGCAAGTATACACCTACGCCGACGGGATGCTCGCAGCTTCTTACCCGCAGAGCGAAGCTATCGCACACCTTTTACACGGGACCGGAACTACTGAGTTGGACAATACAACCTCGTCCTTTTTGGCTTCGAACGTGCAGAACGAGTCGCATGCATGGGCTAGGTGTTGGTTGAGCGATGATCGTACGTCTCCTCGCTTTCAACTCGAAGCACTCCTACCGTCTCAACCTTCTTTTTGTGCACGCTGCAGCCCCGGCTCCTCTCCACCCCGTTTCGAGGACTTTCCTGGTCTTTTACAACTTGACTACGCAATTCGACATCACCGAATGGATGACACGCGTAACGGCGTTTAAGGGCAGACTCGAGCTATTTGCCAACATGCTTTCTCGGGCACTGGAGATATTACGCTATGTCATCAGCGACCTCGCCCCGGCGGGAATCCTGCTCTGGGCTCCCGATGTGGTGTCTTTCAAGATCGCCAAGTCCGCTTACCTATTGGCCAAGGTAAGCCCTTGATTCAGGCGTGACGCTCTGCCAGAAACTTGGTTGATCATCTCCTTTCCCCTTGCTCCTTGACCGCAGAAACTGGCTGGGATGACCGACCACATGGCCGACGAAGTCGTCCTAGTCCTCACCGATCTAAGCGAGGTATACCAGGACGCCGCGAAAAAGTCCCGGCCGATCATGCATTCTGCCCGATTCTTCGCCGACCTCGCTCAGGTTGCGGCTACGAGGGGAAAAGCAGATGATCGGGATGTGGATCCCTCCCTTGGTGATGGGACGGATGGAGGGCAACAGGTGGGCTGATAAGGTTTCGTTGCGAGAGGCGATGAGGGCGTCATGCTGATACCGAACTTCGGTCACTGCGATCTTCTGCGAAATCCTAGGATCTTGCGGATAGCGTATCGGGAATAGGACAGTTGAACTGGGCAGACCTGCTGCAAGACTTTGAGGAATGGCAAGTCCCACTCAGAGCTTTGCCGTTGTTCCGGCGTGTATATTGATTTCGATCCCGATCTTGCTGTTGCTGTTTCGGGATTGAATAGGTTACCGGATCATTTCCTGCCTAATATTGAGGATTTCGGGTGGTCTGGATATACACCGGCTGTAGCGGGTCTTCCGCCCGATGCGGGGCAACAACAATAAAGAATTCAAAGCAGGAATTTTATGAATCGCACTGTATGTCACACGGGTCATGATGACGAGCATGCGAGATCCGTGTCAATGTACAACAACGAACACGAAGGGTGGGAACCCTGCAATCGACGCCTATCGACATGACCTGATCGGGCTCGAGCTGGGTCAATGTTTCGCGTTTCAGGGGTCGAGATTCAGTCATATCCAAGTCATAGGGTTATTTAGAGCGTGGAGTATAAGCTCGATTGTGCCCGCCTAGGGCTTGAGGAGGCGAAAAGACGATCAAGGACATCCACAAGAAGAGCCCCTCATACCGTCTTCGTCGCTCGCACCGTCACTCTGTTTTGAAAACTATCCATGGGCAGACCTGGCAGCTGGCCGGGACCCGTCTGTCGCACCATTCCCCTGGGAATACTCTTGCTTCCTGTCCCCCGCATCTCGAGCGCTTTTTTTCTTATTTTTGGCGATACTCTTGTTTGCGGCGATTCTGCTCTCACAGCTCGTTGTTGCTCTTATCGGTTTAGTCAAATCACGGTATGGTATGGTATGGTATCCCGCTTCTTTTGAGCCCGGGTGAGCTTTTTTATGGCATTTCAATCGCATGGCTGATATTCGTGTCTTCCCAACTAAATTGGCTTGCTGCACTGTACTGTGCGCCGATACAGCTCGAAGACTTCCGGATTTCGATTGTGATCGCTGGCTTGATCGAGATCTCTCGCCTGCGCGCCTCGCTCAGAATTGGTACCCACCCATCGTTTCTGTCTTATTACGTTCCATAAGCCGGGCTGATACACTGTACTGTACATCTCATAAATCACTACATCCACATTTTGTTCTTCTTTTCACAGTTCCGATTTTTTTAGGAGCATATTAAAGCGTTTCCCGACATACGACCCGGTCGCGGATCTCAACGGGTTCGAGTTCAACTTCCGATATCGACATGACGGGTTGTCAGGCTTGATGAGACGAGGAGCCTAGAACAAGGCGCCCCCGAGTAACATTCCTCCGAGCAACGGCAGTCCCCTAGATGATTCCGAAACGAGCATAACCATCAGAACTTATCTCCCCATCATTGAGAGCAGGAGGAGAGCGCCGCGCAGACTCACATTCCCATGCCGCCACCCATCCTCCCATACCCGTACCCGCCTCCCAACGGCATCCCTACCCCTCCACCGTACCCGTACCGAGGGCCGTACATGCTCCCTCCGTACATCCCGCCTCCGTAACCTCCGCCGTATCGAGAGTAAGGGTAGGAGGGGCGGGAGTACGCGTAGGGGCTGGTTTGGTTGCGAGATGAATTCGGAGATCGATTTCGGGCGGTAAGGTAAGCACAAAGCAAAGCAAGGGATGATAAAAGGGGCGACGTTAGCCTTCCGCCTAGAAATACCAGAAGTTGTCATGTGAGGGATGGGAAGGATCCACTCACTCTCTCGCATAAAGATAAGCTGAACCAATACCATCCCGGCAAAACAGAGACGGGACCGAGTATTCACATCAGCGTCAGTAAAGTAAAACAGGCACGATGAACAGACAAACATCAAGATCGAGATCAAGATCAAGATGATGTGACGGGCAACTTACAATCCCCACCGAGTCCTTGTTGTTTCATCAAGGCGGCTCGTCGTTCCAGGTATTTCTGGCGGGCTTTCTACAAAGTCCCCGAAGGGAAAAGAAAAGAGTTCAAGGTGTCAGTCGCCACGACGATCGCGTTTCCAAAATCAAGAGAACGTGAGATATGATGAGACTGACCCTCTCTTCCTCCTCCTGCTTGGCCCTCAGCGCCGCCTTCCTCCTCCTCTTCTCCTCCCTCTCCGCCTTCGTACTCCCCAACAACTTATCCTTCAACTTTCCTCCTGCGCTCCTCTTCTCCTGCTGCTTCATCTCCCTTTCCTTCCGGGCCTTGTCCATCATCTCGTCATACTTGGCTTTAGCTTGCTTGGCTTCGGTAGAGTTTGGGTTGGCAGGGTGCGTGTCGGGGAGTGATTGGAGGTAGGTGGGGTCGTCGTAGGGGTGCTGCCAGATCGAGCGGGGGGGTTTGGAGCGGGTGTCTACGTAGAATGCGTGGCCCGACTGGAGTGGAGAGTTATCAGGGTGATAGAAGAACAAGAATAGACGGACAAAGCAGAAAAAAATAAAAGCAAGGTCAGCCAAAGTCCATCCTCGGATCGCTCGTAACCTCATCTCCTGCCGAAAGCCTCGCTCACCTCCTTGTCGAAACACCTCGTCCAACCCTCTGGCAACTCCCTCTCCTCATCATCGATACTCATCCTCTCCTCGATCTCCTCCTTGGTAGGCTGACGACGCTTGGTCTTTGTCCCGGGGACCCGAGCGTGCCCGGAATCGGACTCGTCGGAGGAACTGGACCAATCTTCCTCGAAAGCCGCGACGTGCTGATGGTGGTGTTGCTGGCCATGGGCGGGTGGTTGTTGTTGGTCGTGCTGGCCGGGTTGATGGATGGCCGTATCGTAGGAAGGTGGGAGGGCGGACATGGTCGAGGATATGTGTGTTAGTTTATCTGTTTTGAAATGTAGATGGTGATGGATGAGAAGAGGTTGAGGATGTCGAGTTAGTTGATTGTCCTCGATGGATCGACAAGACTCTCCAGGTGCTGACGAAACAGATTAAATGGATGGATGACATCATCGATCTCGACCCGATGCGGTCAAGAGAGGCGACGCGGATCGATAGATTAGCTTCCGGGTGTTACTTCCGCGTCACGTTTCAGGTCTGCTCTTTCGCGACGAAAGCATTGACAATCACGCCCTGCCCGTCGCACTTTGCAGGCATAGTATGATTCAGTTGAAAGAGTCAGATTTTCATACTCGTATCTGAAATAACGCTAGATCCGATTGGTGACCGCGCGACTGATGCACGGACATCCCGACTAAATCATGGCAGGACGGGCTGTGATGGAACCGATACAAGCCATGCTCGATCTACATCGGATTGATTCGTTCAAGGTGAGGGATCAGAATGATTATTGGTGGCCGCACGTAAGGTTCAGGTGGAAGTCCAATCGCTCGAACGTGGAAAGTCTGGGAAAGGGTCTGTTAGTATGAAGCTGATGCACTTTGGGACTTGCTACAATGAAAATGCATTATTTGGTGCACCTAGTCGGAAGATTGACACGAGACACGCCGTCAGATCCCAGCTGGTCGTCACTCATAGTCACAATTACAAGCGGGAAGATCATAAAGAATCTAGATCTCGGTTTCATGTCCAATCGCAAGTGAAAGCAGGGCTTCTATAAGTACAACGTCTGGGTTAGGGGTTAGGCATTGTCGAGCTTCTTTGCAAGTCTGCGCCAAGTTCTCTGATTGAGCGTGACGAGGTCTGTAGCTTCCGTATCCTTCGCTAAGCGGGAAACTGCGTGATCTTCGATCTGTCCCGAGGTAGGTCACGCTACAGGGACAGCGATCGCATCTATAGTTACTTTCAAGAGTTAATTGCACCATATACGCACTCGCTAGCAAGAATGCAAGACCATGGAATAAAATCGCGGACGATCAGAGTTCTGGTATCGTCTATCGGTGCCAGCCATACATCAGATCGATCAACCCTAAACAGTCGCACAACAGCCCATTGTATTTGATTCTAGTCAGATCACATCGGTACATCGGCGCAGGGGAGATACATGTAGTACACGTTGAACCAGCTGGTTGCTGTGATCAATACTTCTGTCTGCCAAGGCCACTAGCAATTCTCGACGGTATGGACCTAACACTGACCGGCGCTGGCAGAGGGCGCGGACGTGACAACCGAAGTACCCGGTTCTTCCGAGCTCGACAGGTCCGAGCCTGAGTCTAGTTCGGCTCGGCTCAGCTCAGTCCAGGTACAAGCCTTGATCCAGACTTTAATGGCGTCGATCACGTCGACTCGATCTCCCTTCTTGACGGGATATACGTTGACTTCCAAATGCCATTTGAGGCCGCCCTGATCGAGATTCGGCTCATCGATCCTTTCGTCCGTATTACAAATGCGATCGACGAAGCCTTCCCCTATAGATTCATCGGCATCGAGGTAGAGGTCACCAATGATTTCGCGGTTATGGTAATCGATCTCCCGGATACGGTAGCAGAGAGATTCATAGATCCCTAAGTCCTTTGCCGTATGTATCATGGCTGAGAGTGTACTGTACTTTGGATATGGGTCGTAGTGGTGCGTAGAGTGAAAGAGGTAGAACGCTACGATCGGTGTATTTCTGATGACGGTTCGAGGTTGATATCGTGATGAATCGGAAGCCGATGCCTGGATATTTTATCCTGCCGCCTATGTAGTATTCAGATCTAGGCCTATGGCTTCGAAAAGTTTGGCTTTTTGTCTCGACGAGCTTGAAAGGGGAGGCGGAGTAGGTTGAGATAGAACAAAGGAAGCCTAGATCCATGTGAGCAGCACGCCAGTCACTTCGTCACATGAACGTAGACAATGTGAAATAGTCCAGCATTCTTCGTACTGTCATGGAAGGATAGCATAGTACGTGATCAATTCTAGGGGTATAACGAATTTCGGCATAGTATCTCGCTAGCCCTGCAAGCAGCAGAACGGAATGATACAATCCTAATTAGCTCGCACGTGTTCCAGCGGATGGCACCGCAGCAGGTGATTGTACACAGCCACGAAATTGACTTTAGTAGACAATTATCGACCGTTCAAAGAGTCCAGTTTAACTATCGAGACAGCCGACCCGAAGACGATGTCGTCCGGGCTCGAGGCTGAGGTCGAAAACGCGCTTGCCGCCATCTGACAAGAAACGAATATTCGATCTTCTCGACTAGACACCTCGGCGATCATCGGAAGATCGGACCATGACCCCGGGCCGAAGTCGGTTGAGATTTGCTTCCGAACGCCGATCCGAATTCCCGAACTCGCCAGCGAGAGTCGTCGTCGAGGGGCTCTTTGGGATCTAGCACGACCTACATTCAAGCAACTAACAGCTATTACACAACGTAACTAACTGCAACTAAGCAACTAACTTGACCAGTACCATTGATTACAGCTCTACACATACCTCACTCACACCATGTCCTCCAACTCTGCCCTCACCTTCCCAACCCATATCAAGACCGTGCTGATAACCGGCGCCTCCGGCTTCGTGGGCCGCAAGCTCGTCCAGCTCCTCCTCGCTGACCACCCCCACTTGAGACTGATCACCACCGATATCCACCGTCCGCCTACTTATGGGATCGAGGATGAAGAGAAGTTGGTAGCTGTAGCTGTGGACTTGGCGGATAAGGAGCAGGTGGGGAGTTTGTTCGGGTATGGGCCTGTCCAGGGGGTTTTCGCTTTACAGTAAGTCGTCGTACCTGAGACGATCCTCAAAACGCAGACCATTGATACGCGGCCTCATTTTTTTTTTTTTTGATATAATACTATGAAAACAGCGGGATCATGTCCGGCCAATCCGAAAAAGACTTTACCCTAGGGTACGCGATCAACCTCTATTCGCACCTCAACTTGATCGCCGCGACCACCGAGCACGCCCAAAAACAATCTCGAGGCGGAGAAAGTGTCAAGCCCGTTTATGTGAACGTGAGCAGTCTGGCTGTCTATGGAGGGGAGAAGGCTACGCCGAGTAGTACGGTCGTCCCTGAGTGAGTACAGTTGAATTCAAGCGTTGAGCGTTCGAGCAGCAATAGTTCAATAAGGCGATCGAGCTGATACATTTCTTTTCCTCTTAAATCTTCTTCGCTTGCCTGTCTTTGTCCGCGTGATTGTGGTTTTCGTCCTGGTCTTGGTCCTGCCTGCGGTCGTACCGGTTGATCACAAACCGGTGGTATGTATGGGTCTCTTCGGACGATGTTTAGGGACACGCCCTTGATCCCCGAGACGAGCTATGGGGTGTGTAAGAACGTCATTGAGATGATTGTCTATGATCACGCTCGGAAAGGTGAGCCTTTACGACGCTCCCACAGTGTATGTATACCAAAACCCAACCCAACCCCCTCCTTTCCACTCGCAGGCTTCCTAGCGGCCCGTACCGTCCGCCTCCCAACAGTCTGCGTCCGGACCGGCGCCCCCTCCTCCGCAGCATCCTCATTCATCTCCTCCCTCATCCGCGAACCGCTCCAAGGTCAACCCGCCGTCTGCCCCATCGCCTCTTCCCCTGAAGACCCGATCTTGGAGGAAATGGGGATCTATGTGACGAGGACAAAGACGGTCGTCAGGAACATTGCCTATGCGATGGGGCTGAGCGACGAGGAGGTCGTTGGGAGGGTGGGGAAGTTGAGGACGATGAATTTGCCGGGGATCAAGATTAATACCAGGGTCATCTTGGATGCGCTGTAAGTCGGCTGGGGGTGGTATATACCCAGAACTTGTAGCTCATCTCCATTCATTCCGCTTGCCTCTCCCTGTCTCAAATTTCAATCTACCATCACATCGCCCGATATCCCATCCCTCACTCACAATACAGCCAAAAATTCGGCGGGGACAAGGCCACCTCCTTGGTATCCTACTCCAAAGACCCCGCCGTCATCGCCATCTGCGAGACCTGGGCGGGGGACTACGACTCGTCCGCGGTCGAAGCGTTGGGTTTCCAGGTGGATAGTAGGGAGACTGGTTATGAGGATGCGGTGAGGGATTTCGTCGAGGAGTTGAAGAAGGACTGAGACTGGAGGGAAACGGGTGGAAAGCGTTCACAGCCGAGCATGGACGATAAGATGAGATGAGGTTCGTTTGTATCGCGTCTTATCGTATGCGATATTCTGTCTATACTATTATTTATCGACTCCCGAGTCACGGTTCTGACTATTCTATGTAATGCGCCGATTTTCCTTTCCCACCGTCTGAGCGCTTGTTTCACGCCCGTTCTCTAATCTCAATCTCCCAACCCTCGATCAGATTACCGCCTAGCGACCTGCCTCCCAACCTCTTCCCTTACACCCCCTTCCTCCCAATCCCTCCACGTAACACTCCCAACCCAACTCGTCCTGCTCCCCGTCTTCCCTCCGTCCCCTTCTCTCCCCTCTTCCCCACCACCGGGAGCGACCCTCTGCATCCGAACTCTACCTTCTTCCTTGAAACCCATTCTTTGGGCTAGGCGGGTGGATGGGTTGTTAAGGTGGTGGGCTTGCCATTGAAACCTCCTCAAACCTAGTCCGCGAGGAGGTCCACCTGCATCGGCGGTGAACGGGGCGGAGAGGGATGCCGGAGTGGGGTTACTGGTGATGTCTGGGTAGACGAACTTGTCTTCGGAGGTGGACCAGGTAGCCATGTAAGGATGGTCCAGGGCGTAGTGTTGCAAGAGCGCGATCGCATGGGAAGTTACGTGCGTCTTCTGAGCTCGGGGGAGGATGAGGACGTGTCCTAGACGCCAGAGATCAAGCAGGCAGATCAGCACGGGAATCGATAGGTTCGGCCCCAGCACATGAGTCTGAAAATATATATGTCATCCCAGAGCCCTATGCGAAGTAGATAGACTTACCGAGCTCTCCAACGCACATATCCCGATCAACGTTCAAAATCCCCATCACCCCGGCAAACGTGTTCAACGGAGGGTGTCCTTCAGGGAGAGGATGGACGCTTCCGACATCTTCCACTTCTTTCAGCTTTTCGGGGGAGTCCAGACGGGTTATGTCGAAGATGGCCCATAGGCAAGAGCCCTACGAAGATAAGGCCGATATCCTATTTAGCTCTTCCGTGGTAGCACACATCGCCAACTGAAAGAGAGAAAGGTGGACCTACAGGTAGACTCCGAATGGTCCTCTCGTAAACCTCACACAACGCATCCAGGCTCTCATCCAATCTCCTCGGATAAGGCATGAACTTCAACAACGTCTCTCCATAGTCCTTGACGTCGTGGTAATACTGCTTGGCGTGTAAGCTCGGGACGAAAGGGACCAAGACGAGCTTGTCGGTAGACAGGGTGTAGATGGGGCCGCCGGAAAAGTTGTGATCGTACTCCGACGGAGGGGTTTGAAGGTGTGCTTCGAAGGGGATCTTGGGGGTAGGAGGAGGGGGCTGGTAGAAGTTGGGGTGTGGGGTGAACATGACGCTATACTCTATAGTCTTTCTGTGCTATGTTTCGGATCTTGCGGGAGAAGATGAACGATCTGTCGTCTAGGTCATTCGCACCGGCTTAATAGATACTTATATGCCCTATATAATGGCTCAAGAGGTATCACATGGTCCGAGAAAGATGACTCGAAACGCAACTTTGTCGAAACTACACTGACTCGAATCCCGACCCCCTAACTCCCGAGGTCGACCTTTCGGCCGCCGGACTTGACCGATCCTCGGGTCATTTTCCGATTTTCAGGTACCGTTTCTGTTCTGTTGCGTTTCATCGGATCAACGGGTGTCGGACTTTTCAAGGATTTCAACCATGTCGCCTGGACTCTGAGGTAAACTCGTGTCGCATAACTGCACCCTGAATAAAAAACGTCTTGCCCTAAAATGCTGCGCGTCATCCCTCTCTACCTTTCGACCGAAAACGCGGAATTTCGGCAGGGAAGACGACGTCGCCTGGACTCCAGAGGTAAGCTTTACAAGCAACTGCACCTCGAATCGCAGAGGTCGATAAGGAGCGACTGCACAATCTGATACTTCGACGAGTGTGACGAGATGATGGCCCTCATAGACCTCATCCCATCAGGAAAGTTCACTTGGCTCATGGTGATAGCTCCAAGGATAGGAAGAGTGACTAAAATCTGTTTCAAGATAGCATAGTCCCTCTCATCTGCATTCAGAATAGGCCATACCCACGAAGCAAGATTGGTGGCTAGCCCCAGGATGATGACTTTGATATGGCCCATTCCTGCGTAAGGCATCAGTTCATCAGTCTAGATCAATATGCACCAGTCCTGCTATTTTGACTTACTAATGAATCCCCATATGCAAAGCGCCTCCAGTGCTATGCCTGCTAACCCAGGACCTGACATTTTGGCGAGAGACCCCATCCCTCTAGAACCGAATCGATTTGGCAAGTGGAGGCAGAGTGTACAAGCACAGCCTCCAACAGAGGCTGGAATTAAGGCGAATATTGACGAGAGCGAGAATGAAGGAGACCGGGACGAGAACGAGATCAAGCTCTTCACCGACTGGCTTGTGAGTCTCATCAGATCAACCCATGTACATCGGTCTTATATTTCCAAACAGTCTGGATCAGAGTCCAGGCCCGAACCCGGACCGATCGTCCGTCCGGATGTTCCAGGTCGTTTCACAAGATGAATCAAACTAGACGAGTTGTTTAGGTCCCATAATTGGAGGGTATTACACAGGTATGGTCCGACAGAACGGTGCACCCCAAACGAGTCGTACCATGGCCCAGCTGTTCTTTACGCCCAATCACTCTGATCGGTAAGTGTTCCATCGTCCTTTTGCAGTATTTCGATCCCTTCACTTATAACTTTCTTGTTCTGAGCGACGTTCTCACGCCGCCTTCTTACCGACCCTTAAAATCCGCGGGCCCTGGCTGATCTATCTAAGTGGACAAGATGAGGTGAAAGCAGCGGATGCCTCGACCTTGCCCTTTCCCTTCCTGATGTGTGGCGATGTCATCCTCCGTGCCATACATCCGGACTTGGACGATATCCATCTTGCCGTCGTCAGCGTCGTACTCGATGTCACCATCCACGTCGAGCGTCTTGTTATCGGAAACTAGAGTCCTATCTTATATCCCATTCGCTGATCGTTCAAGATTTCACTCTGGAAGATCCCGGGTATGCGATCGACCTCGGCGTTCAGGTCTGATCGAGGTTTGCCAGGTTCGCGACAAGTCTCTGGTCAAAGATCCGAACAGGGGTAGAGGACATCGCATGCGATACAAACACAACCCACGTCTTTTTGTGTCCAAGTGCCCGTATCTCGAGTCCCTATGATCCTATACCAAGCATTCGAGGCCGAGTTGGTCCCATAGGATGTCCTACATATTCGTTAGCTATGATCCGAGAGAACAAAGGACCGAAAGGAAGGCATGCCCTAAGGACTCAAAGGACTTTACGAAAAATGACAGGTCGTTATGGATCGTGCATGATAATCTCTGGCCCGAGAACAAGTCGAGGATCATAAGAGGGAGGGATAAAGGTGGACGACGGTCTGTTGGATTTCGTGATCAGGACAACTCCGCTGTGTACACGGACGATCTACGCCTTTCCTCTGGACCTCAAATCGTGATCGATACGACATCCAGCAAAATTTGATCGCGGAGAATTGTCCGAAGAACGACAGACTTCGATCATCAACGGGATTATAGCCATCTCGGGTAGCCTAGTACAAAACACCTCGCAAAGATGGACCGAAAGCCGAGCCCGGAACCGGCGCTCGGTACCTACCCTTCTGCCTTACCGTCGCCGTTAGCACCTTCAGCATCTCCACCGATATCCTCCCCACCTTCTCCTCCATCTCCGAAACCGGTATCTCCACCACCTCCCTCCGTTGTGAAAGAGACCTTCTACATGTCCATCATCGTCATCCTCGGGATGGTCAATTCTTTCGGGGCGGGCACTACGTTGATAGGGCCGAAGATCCAGGAAGATTTGGGGTTCGGGACGAGCGAGTTGCAGGTGAGTCTCTGGTGGCTCTATACGGGATTTGAAAATGTCGTTGTATTGATACTGATACGTCGACTTTACTTTCTGTGCGACTGGATGTTACCAAAAAAAAAGTGGCTCAGTACTTCGTTCTACATCCCGCTCGTAAGTCTTCTGCCCCCTCGTCCGCTCAGTTGTTCGATGAACACCACTAACGACTCTCAAGTCACCCCCCTCTTTCACCTCCCTCCGCTCTCCAACCTAACTTGACCTAATCCAATCCATACTATACTACAATACCACCTCAGGGCACCCTCTGCCTGATATCCGGTACCATAGCCGATACGTACGGCGGCAAACCGACCTGTCTGGCAGGGATGGGGCTTTTGACCGTAGCTTCCCTGGGAGCTTGTTTTGTTAGGACGAAAGAGTTGTTGTTCTTCACTAGAGGGGTTAGTGGGTTGGGGAGCGCTCTGGGGACTGTGGCTGGGTACCGTGAGTTCTGCTTGAGGAAGGTTCCGGTCTCGACTTTGATGTCCGTTACGACCCCGAGGTCTAGGTCGCAACATGATATCATTCTTATGCTGATAGACCTACTTTTTATGGGGTTTGCAGCGATGATCGTCCAGATCTACCCAGAAGGAACCGGCCGAACGTTGGCTCAAGCGATCTACGTCGCCGCATGGCCGACAGGTGGAGCATTCAGCTTGCTGGCTAGTGGATTTGTCGCTGAGTGAGTAATGGTAAGGTTGAGATTGGCTGACTTCTCATGCTTGAGATCGCTGAATCTTGGCTTCGTTTGCCTTTTTGTTCGTGATGAATGCCCTTTGTTCCACGTGCGAACATCATGACGATATTCCGCAGGCAGGATTGGCACAGGTATTTCTACCTCGTCACGGGTCTGACCGGTGCAACCACTCTCGCGGTCTTCCTCTTCCTTCCCGAACCGTCAGGGGAAGCTGGAGGTCACTCCACTGACTCAGAAGGACAACATGCACGACGTCGAAATTGGAAGGAAAGGTTGCGCGTGTTAAAGAACATCGACTGGATCGGCGCTTTGCTCTCCATCACGGGCCTGGTCCTCTTGTTCTACGTCTTGGCCGTAGCTCCGGGCGCGAAGAAAGGTTGGGGTACGCCTTGTGAGTCGGGTTCCATTGGCGCCTTCGTTTCCAGATTCTGTCGAACGGGTCAAGAATAGGCTGATCAGGTGTATTACCTTGACCGCAGACATCGTCGTTCTGTTCATCCTCGGCTTCGTCATGCTCGGCCTGTTTGCGATCTGGCAGTGGTACATCGAGCGACGGGAAAGCATCACAATCAAACCGTTGGTTCCGCTCGGCGTGTTCGCGTTGGACAAGGGCAGGGTCTCGCTCTTATTCCTCGTCGCTGTGAGTCCTTTTGACGAACAGTGCCTCTCCATGTGAAATTTGCTGTTGTGGTTATATCGACGAATTGCAAGCTCACAAAGGACTTGGTTGATTCCTCTTGGTAGATGTTGTGTTTCGCTGGATACGCAGGGTTCATGTTCCTGTTCACGCTCTACCTCGAGGTGTACCTTAAGCTTCCTCTCGACAAGACTGCTGTAAGTCCCTCACTGTGAATGATCAAGGACCGGCAAATGAGCTGAGCATGCTTTTGTGATAGCTTCACTTCTTGCCAGGTCCAATAGTGTAAGTTCCTGCGTTGAACTGCTTGAAGCCTTTGGGGCTTATCCTGATCAGGCGGACGTAATAAACTCAGCGGGATTACCTGCAACATCGTCATTGGACTCATCGCAAACAGGATCTCGCCTCAATGGATCTTGACGACGGGTGCCATCTCGACAGGCATATCGCTGATCTTGTTCGCCGTCGTGCCCGTCGGCGCATCGTACTGGACGTACACGTTCTTCAGTCAGATGTTGACGGTGCTCGGAGCAGACTGTGGTGAGTAAGTCTAGCGAAGGGCGAGCTTAGCATCGTTCGAGCTTACATATTGAATTCTGGTTCATACCTTGTACCTATAGCCGGTTCGGCGGGCTTGATTTACACCACCAAGATGATGACGGGTGCTCGTGCAGGCTTAGCGGGAGGTCTCTACGGCACGTTCATCCAGCTTGGGTTCTCGCTCGGACCGTCCGTGGGGACGATCGGATTACGCAAGTCTAATCCCGTTGACGGGTTTTACGACGCTTACTGATGGCTCGAAGCGTTTGACGATCGACAGGTTATATAGCCGAGAAGAATGCTCGTCGAGCAGGGATAAATGTGGATGGGGCGGCTTATGACGAACCGTCTTTTCCGCCTTCGAGCTACTTGTACGGCCTTCAACGGGCGTCCTGGATCTTGGCGGCTTTGAGCTTGTTCGGTGAGTGCTCGCGGCTGGAACAATTGGCAATGATCAGTACTGAGATGGCTCCTCTGTTGTGTCGATGTCCTGATAGCTGGGGTGTTAGTCCCGATCGCTATGCGTCGGATGGCCATGTCGCCGGATGATCCGGGTGATGTCGCTATCGATCGAGGTAGTGCTTCGGAGACGGGTGCGGATGATGGTCATCGAGCCAGTGAGAAGGTGTAAAGTAAAGAGCTGCTCGATGGAGGGTGTTCAATGCGTTCCATTCACATGTAGGCGGGCGAAAGTATTGAGATCTAGTCGTATGCACAGAGATGTCCGACTAGATGGTATACGTTTTGACTGCATGTACAATTGTCGTGGTGGTGTTTCATCGATGGAACGTGATCATGGATCACTTCCGCTTTATTTGCGCGTCGCCCTTTCCCCCTTCCTCTTCCTCCACCCTCTTGACCTCCACCTCCCTTGATCCCTTGATCCCTTGATCGACCTCGAGTGAAGGTTGACAATCTCGGCAATCTCTCAACTTTTTGTAATCGTTTCAAAGGTGCGTGAGCTGCATGAGCTGAGTCTCCTGTCGCATGTGGATTACGAGTGGACATACAACCTAACTCATCCCTGACCATGTCAAAAACAATAGCCCCACCAACTTTGACCCCAATACAGAGGTCCGAAGCCTTCCTCACCTGGTTCAAAGAGAACGGCGGGACCTGGTCACCCCACGTCAAACTGCACCATACCGAGGAATTCGGTTTCCACGTCATGGCCACCCGGGATATCCCCCTGCCTGTTCCTCCGCCATCAAATACGGATCAGTATGATACGCTCGTCACATGTCCGTTGGATCTGGCGATCACTCCGGCGAGCTGTAGGAGATATGTGAGGTTTAGCCAGAATTGCCCGGCTTCGCTGAGGAAGGTCAGGTTGAATGAACGGCAGTGGGTGGTCAGCTATCTGACTCTACATCTGATCGGGATGGAGGATCCCGAAGTTATGGCTTCGTAAGTCCTGACGTATCCTCTCAAAAAGTAGGGACCTCGCTGATACCAGCACTATATCTCACCTGCCTCTGTCATAGACTCCCTCGTCTCCCACACCTACCCTACACCCAGATCCTCCCTACCTCCTCCGAGATCCTCACACCATTCTTTTACACCCAAGAAGAGAAAGAACTCATCAAGGGTACCGAGATGGAAAAGGTCATGATCGATTGGGAAGGTGTATGGCGGGAAGAGTGGGAAGCGGCACGGAAGGAGGTCTGTCAGGGGAGGTATGCGGGGTTGAGGGGAAGTTTTAGTTGGTGAGTCTCCTCTCGGATCTGAGACCTGGGTTTCTGATGCGGACTTGGGTGTTCTTTACAAGTTGGAGCTTGTTTTTTTTTTTGCTGGAGTTTCGAGGCTGATTGTGTGTGAATTTGCGTCGAAATTGCGTTGTCGTTGGCATTGCAGGTCCCGGTGGTTATTAGCCAACGGACAATTAACATCCCGGACCTTTCCTTCATCTCTCCTTGACCATCTGAACGAACCCAAACCCGAACCTTCAAGCTCAACCTCCAACTCACATTCAATTTCCGGGTCGGACACCGGTCCTCCATCCAGTTCGTACAATATGACCATCCCACCTCACACCTCCCTCGCCAAAACGAAGAACAAGAAGAAACCGCTTCCACCGAAGACGAACTCGAATCAAGACTTGTACGCCAGTTCGGATTACGTCTCCAACAATAGACGTTCGACCAGTTATCCTGTCCTTGTACCTGGATTGGACTTGCTAAATCATTCCGAGGAAGAGTCGGTCGGCTGGACGACCAGGCCGTTGGGATGGGGATTGAATATGGGATCGGGCTTGGCGGGACCGAGCAAGAAACCAGGAAAGAGCAAAGGGAAGGGGAAGGGGAAGTCAAAGGCAAAAGCGAACAGACAAGATCAGACGGGGCAAATGGAGCAAGTAGGGGAAGTGGGGCAGGTAGGGGAGGCAGAGAAGCATGAGCTGGTGTTCTGTATCAAGAGGGAGTTGAAGAGCGGGGAACAGGTTTTCAAGAATTATGGACCTAGGAGTGAGTCGCCCGAGGCGGGTTTATCGCATTGGACCAAAAAGGCATGGAGAAGCTGATCATTGCGTTTTGCTGGACTTTCTGCAGCCAACGGCGAGTTCCTACTGGGCTACGGGATGACCTTCCATGATAACCCGGACGACCTCGCCTCTACCGGTCTCAAGATCGAAGGTGGTACGCTCCCCGCTTCCGAACAAGCCGAGCTCGAAGCGACCGGTCTATCCGTCGACCGACAATTCTGGATCGCTCTGGATGAAGACATTCCTGATGACCTCTTCCGTCTCATCCGGATCTTGATGGGGTGCAAGGATCATCAACGCATGTCAATCGATCAACTCGTCGCCGCCTCTCAGGTGCCGACGTCTTCGGATTCCATGAGGTTCGAAGCGTGTGTATACGCGGCGAGGAAGGAGACGAAAGCGATGTTGGTGTTGGCGAAATTGTTTGCCAGTAATGCGCAATCGGCGTTGAGGAGGAAGAAGAAGAAGAACGAACAGGCCGTAGTCGGGACGCAGGTCAGGGCGAGGGTTCAGGCGCAAAACGGTCATTACCTGCGAGGTAAGTTCAGTCTCGGCGGCCGCTCCTAATATGTATGCCGAATCCGCATGTAAGCTAATCCGAGTATACGTGGTGACATTCCCCATCGGACAGGCCAATGGATGATCCTGGACCGTCTCTACAACCTAGCCCTATCAGACCTCGAAGACGCGTTCCGTAAGGTCCGAGAAGCACGTCTGGATCCCGACGCCGAGTCGGACGATTCCGAGGATACGGATGAAGAAGATTGGCCGGATCCGTCGGACGATGAAGGGGAAGCGGTTGGGAGGAGTAGAGAGGATGAGGATGAGGAGGGCTTGGGGTATGATATGTTTACGAACTCGGTCGTGATCTGCTGAGGGTGTCATGCCGCAAGTCGCGATCATTGAACACATGTATATATATCATCAGGCCATACCACGATCAAGAGGAGTGCGATACGCAGGCTGCCGAACATGAGTCTCAGAGTCTATGTTATACTGGTCATCCCGCAGTTGAACAACGGATTGTGAATCGAACCCATATGTAGGCGGACCAGCTGTAAAAAAAAGGCAACAACGGTGAATCAAACACCGGTCAACCATCCTAAGTACCTCTGTTTGACTCCTCGTGCGGCTTAGGGCGCTAAAAAGTAGCTTAGGGTCATTGCTTCACATAGGCCCTCGTCCATATCATTGCGGAGATTGTGATTACAAAAGTCCACACCCTGCAACCAAGGTTAAACATGGAGCGGGGGCTTACGGATACCACAAAGTTGACTGGCCTGATTGATGTCCATGAGACCACCATCTTTGTCCTTCAGAGACAAGAGAGCTGTGCCCTTATCGGTCCTCTTCTTGTTACAGTAACGAGCCTTGGTGTTATAGGCGAGGGTATCAACGGTGGTAACAAGATCATCGACCTGTTCCGTCATCGCCTCGACCTGTTCTCTAGTCGCCACTGCCTCAACCTGTTCCTTTGTCGCCATTTGGATTCTCATCGCCTCGACGGACGCAGAGAGGCTCAGAACGGGTCCTTTGGGCTCATCAAAGTCCGCCTTTGTGGGAACGGATGGGTTAGGGGTTAGGGTCGAACACCCATGTTAAGATGGAAGGCGGTTATTCTACCATTGAACCATTGTAGCGACTCTTGAGCGATTTTTGAAATTTGAAATCATGTCCATAATCAAGTGTGCATAGGTTCAATCAGCGGGCGATCTTCCCCTGCAATAAGCCACTTCGAACGTAGCCCCTTTTTCGTTGCAGAACCATTGATGCTCGGCCCCTGCACGACTCTTAAATTGTACCTCTCTGATGTTCGCCCTCAGCTCTTACTCAGAGTGAGATCTTTGATTAGACCTTCGATCACACTCACATCGAGATGGTTTTTATACGACCTAAATAGGTTATGGCGGTCAAGCAGAGGAAGCTAATTTTGAGCGGTAACTGTGATGTTTCGAATACAACTCCTCAAACCGTTTGTTCAATCAAACCCAAGACTCTGGTATGGTTACTGATCCAGAAATCATGAGTCGTTGTTTGTGGGCAGTATATTTAGCACTTCCTCTCTGAGCGACGCCGGCTTCCCTGTGGAAGATAGTCGCATCGGAAGTACCTAGTGTCTCCCTGCCCAATAGAGGCGGATGATCGATCCCTACGGATGCCAGTATGAAGCATGGCATTCCGCTGCTCAAGATGTTCGCCCCTTGTAAGACTGTGAGGGCGGCAATATCGACAATAACGATGTATGCAAAGATGTAATTCTCTTGTTGCCTCCCCCAAAGGATACTTGCCCGAGGTTCAAGAGGTATTGCACTGTCTTGCGGCGAGTACTCCGTCTGAGGTGACCATGGTCTATTAAAGCAGCCCAGACAGACAAGACATCAACGGCCGAATGCCCCGAATCCAACCTGTATCACCACAAGCCAGTGAACCCCATATTACTCAGACCTCCTTGACAATGTCTGTTCTAGCTGGTGTGGCTAACCACCTGAGAATACCGAAAGCTATGTCCAAGCTAACCACCTATTTATCGTGCTAGACCCCAAGATCTGTTGTCTGGTCCCAGATTCCGCTTTGACCTGCAAATACAGATCAGTGAAATGGGACGGCAAACTCCTACGCAGGGCTATCCGTTTTGCAGTCGTGCTTGAGAAAGTATTCATTTCACAGCGACTATCGCTGTTGCCAGCATTAAGAAAAGGTTGCGCCGATACCGCATCCATTCATATTCGGCTCGTTAGAAATACTGGATTTTGCAAAGCCGAGTCGAGCGCGGCAAGCGCATATTTCTAACGAGCTCGCACTTCAGACGCTCAAGGAAATCAGGAGCCATTGGAAAGGACGATGGCCCACGTTCTCATGAAAAAGCCATCACGTCTCCGTAGTTGGGTACAGGGGAGTAGCTTGGAGTGATTTTGACCTCGACATACCCTCAAACGAAATACCGTCTTTCGACATGACGAGCACTTGATCCTATCTATACCTCAACAAGTAACCTCAAAAGCCACGCCTCGAACCCCTTTACAAGCCCCATATCGATTACACAAGATTGATCGTCGTCTCCTTGTATCGCTCATTCTCTTCGTCCACAGTCCCCGAGATCTTGTCCATCTCGAACTCTTCGACGCTATCGTCATCACGAAGACCGGCATGTCGTTTCCTCTCTTCGAGAACTGGCATATCCGAGACCTGCAAACAAAAGCGAAAACTTTCATCAGTACACTTGTACCTGCACTTGAAACATGATCGTGGATCTCACCTCGACATGAGTCTCAACGTTGACCCGAACCTGCGTAAGTTCTCCGATCCTCGATCGATCCTGGTACGTATTCGCCTCGTTCCTGGTCTTTTCAATCGCGTACGGATCCCTGAAGTCGGCTCGGCTGCGGATGGGAACGCGGGCGGGCATATTAGCTATTTATATCGGTGCAGAGATAGATACGTCGGAACTTACGAGTTCAGCGAGTAAAGCATCGAAATGGCATACACGTTCCCCGATAACATCAAGTAAGGGTACGCTAGCTCGTTCCTGATAATCGATCCGAACCGGTTCAAACAGAGAGTCAGCCACGACCGCTACGAAGCACCGGCGTATTCCGGTTCGGCTCACGAGAAGGTGACGGAAAAGTGGACCGCAACGACGAGACAAAACAAGGTCGGTGGCGCTTGTGACTCCATGGTCATGATTGCGAGTTTCGAGATGAGCGCGTCCGTCTGCGACCAACCGGTCTTTGATCGGATGAGCTTGTTGAGGATCAGACCGGTAATCAAGAGATCCCTAGCAATCGTCGTCATCGTTCCCCCTCGGTCAGCGACGGTTAGATTCACGACAGCGTGTCCAGGGGCAATGAAGTTGGACTTACGACAAGATGGTCCCGAAAATGTAGGTACAAGCTACGGTACGAGTACATTGAAAGTGCAGGGAAATATGCTTAATCTCAGTCGTCTTCCAGAGTCCAACAAGCGAGACTCACAGAAGACCCGAGTCCGCATATCATCCCTAACCTGCAAAATACTCTCCACGCTACCCAAGCTGACCTATGAATTGAACATCCGCAAGGTTCGAAATATCGCAAGCCGTGTGAGCTACTTTTAACGTTGCACAATACGATCAACTCGGCTACTGTCAGGGCACTCACCATCGTTCCGATCGCCGCTGAGAGACTGACGGCGGAGAAGAATAGGATGATCGTAGGAACCCACCAACGGTTGTTGTATAACCTCCAGGCCTGCGATACGTGGAAAGACGGATTTGACAGGACACAAGAATCTTTACGTCAGCTAATGTCGCGTAGAGGTAAACGTGTTTTATCGCCTTTTGCGGACTTGACTCACTTTGTGGGCATACCACGTCTAAGCAGTCCGAGCGAATACCGGTCGAAATTCCATGTGAGTCTCCGAGCACTTCAAGGCAAGATGGTTTCGATCGGACGGTACAAACTCACACTTGTAATAGCGAACTGAAATCCTCCGAGTCCGTACAGGGGTACGATATAACGACTCTGGAACATCGGGTACCAATGTCCGTAGTACTATCGAATTCTCAAGTATTAGCTAGCGATATCAAGAAACTATCATTCAATGCTGCTCACCTTGATGAAGACGCTAAACGTCCAAGCTATCACGTAAAGCTCTCAGCTCGATCTCACCAAGTCTCGAATTTTAGAACTCGCCCTCTACTCACTGCAGACCGTCCCCGTAGTAGCCATCCCCAACAACATCAAGCTCACCACCAGCCCTTTCGTCATCCTCGAATCCGTCTTGCCGTAGACCATGAAATATTTCCCTACCATCCACGTCAAGATCCCCAACAAGAGCGCATTGAGCGGGAGAGGGATGTAGATGGGTGCGAGGGTCCGGACTTCTTTTCCCGTCAGCGCGATCGTTAGGATTTGGTCTGTATGAGTAAAGATGGGACGCGTTTTCGTTAATAAGTTTTGCTAGACGAGCGTCTTGAGGAAAGTATTTACCGGTGAATGTGCTGTTGGCGAGTGCCTCGGGGGTGAAGACCGAGTCAGACATGGTGAGAGGAGAAGTCTCGAGGTGTGAGTCTGTGCGATGGCGAGGCTGCGCGACAATGCAATCAGGACTACTAGGTCGATAGGGATGACGATGTATGGCATGATGACAGGCGATAGCCCGAGGTGGACCTCGAATGTATCGGTCGTCCTATATACTATCCCAGTACTGCACCTCGTGTTAGATCTCATCCTCGAAATTCCTGTCCCCTCCCCGTCTCCTGTACTTCGAACGATTTTTCCGCGGATCATGGTCATCGAGAAAAGTGCCTTCGTATCGCTGATCGAAATGATGGCAAGTGGTAGGTTCGGGCGAGACACGGGAACGCGCACGCCACCCGTCAGCCCCGCGCCGTGCCAAGCCCCGGTGGATCGAGGGGGATTGATGAAACATGAATTTCGATTCTTCCGCGTACTGGACTGATCCGACCAGCAAGCGACCGGGCACGAGGCTCGGGGACTCTCAGGGGTTCTAATTGAGAACTTTCTCTCCCTTCATGGTTCAATTCGATCGATTACGTTTCGACACCAAGCTCAAACTCGGACGACCCGGCTCGACGGGTCCCTGTGACTTGGTTTGCTTCCGCCCTGCCTTTCGACGGCTACGCGATCAGATCTAGATCGTTTTACCTTTTTTGATTGATCGATTGTATGATGGGATGACATGAGCCACTTCGGCCTGCCGTTCGGTAGGCTATGCGATGGAAAAAACGCCGAGAAACGTAAACGAAGAAAGAAGGGGTTTGAATGGAATTTCTACGTTTCGGAAGCGGGTGCAGAGCATGTCGAACATGCGGCTATGGCGTGGAATGATCAATCCTGCTAGACAGACAGGCGTGGCTTGCGCTCCGGTCCCCCATAACTTGGGTTCGACCCGCTCGTCCCGGACCGACGAGCTATGTGATCTCGATCTCATCGATCTCGATCGTATTCTCCGTGATCTGTGCGCTGATCAAGAAGGAGAAAAAAAGAGGAGGCCCTATCTGCCATGTAGCTCCCGCCCGATGACGGTCAATATAAGGATCCAACCTGAAGTCGCTATGGGCCAGGTGGGGAAGCACGGGCCAACAGTTCATCCCTCGCAGCAACCATTCGGTTCTCGTGATACCTACGCATCTCAACCTCTCATCTTAGACATCCACCATGACCGACCTCTCCTCTTCCCTCATCTTCAACCAGATGTCGACCGAACAGCTCGACTTCTACCTCGGACCACTGGTCAAATCCGACCCCTTTCGTTTCCTAGGAGGTCTCTGCTTGCCGGTCCCCGTCGATTCTTTCCTTTTAGGGTTGGGGGGGATAATGACGGTATCCTATTACACGTCACACCAGAACAGACGGTCGGAAGGGTTTCAGAGGTGGCCGTTGAGAGGGTTTATATTTTCGATGGTCTTAATCAGTTTGGGGACGACGATCAACCTGTGAGTTCCGGAAGGACTACTATTGAGGAGGGAGCTTGACTGATTGGTCTTGGGATTTTGCATTTTAGATGGATATGGACGACGAAAGCTGTAAGCACCTAGGTGTCCCTCATCCCGCTTGACAGCGAATTCTGACGATAGCCGGTCTTGTTGCAGCTCGTCGTACAATTCGGGTCGTACCACGAGATCTATGACGGTCAGTCTTGTAACACACGCATCGAAGATGTCGTTTACACAAGCTCACAAGGATCGTGTCTATATCCCGCTTCGCAGGTCGATTCTATATGGCCTTCTACATCCTCGGTGTACTGCTGGTAACCCCGGTTCATGTCTATTGGAGTATCCGGGTTGGTCTTCCCTTCTTTCCATCATTTGATCGAGTCTGCAGCGCATGCTGATATACGTGCATCTGTTGCAGATCTTCAAGCTTTATAAAAGGAACTGGTACATCCTCGCAGTCTTACTAACGGGCGCTACGGTATTCGGAACGTCGATGGGCATGTTGACTGTGAGTCGTCTTTATCTCGTCCGTGCCGGTCCAATCCCGTTAGCATATTCGAAGCTGAAGTGATTTACGATGCGACGTTCGATTGTAGGCCGAAGTTGCCAGGGACAAGACGATGATGGCCTCTGCCGCCAGACCGCTCTGGATCTTAGTGAGTCTCGGGAACCGAGAGTTAAAATCAAGTTGTTCGGAAATCTGATCCGAGCGGCACTTTCCACATAGGCGATGAGGATCAGCGTATATTCGCATGCTGCTATGGTAAGTCCTTTAAAAAAACCTGTCATCCTTTTCAAGCTAACCTTCGTCCTCCATTGACGTTCGGCAGAACCTCAGCGGAACTATCCTTACCATCTGGGGCTTCAAGCGTTCGGGAAAACTGGTTGGATTCCGTAAATCACCGGTCTCCATGAGTCTCTTGGTCGCTGCCGAAAGCTTGGCCCTCCCGACCGGTAAGCATCTCGTATATTGTACGGGCGGTTCTTGTTGGTCTCATCTTCTATTCTGTCGGTTCCGGGGCGATTCAGTCTTCTCCTTGTTTGTGTTCTTCATGTTCACCATCTCTGGAAGGGTCGACTCGGCAGTCCCATCCATGATCCTGTCGTCCAAGCTGTACGTGATCTGCATCCTGCATGTTCTGAACCAGTGAGTCGCAGATCGGGATTGTGAGGTCACTCGAAGTATCGCGATTGACGATGATGGAATGGCCTTCGCGTAGCCATGCCAGCATCGCCGAAGCAGCCAGGATCGAGAACTTTTACGGCTCCGGAGATGACAACAAGAGGCACTCTGCGTTGGACGGCAGGATGTGAGTCGAACCTATCATAAAGTCTAGCAAAGTGCAACGGTCTAAGATGCATTCATTCACCTTTGCAGGAATCCCGCTGTACTCCAGCTCGGCGCCTTGTCCAAGCACGGTGGTCGAAGCCGACACGACGCCTACAACAACGATTTCGATCTCGGCTTGGAGCGCCATTATCCTTCCGATTCTACCAACAACCTCGTCGAGTACAAGGGAGAGTTCGTGCACTTCAAAGACGAGCCGGGCTCCATTAGATCGCACAGGTCGACGACGAGGTCGTCCGAGGAGGATTACAAGTAGCGTCGTCGTTGTATCAGGGCAGGCACAGGATCGAGGTTTTTGGGACTATGGAAGGAATCTTTCCCAGCGTTGTCTTGCCAACAGTTGCATTGGTCTTGCCAACAGTTGCATTACACTATGAGATGCATTGAGTTATGAGATGCTTCAAGTTATGGTATGAGTGGTCTATACAAATCGAAACCAGCAAGGATCGCCTGTGTGCACTTGTTGTCCTGATAAACCGTCCGATTCCTGTTACTGCAGCTCTGCCGGCCAGTCTTGCCGTCTCCGCCTTGTCCCATCCGGTGCGAAACGCGGGTTCTGAGGGAAATGTATACCGTCCCCCTTGGACCGACCTACGGGTACTGCGGAGCGGAGTGACGCGCTCGATAAGCTCGAAGTTAAGGGGCAGCAGCCTGGATGAGAGGTGCTACTCACGAATCCACCCGACGGGGCTATCTCCCATGACCCGCTTCCACTCGTCATACGGACCCGGACCCAAGAACCATCGATTCCCTTCATCTTTCAGATCCCCCCATTCTCTTCCCCATGTCTTCATGGCCTTTCGTTTTCGCGTCCACCCGCAGACCCCGAATTGCCGAGTTAGGAAGGCTCTTTCGCGATCCAGTTGCGATCGCATGGAGAAAGACTCGATCGTCGTCATCCCGACCGCGATGAGTTGCATGTGGGACAAGAGCATCGATGCTGTGAACAGCGTAAAGAAGCCGGACCTGCAGGGTATGACAGAGATACACAAGATTTAATGAGCGAAATATTACCGGTTCGTTTCGAGTCGCGAAGCACTGACAATGCCGCGATCCCGATCATCTGCCCATCTGCTGACCCGCCTTGGGACAGCTTACAGACGAGGACCACGAAGACGTATATAGTATATATCGTCGACCACGTCAAGAAGTTGATGAAGAACTGTTTCGAAGGACAATAAAACACGTCTCTGGCATTCAGCGTTGTGCCTGATTCGGTGACTGAGCCGAACCGAACTGACCTTGTGGTTCCTCCATCCGATACAACCTACCCAGGGACAATCGTGACTGTCCCCAAGAACAAACCATGTTAGTCCCACTTCTCGCCATTCCTAGTCTCATATGAGAGCAGGAACTCACTCCATGCCCAGAACGCACACCCCACAGACTCGACAATGATGACTCCGCCAAGGTTTATAGATCTGACAGTACGAGCAATAGGCCTGTTCCTTCTGGTCCGGCGGGAACGGTCGGGAAGGAGCCTGATCTTGGAATTGGGCCTGTGATCCTGGTTCTCCCTGTGCTTGTGGGAGGTCCGTCCGGCTCTGATCGGTCTCGGTCGGATTTCCGTCGCCCCATACCGTATGCGTATAGTTCGTCTGTCCGGAACGTTGCCCTTGTTCCTGTCCCTGTCCCTGTCCTTGTCGATGTTGCCCAGGAGACGTCAACGGGATCCCACTCTCCCTAGATCCGACCAGGTTCATCTCGTTGCCATTCCCGTATCCATATCCTAGATTTAACGACGATGAGATCCGCCCTGTATCTCGATTCCCCTCCGCCTCTGCAATACCATTTCCGTTACCACCTCTTTGCGTCCCGTAGCTGGCAAAAGGAGGAGATGCAGATGCAGATGCCGAAGAATCCATGAACCCCGGTAAACTAAATTCGGCGGGCAAGAGGTTTCGACCACCGTCTAGCGGTCCAGCGTTTCCCGCCAGGTTGAGGTCATCTTCGGTATCGTCGGAAAGATGGTTGTGATGGTTGGCAGAAGATGCGTTAGTGGAAGGTTGTTGGTCTGGGTGGTATGTCGGTGGAGGTTCGCTCCGTGGTATGACCTGCGGTTTGGATTCGAAACGAATGCAAACGACACTATCAGCTTGATTCGCATACGATGAAACGGTAGAGATGCAGGCGGTATAGAAGCAACCTGGCCTAACTTGGCTTACTTCGGGTGCGATCCCTGGTGACGTAGATATTGCCTGTTGCACAAGACCACAATCAGGACCGAGATCAACGACATATCAGTATTTGTTCTCGAAATGGGTACGTGAATGTCCGGAAGTGCTGATGAGCGGTAGGATGGAGGAAGCTTACTTTGAGGTACGTCCAGCAGAACATCAGGAAGAGGATCGTCTCGCCTATCAACAGTCCCGCTAGACCAGCCAAGCGTGAGAAGTACTCAGCATCAAATCGTTGTCTGAGCAATAACATGGGGCCAGAAGATATGGTGCTCACCTCCTTGACCGACGGAACCTCGAGCGTCAGACCTTCGTTGTAACATCGGTGCGCAAAGTCGTCCGATCATCACGTAGTAAGAATAGACGACCGCACATACTACGAAGCTGTCAGGAGTCGATCCATGCATGACTGTATATCAGCGAACAGACAACATAATGAAAGAGGACACTTGATAGTACAGACTCACATCCTCCATGACCAACGATAAGCCCATGGCGCTGGGACACTCCGATCTCGTTCCCGACTATCGATGACCTTGATGACACCGAGTAGTTTCCGCTTAGCCTTTTCAGGCGGCGGTGACGGTTCCATGGGTAGGCGAAACTCGGGCCGAGTCCTCGAAAGCTGCCTATCACCTATGAGGAGCTTCGAACTGTCCTGTGAACTTACCTCTCACTTGGAATGAACGATCGTCGAGTCGTTGAAGCATCGAAACTGAACTTCGCAGTTGACCGATGATGTCAACCTCCAGCCCCGTCGAGATCACGTGATCAGAGTTTCGAGCTCGATTGGCGGCGTGTCGCATGCGATAGAGCCGACTTCTGACTTGCTCGAACGTCTTCAAGGCAATCGTTGCATTACATCAGATTTTTGCGGACCTGATGAGCTTGGAACGAAACGACTAGAGTTCTTCCACAGAGACAACCATCTCGCAAGGTACCGTTTTGCTGAGGGCACATTATTTCACTTGAAGTGGAGTGCTTTCACAATTGGGTCGAAAACGATGGCGTCCTCATTGTGCGAATCAAAAACATGTATATACAATTTGAGATAATACTTCAAATATCACAAGATCACAAGTTGTCATACAACGACCAGACACCGGTGAAACCCGTCCACCTGGTAACCACGAATGCAGACCTCGTATCGGTACACGCCTCACACCTTGTCTATTCGCTTCTTGGCCTCCTTTTCCGCCTCGATAGCAGCCTTCTTCTCCCGTTGGACCTCTTCGATCGCTAGTCTCTCTTGTTCGAAAAGCTGCTGAGCCTTGGCTTTGAGCCGCTTCTTCCTCTCCACCGTATCTTTGACCGCAATTTCAAAGGCTTTCAAGATGGCCTGCCTTTCTTCGAGAGTGCTACGGTTGAAGGCTTCTCGGCTCGTCTCCTGGCGCGGCCTGACAAGCGGGTCGTTGGCCTTGCGTTTGGCTTTGCCCATTGCGGTGAGGATACCTTTGGTAGGTTGGGCCACCAGCGCTAAAGCGCCCGCCGCCGGCTTGACGTACATGTCACCGATCCCTTGTAAAAGTCCCTTGCCAGCACCGACCCATCCCTGTACCCGAGGATATATGTTCAGTGACAAGTCCTCTCAACCAACATGAAGGATGTTCATTTCACTCACATCCTTCTTTCCGCCCAGGACTGGCTTGTATACGAGCCCGCCAAACCCATCGCCAAACCCGTAAGCAAAGCTCTTTGCACCTTCAGCGAACCCGTCCAAGGCCCCGGTCGGTTCCCGATGTCGAACGGTGCTGCCCCAGAATTTAGGCATCGTCTGCAGGCCTGCGAGGATATTTAATTCTGATCAGTCCGGTCAATTGAAGCAGGAGATTGCATGTACTTACTGTCGTATATACCACCTACGATGCCGACCATCCCGGTGAGCTGGAAGGTGGTGAGCTTCTGCAGCCCCTGACGCTGAGGCGTGGGCGACGAGTGCGGGTCAGCAACTGCTGTTAAGAGGGATGGTCTGTGAAGACCGGCAGACTTACAGGTCTGTAAAACAACTCGGCGGTGCCGACAACACTGCAATGAAATCGGTTGGTCAGCGTTTTCTTGGAATGGCGCCGCTGCTCTTCCAGACTTACCCTGTCGCTACGGTGCGCAGTACCGCATTAACTCCTCCGGCCAGAGGATATAGATCGTTGGTCGCGGGTACATATTCTCGTACGCCTGTAAATATAACAGTCGCGTCAGCGATGACACTGAAGGCGCTTGAACAAAATGTTTGCGCTCACGATGTGGTCGAAGGTCTTCCCAAGAAAGTAGGCCCGCGTCGATCAGTGTGTAGGCTGCCAATCCGCTCAACCTCAGTGCGTGTTCCTTGCTGCTCCAGAGGGCTACTCGCGAAGGCTCAAGGTCGCAACGCATGTTCAGGAGGGGCAAAAAGTTGTGGAACGAGTGCACTGCCGCTTCCTCCCCGTTCTGGAAAAGAGTGAGCTGATCAGTAAGCTGATTCGTAGGATAAAATTCTTACTCTCCTCCTCCTCCTCACCTCGCTTCGAATCTGCTCTCCGAATCGACCGGCAGCCTCCTTCACTTCTGGACTTAGCGCGGTGATGATAGCTTCTGTAAGGGTGTCGGCGTTGAATTTCTTGAAAGGGATACTGCAATCCGGAAGGCCTGTTTGAGCGTCGGTATTTGCATGATTCACAGTCATTTGCGGCTGCTTACGGTTCGGGTCCAGCTCCGGCTCTGGCTACCATTGCGCCCTGAGAAACGGTGCTGGAACTGTTAGTATCGAGAAGAAAGAAAAACGGCCCAATCGTAACAGCTCACCTGGAAAGGTTGGTCTCCAAAGAACGGCACGACTATGGTTGGTACACCGTTCTTGAGCCCGATTGCTGTCGTCCCCGCTCCGCCGTGATGGCAGACCGCGGAAACGCGGCCATCGGCAAACAGCCAATCGTGAGGTACGTTCCCTACATCGGCAAAATAAGCCTCGTTCATCGCTATTCGCGCCGAAAGACCTCGGCTCACCTAGGATGAACACGTCCTCTGGCACGTTATCACCACCGATATCACTCCATCCGGCGCTGACCAGGGCTCTCACTCCGGTCCTCTCCACGGCTTCGAATATCGTCGCAGTAAGTTTTGCGGGATCGTCGACCACGATAGAACCGAAGCTGTTGACGAGCCGGGGGAGTGAGGTTAGCGGTGGGCTTATTGTTGTTAGACGGGATACTCACCCGATATAGATCGGAGTTGGACCACTGGCCAGAAATTTGGCCAGTTCCGGTTCCGGCTCAAATTCACCACCGTCCTGCAAGAAGAAGTATCCGGCAATGTCTGTTTTCAATCCACCTCGTCAGCATCGCCAAGAGAAGAACCAGAGGTGCACCTGGGGCTCACCGATGTGCGCCTTCCAATCCTTAGGTTTAGGAATCACAGTGGGACTCCAACAGTAGATATGCGGGATCTTGAGCCTATCCGCCAATCCGGGCCCCTCTCCGTTCTGAAGTTCGTTCAACAACAGCTCTTTCCTCCTAAACTTGTTGATCGTAGGTCCCAAGCCTTGCCACGTCATGATCTCGGCCAGACCGTAGCTCAGGTAGTTGGTGAGCCTGTTCGGGGCATCGCTCGATTTGACGTTGACAAGAGGGTGATTGAATTCGCCGGTCGGACTCCAGGGCATTGCTGTGATACACAGCAAACATTAGCGCAGGTTCATTTTTCAAACCTTTAGAGAGCGCGAAGTCACTATCTGTACTCACTGAACGAGATGACCAACGGCAGACCCGTCATCTCGGCAATGTGTACATGCGCAAAGCTCGGCGGGTTCGCAATGATGGCGTCTGCGGCAAACGATCGTCCGGTCTGCTCATCCGGGTAGTAAATCGACCGGAGGAACCTGTGAAGCATCTGCGGGCAGACGGGAATGTCAGCCCTTCCTCGCATAGCATACGCATCTCGAGATTGAGCAGAACGGACCTCTTTGACCATCTTTTGTTTTTTGGGGATGTCACCGTTGATCAGGGATTCGCGTCCGGGCAATAATCCAGGGTCTATCCAGAATCAGAGTGGAAAGCAAAGCAACTTGCAAGATTAGCTCATCTTCTCCATTGCCTCGACACGGAGCCCGGAGCTTACTCTTGACCATGTACGCCATCAAGTCCTTGGGACTTCCTCCGATATCGAAGAACTCGAGGTTGTTCATCAACTCTGCTTCTTCTTCCTGATCAGACTCTCCGCCGCCGAGTCCAGGGGAATCGGTATAAGCCGGGGCGAAACCTTCCCTTTGCTCTTTCGACCAGCGTTTTTCGTCTTCCCATTGCCATCGTTCGTCAACCTCATGATCGACGTGCGACTTTATCCCGCTCGTCGACCTCGACCTCGAGCCCGATTTCTTCCAAGACGATGTCCCACTCTTCTTCCGTTCCTCCAATCGTTTCTTCAAGACCTTCTTCCCCGTCCCCAGTACGAAATCCTTGAACACCCCATGCGTACAGATCCTCACCCTGTGTCGACTGTCGGAGAGGATCAAGTTCAAGGCGAGCGAGAGGTAAGGTTGGACGTCACCCCGGGACCCGACTACGAAGATGACGATGTTGAGGCAAGGGACGTTTCGATCGGGGTTCGGATCGGCGTATTCATCTTCCACCGAGATGGCGTAGTCGGTAGGTAGGTCTGGTAACGCTTTCTTGAGGTTGCTTCAGAAGGTTTCAAGCACGCGGCCGGGTCATGTTAGTACATGGTTCCAGACGTTTGTGGAATCGTAAACACCGACTCACAGGACCATATCGATCCTCCCATCTTGCGTCACATCCGCACTCGTCTGAGCTCCATCCCCCTCGGCTGTGAACTTTGACGGGTCCTCGAACCCCGGTTCAAGCCGATCGTCCTCATCATCCGATGCTGCCGGTGTAGAAACCATCGAACTCGATTGCCGTTGCATAGGAGGAGCAGAGCCTCCAGGTCGGTTGTCCATCTTGCCGGGCTGACCCAAGTACCGGCGTTGATCCCATGATTTCTCGGGAAGAGGCGGCGGCGCTCCTATCGATTCGGTTGTAGGTCGGTAAAGCGGTGGAGCCGTGCTATGATGACGAGGAGCAGGACGATCTGGTAATTCAGGAGCTACATCCCGAGTAGCGGTGTTGCTCATAGACGAGCTGGTCCTATTGCTCTCGAATGACCGCTGTAGGTGCTGATATCGATTTGCTTCCCGTGCGGTAGCTTCCGAGGAAGGGTACGATGGGAGTTGCTTTTCCGACATGATACCAGGTGCAGGTGGTCTTTACAATTACGCTGCAATGTCGAGGTCGATGGGCGGAACAAGCTCATCTTCGTTGGTAGGATCCCAATCGCAATACAAGGTGAAAGGTTTGTGTCTATTTGTATCGCCATGATCAGGAGTCGCTGCGAGAGCTCGAGGTCAGGAACCTGTTCCGTTGGTCTCCTACGGGGAAGCAAAAGGGAGAGAGGAGCCGTGAGTCATCAGATGCCGTCGAGAGGAATCCCATGCAGCTGTACGCAGCTAGCAGCTAGCTCTTCACAGCTCTGACCTCGATATTCGTGACGTGTTACACAGCTGGCCGGGCATCGGAGATCACCCTTGACATCGACGAATGGGTATATCAGACAGACACGGCAGACACGTTGTACGAGACACATCACACAGTGCACAGTGTACAGTGCACAGTAGTAGTATTCAAGACGAGTCCTAGCCTGGACGATACCCGAGCTTGTCACACGGTTCATAATCCTTGTGCTTCCGTAGAACGCATACATCAGATCGTATCGATATAGCGCATCGCTCTCGATGCCAGCGACGACGAGTCTCGTATCCGTCAACACTGCATAAAATCCCCTCGTCGCATGGCTGTTCGGGTACAACACGTTCGCTCAAGACGATTCGTCTGTGGTATATTCCACTGTACAAATTTTGTTGTTTTTCTCTTTGGGTTATCATGTCGGTATACTGTAGATCTTCTGTTCTTTCGTCAAAGGTTTCGTTTCGTAGTAATTGTTGCTTTCGTGTGCTGTTGTTCGCCAAATCCCTCAGTTTCTTCATTGCAATGTCGAAGAGGGGAGCGCGTGGGCGGCTGTGTACGGTGTGTTTGAGGTATCAGTGTAACGTCGTGGAAAGAGCCTAGCCAAGCGGGCGGTTGATCGCTGTGCTCTGTGCGTAGTACCAGAGGCGATCCGGCTAGAAATGCCCGCTACCTCTCAAGAGATGTTCGCCCATCTGTTCACAAACCGACGTCGCACTTGGTCAGTATCGTCATTCCCACAAACTCAAATCATACTCCAGTATACGACTTACCGGACTGACGCTCCGCTTCTTCCCCCCACCCGTACCGGCACTCCCACTCCCGCTCCTCCCTCTACCGACTTTCAACCCGCCCGATCCGGTGCCGGGCAACCCATCTGGTCTGACATCCCCCTTGGGAGCCGTAGGAACCCCACCGGAACCCGGACCCGACCCTGAACTCGACCCAGAACCAGGTCCAGGGTTCGAAGTCGGTTTACTACTAACCCCACCTCCGAACCCGGTCCATCCGAAACTGACCCGTCTCGGTCTCATCCCACTGCCGGTGACTCCGCTCGGATCGACGTTGACGTTATTGTCCGAGTTTGTGGTCGGATGAGAAGCTGAGGCGGGCCCTTCCTGGATCGAACGTCTCCTCCCAAGTTCCCCATCTCCCAATGACGTGCCTCTTCCTCTCCACCCAAAGACGCTACCTCCACCGCCGATACCCTCCGTCCCACCTGATCCACCACCGCTAACACTGGCCGACCCGACGCTCTTCGTCCTCCCCAAAAAGCTACCCCCGACCCTGCCGAAAGCGCGTTCATAAGCGTGTTCTCCATCATCGTGCTCATGATCATGATCGTGATCGTCCATGGAGAACCCTGAGAACGGGTTGTTATACCTCGATACCGAGACGGGCCTGGGCCCAGTCGTACTGGTAGAAGCCGGTAACGAACGGGACAAGTCGGAAAAGCTTCCAAAGACTTGGACGGGGATGTTCGTAGTCCCCGGGTCAGGTGAGGTGGATAGCGAGGCTGAAACTGAGGATGAAGATGGGGGTCTGTCGTTATTGATCCTGATCTCCGGGGTAGCAGCAGCAGCAGTCGTTGTAGTCTGAGTACCGGTCCTGCCGAGTGTGGATGTATTGGTCCCAGGTGCAGGTACAGAGGGCACTCCTCGGTCGAACGGGTCGGCCGGTTCTTGCGCTGGAGGAGAGCGTCTGATGACGGGCTGTATCGTTCACCAAAAAGAAAAATTAGACGGGAAAATGAGCATTCCAAGCTGAGCCGATTTCGATAGCCCATATCGAATTCGGAAACTCGAAGTGCATATTCCAAGCAGAGGCTCACCCGGACAGACCCTCCCAAGCTCAACCTCCTCAACACCCCTTGACCTCGTTCGACCTTCCCATCGACTACTCCTATCCCGGACCCTGAAGTCGAGTTCGGATTCGGGTTTGTAGTTGTGATCGAAATCGAAGATGGGTTCTCGGCCGGTCCTGATCCAGACGAGGTCGAAGTAGACGTTGCAGTAGAGGTCGAGGAGAAAGCAGCAGAGACCCCGCTCATCCCCTTCATCCCCACTCCTACATTGACGTTCGATTTCGGGCCCGATGAAGTGGGGATGGGGATCGTAGACAAAGTAGGCGAAGTAGAAGAGGTTGAAGCCGGTGCTTCTGGTACTCCCGCCTTCGATGTCACGGTCGAGTTCGAGGGAGAAGACCCGAACCCAAACCCAGGAGTCAAGGGTTTATTCCAGTCTGCTGTAGCGCTGGCGGAGATGATCGGGGGTGAGATCGGGCCCGTATACCCTAGGTTTAGGTTGGAATATGTCGGGCTGACGAGGGCATTCAGGTTATTGTTGTTGTTGTTGTTGTTGACGTTGTTGTTGTTGAGGCTGGAACCGAGGTTGAGGTTGAGATTCAGGCTGTTTTCTTTCTTGTGGTGGTGGATGGTGATAGGGACGGGTGAAGGAGCCATCGTGATGGTGCTATCGGTCGAGGTAGGTCGTTGATGGCTCTTATGAGGGAATTCGTTCTGATCTGATTTAAACTAGCTGAACAGCGGGGTCGAAAACCAGATACTGTGGAGGGTTTCGAGGTTGTTCTTCCCTCGTTGGTCTTCCCTCAGTTCCGTGTCTTAGCTCCTGTAAGAGATTCTTCTTGAGATATCCTCGAGGTTGCGAAGGTCGAGATGGAGATAGTAATGAAGGTCGAGCTGTGTTTGTGGTTTCGGGTCGAGACGAGGTATACGGGAGCGCTGGGGGATTGAGCTCAGGTACGGGCTTGTCCTGCTCAGCTAAGAGATTAAGGTTTCGATGTGCTGCTTCTAGGTGGTGCTTCTTGATACTTCTTGTGCCAGTCTTTCCTTTGATGGACGTGAGCTACACGACGACGACGACGACATCATCATGATTCTGTCCAAGTTCGTTCCGGGTACTCAACCAGCTGGAGGTCGGGGTCACGGGACCAAACGAATTAGCGTTATTATTAGGGCGGGCGCGACATCGGCAGCCACACCGGTTTACTAATCTGATTAACATTCCCGGGGGGCCCCCTTGATTAGTATTATTGTATCTGATTGATATCAACTCATTAGGAGATTTGTACAATAACTTACGGGCAAGTCGTCATAAGCTCAGTAGACTGTCAAGTGTGATTAGATCCTCCAGAGACAAAGTTCTTCCCACATCCCTGCCGCCCTCGTGACTGTCCTGCCATTTACAAAAACACGGAAGCTCTCTATATTGTATACTTGTCCAAGCAAATGCAGGTTTGTACCAGAGTGAGGTACCAAAGATCTATTTGATACAGATTCTACACCTCAACATGAAGAAAGATCTGTAGTCCCATGTGGCAAAATTCAGGGCAGGTCGGCTCGGTGCTGTACAGCCGCCCGTACTTAGCACTGCCCACAGCCTCAACGCACGATTCACCTCTTTTGAATGAAGCATTGGAGCTCCGCCTCAACCCCCTACCGCCGAGAAGAAAGACAAGTACCGACAGAGCGTACACTTCTACAAGGATGTGAACAAGAAGCGGATCCCTCAAGACCAAGAGTCAATCAAAGCCTACCGCGCTCGTTCCGGACAGGCTTACGAAGAGACCACGTGTGACAACCTCGACCAACTCAATCATCTCGGACTCTTGGACTTTGATCTCGGCAAGAATGAGAAGGTGGTCAGTCCCGGGGCAATGAAGTTGTTGGTTGATATGGATTTTGACGTTGACGGGATTGAGGAGGTAAGTTGGCCAGCTACAAAAGGTCGATCCAAGCCAGCTGTAAAAGTGCAGTCACAAAAATATCAAATCAATATCGATCGTGTAAGGGCTAAGGTCTGGAGGGTCTCAGAAATGAGACAATTACTCGGGCAGGAAGGCTGAATGGAATTGGGCCATCAGCGCTGGACCCGACTCCAACTCCCCTGTGTCGTTCGCGTCCGCCGTACAAGTACATCTCTTTCATCAAAATGCAAGCCTTCCGACAGGAGAGGGGTGCTGATGTTCACCGAGATTCAAGTCGATGATCTTTCCAACATCAATCAACCGAAGTTCAACAGAGTTGTGCAGGAGTATTCGGTCGACAGCTGTGAGTCTCCAAGATTGTGATCGAGTTCCCTGATATTAACCATCCAACTTGGACAGCCGGTAAAATTGGCAGTCGGGGTACTCTCTTGTTTGATAAAGAACCGGGAGTCTTGTCTGGGGGAGGGGAGGGGAGACTTGCGCCTACACCCATAGAGAGCGATTTGGCACGGGCGGCAATAGATGAGGTGATCGAGTGAGGCGAGATATCTCCATCGTCCTCAGAACAGACCGTTTTAACCATTGGAGAGGGATCTCTCAGCGTCTGCCAGTTCAAGCTAAGATATACTTGCAGGGTAGATTTGCGCTGAAACCACGGGCGCCAATAAGTTGAATGCTGTTTCGGATCCTGATTATCGTCTGAGCTGTCCCTCGATCTCTTCAATCTTGTCGTCTGTAGGAGGTACGGCTGAGTGAGCTTCGTGCATGGTGAGACCAACAGTTGCGACCCTACCCTTCCAGAATGAGCCAGATCCGTTCAAGTACCTTGGTATGTCAGTATTATAGGCATCCGCGATACCAGCAAAGCTCATAGTCAGCTGTAGACCTCATGGGTTCCCACATCAACGTCCGCTTGATATCTGGATAAATACTATATAGAGTCCCTGTTGTTCTGTCCATTCGCAACCTTGTATATCACTTGATATCGAGAGAGATTCTTTCCTATCAGCAATGCTCAAATCTCGATTGTTAACCGCCTTCAGGTCCGTGAGACCGGCAACATGAGCGACTTCCTATGTCCTTCGCTATGGCAAGCGAAAGCCGCGAAGATGTTGAGGCCGCGAACTAGGGAATGGATGAACCTTTTGTACGAAATCATTATCAGATGAGTGCTAGGCACATTTATGTTCAATTGAAGGCGCTGTATCGATCAGGTGATCAGGTGAAACGAGCAAGCGATACATCTGAAACGCTTGGAAGCGGACATCTGTAACATCTTTGATAATTGATCATCTAAATTATTACCCAATGTCCGCGTCGTAGTGATTGATCGATGGAGGGTACTCTACTCAGCTACTCAGTACTTTCGAGCCATGAGCAGCTCATATACCTCTGGTGCACAACCTCGTTCAGGTGTTCATTGCTAGATCCCAGTGTCATAGTGAGGGGGCCTGAATAGCTGTCTGTCACGTTGGCTTCGGTCGGATCATGCCACCGCGTAAAGGTCCTCGAAACATCGTCAGCTCGGGTTCGGCAGGAAACAGCTCGAAATCTAAACCCAAGGCTGTGAATCCTGACGACATCCCCGATGGACCGCCTCGGCCACCACCACTGTTTCCTCTGGGCTACAAGACGCCTATTCAGCTCTTGAACGAAAAGTGTAGGAAAGCTGGGTGGGAGAACCCTTCGGTAACATCACACCCGAATCGAGGTGGAGGTGGTGCGGATGGAGCTCAGACGTATACGGCGACGGTGACTTTGAAGAAGAGGAGGAATAAGAATGCCATGGACTTTGATACGGTCAGGTTCGTGCCCGTACCGCCAATAGAGCAGACGGATGCTGCTTTGGCCAGGCATTTCGGAGCGACTTATGCGCTGTTCAGGGTGAGCTACTATGGTTCAGGCGTTCAGCTTGGTCCCTCTGGACTAGAGTCGTCAAACCTGACATCAGCATACCGAGCGAAGGCTGATCTCCTCCCGTTTCTCTTCTCTTTTGTTCTTTTCCTCCTCCGGCACCTCCTCTTCTCCTTCTCTTGACCGTTCGGTCCTACTTCCTCTCGACCTATAGTTCTGCAACAACATGCCGATGGCAATGCTCCTTCCCCCCATAATTCGGCCGTACTGGTCAACCCTCCTCTCCGAAAAAGCTTCAGCCCCACCTCATAGGGACTGGGAATACGCCGAAGATCCCTTTGCAGCCAGGAAAGAGGTCGACAGTAGACAAGAGAAGCGCAAAGAACAACAGGTCCGACAGGCAGAGTTCAAGCATGAGCTCAAGACGGGTGCGTTGGGTGGGAATGGGGACTTCGTCGTAAGAGGAAAGGAGGTCAGAGAGGATGATGGGAGAGGGAAAGCGGGGAGGGGTGGGATGGGTTGGATGGGGGTTCCGGAGGTCAAGATGACGGTTCAGCAACGAGAGGTTGTTGAGGGTGTGATTCGAAAGGTCAGTTCAGATTTTGGAGTGAAAGGAGCGAGGTATTGCTGTAAGATCGTCAAGATGAACGAATTTGTTAGCTTACTACTATGCATATCATGCTACTTCTCCGCTTAATTATCCGTGAAATACTGCCTTTATACACTGCATGAACATATTCGGCATCATCTTCGCTGCGGATGCGGGCAGATGATGTCCAAATACCCTTCCGCCATCATGGAAGCGACCAGAGAGTCCGAAGGGACCGTCTCCACCTTCCCCTCTGGAGCCAACACTCCTCTGCCGGCTCTGGAAGCAGGCCCGATAGCCCAACAATTGAAGTCTATGGGATTCCGACCGGCACACGTGGATTCGTGCATGAAAGCCCTGGTTGCAGCGCATGAACGGTTACATGCGGGTCCTTCTGCCCAACCCGGATCGTCGAGGATCACACAAGATCCGTTGACGCTCTCGCTCAACCTGCTTTCCCCGCTCGAAGCGGCCATCGAATGGCTCCTCGTCCATCTACCTGAGGATGACCTTCCACCGTCGTACAGGTCGTCAGCGGCTGTGGATTTCGTCTCCTCAGTCTCGAGCGGGACGGGAGGGCAGACGGAGCTTGTCAAAGGATGGGTCATCGACAAGCTTACGAGAAAGGCCGGGTTTCCGAGAAAGGCCGTGATGAGGGTTATCGAGGAGGAGACAAGGGAATCGGTCGTGCTCGATTTGCTAGGGAGGAGATTGTGTGGGTGGGAAACGGACGAAGGCGGTTGGGGCGTGGAAGAGTATGGTGCTGGGTGGGAAGGTGGGGACGAACAGGAGGACGAGGCGAGGCGGATAGCGAGGGAGGAGGAGATGGTCATCTTGATTTCGGTGCTCGACGATCGGGTGCAACAGGTCTCGGAGCAAGAAATCGCCATCGAGGTCTCCGCCGTACAAGGAGAAGATCTCGTTCTCAATGTCATCTTTTCCGAAGCTTCGCCTTACCCCTCGGCACGGTATCCGGCCCACCCACCGACGTTCTACCTGACTTCCAATTCGCTACCTTCGTACTTCCGGTTACATCTGCATGGCGAGGTCCTGAGAGCGTTTAGGGACCCGGAGCGACCGGATCTGCAGTCCTTGTTGGAGGCCGGAGCGGGAGGGGCAGTGTACGCCATGATGGAGATCTTGGAAACGGCACTGCCTGCATGCCTAGAAAGACCGCCTGATATCGCCTCGGTCACGCAATACCTCGTGCCCAAGGTCGAAGATGTGCAACAAGAGGTCGAGGTGAGGAAACGACTACAGAAGCTCAAGGTCGGTCGAGGTGGGGGGCGCCAGCCGGGCATGTCGGAGCAAGAAGTCCGGGCACACCATGAAGCCATGCAAGCGGCTCCGGGATGGAAGTCGATGTTGGCGGCCAGGCAGAGCTTGCCAGCATGGTCGTCCCGCGAGGAGATCATCGATGCGCTCGAGAAGAACCGGGTGGTCGTTATTGTCGGAGAGACAGGGTCCGGTAAATCGACCCAGTCGCCGAGCTACATCTTGGACCACGAGATCGCTCAGGGCCGAGGCGCTTCTACCAACATCTTCGTCACTCAACCTCGACGTGTCGCTGCAATTGGAGTAGCCACGCGTGTAGCTGAAGAACGCATGGAGGATCTCGACAAGGGACCTCAGACGGTCGGATACGTTATTCGGGGCGAATCGAGGACGAACGCCAAGATGGCCAAGATCACGTTCTGCACTACTGGAGTGGTCTTGAGGCGGTTGGCGAGCGGGGGAGATGTCAACCTGGAAGGCGTTTCGCACATCATCGTCGACGAAGTGCACGAGAGGAGTGTGGATGGGGATTTCTTGTTGCTCCAGCTACGTGAGCTGTTGAAGCGAAACAAGACCATCAAGGTGAGCACCGGCTCGAAATTTCTCAAGCAGATGTGCGGGCTTATATTGCTTGTCTCTCAGGTCATCCTTATGAGTGCTACTATCAATCAGGAACAATTTATCAACTACTTTGGCGGCGCGCCAGCCATCGAGATTCCAGGATTTACGCATCCTGTGGAGGATTTGTGAGCTTTTCTGTGCTACAACCTTGCCCTTAGCGATGGAGGTTGACTTGGACTGCATCGCAGCTACATGGAGGACTATCTACCGAAACTCCAGTACCGTGCCGAAACTCCGAGGTTCAAGGCAAAGCAGTCGGAAGATCAGAAGACTGCTCTCAAGGCCTGGCTGGACGGGCTTGATATGGACGCCCAGTCGAAACAGTCCCTGGAGGCCTTGTCTATCGGCACTCAGATACCCTACGACTTGATCGCGGCGCTGGTCGCCCACATAGAAGCTACTTCGCAGAAGCCAGATGACGGCGTCTTGATCTTGTAGGTGCAATCGCGCTCTTGACAAGGCTTGTTTTGCTGACTCTTGAACTTTAGCTTGCCCGGTGTAGGGGAAATCAAATCCTGTATCGAAGCCCTGCGACAGAGGGTTCGAAACGTCGACATCTTCCCCTTGCACGCAAATCTCTCCAACGCCGAGCAAAAGCAGGTCTTTGCGAAAACAAAACGGAGAAAGGTCGTGGTGGCTACGAACGTCGCCGAAACAAGTGTCACCATCGCAGATATCGTATACGTCATTGACAGTGGAAAGGTCAAGGAGACTCAATTCGACGCCGACACAAACATGTCCCGGTTGGTCGAGACATATACAAGGTGAGCTAGCGTCTCGCAGTCTTTCGATATGGCATATGCTGACCAGCCCTGACTCAGTCGGGCTGCTTCTCGCCAGAGGCGGGGACGAGCTGGACGAACGAAGCCAGGAATCTGTTACAAGATTTTTAGCCGTCGGACCGAAAACCAATTCATGGCCCGCTTCGCCATTCCGGAAATCCTCCGAACGCCGTTGGAGAGTCTGTTCTTGCAGGTCAAGAGCATGGACCCGGATGCGGACGTCAAGCAATATCTATTGTGAGTCTTGTCGCCCGGGACATGGTATCAGATCAGACCTTTATAACCATTGTCGAACGGACCTACAGAAAGGCTATCGATCCCCCCAAGATCGAGGCGATGGATGCTGCTTGGAAGACATTGCTGGATCTTGGAGCCGTAGAAGGTGAAGCCATGACGTCGCGGTTGACAGCCTTGGGGAGACACGTTAGTAAAGCCTGCTGCCGGTTGGTTGGTTCATGTCAAGCTGATCTGAATCCCGTCTGAACCACAGATGTCCTCGCTTCCCGTGGATTTGCGTCTGGCCAAAATGCTGGTGCTGGCATGCATCTTCCGGGCTTTAGACCCGGTCTTGTCAATCGCAGCGATGCTGTCCAGCAAACCTCTCTTTAGTGGCCCAATGGAGAAGAGGGAGGAGATGAAGAAGTGAGCACAAAATGTATGTCGGCATGCTGATTGACGCTAAGATCTATACTTTCGCTTCAGGGCACGGGAAAGATTCTCTTGGGGACAATCAGATATCTTGCTGAACCTCAGAGCTTACAACGCAGCCGTCGCTTGCGGTGGTTACTCGGCCATGCGTTCGTTCTGTGAGGAGAACTTTGTCAACTTCAATACGGTCCGCGATATCAGCTCGTTGCGACAAGATTTCCAGGCAGCGTTAGCAGAGATCGGGCTGATCGACCCGCCGGGTAGAGGATCCAGACGGAATCAGGATCTGGATGACTGGAACGTCAACTCGGAGAATGAGAGTCTGCTCAAGGGTATTCTCGTCGGGGCCTTCTGGCCTAGGATCGTGCGCATTCGGTTGCCCGATGCCAAGTATGAGAAAGTTCAGGCTGGAAGTGTGGCCAAGGAGCACGAGGCGAGGGAGGTCAAATATTACGATAGCGTCGATAACAGCCGGGTCTTCATCGTGAGTTATTCTCCGGTTCTGGTACGGCCATATTGTCACTCATCGGTTCTCTACGGCAGCATCCGGGCTCTATCCTTTTCCATGAAAACAACCTCAAGCCAGGGTATATCACCTTTTTCCACCGAGCGGAAACATCGAAAGTTTTCCTCTTTGATGCGACACCTGTGAGTTTGCCGTGTCGCATACGATACACAAAATCAGGCCCCTTTGACGACCCATTGTTCTACCCAGGTACCGCTCTTTGCTTTGCTCTTGTTTGGCGGCCAATTGACCATCAACCATTTCGCCGGCGGGATCACTGTGGGAAAAGAGGGAAACATCCGGCTTCGAGCTTGGTCACGAATAGGTATTCTTGCGAACCAGCTGCGTCGGCTGCTCGATGCCAGACTGGCCGAGGTGATCGAGAGTTCGGGGGACGATGTGATAGGCAAGAACGACGATATCGTCACAGCCATGTTGACGCTACTGCCCTAGATATATAGAATATAGATGCAGACGTGTTGCAAAAGAATTTTACCTACGTCCCAGGGCGAGGTTGGGCCACGGCATAGGTCGAAGTGCCAAATCGGCCAGTCGTCATGAACTCTTGTAGTCGTATAGATTGAAGAACCGTACCCAACTCCCGTATGGCATTATAATGATACAGTGCTATTATACACACCTTGAGATTTTTCCTTTTACCTAATCCCAACCGCCATCGACAACGCTCTTCCCCCATCTCTTGACAAAGTACCCAACACCCGCAGGTCCGATAATAGTGCACAACACAATCGCCCAGATCGTTATCAAGAACTCGTCCTCATCGAGCAGAGGTTCCGGTGTGGAATAAGCGATTTGCGAGATCCTGCAAGGAGGAAGCGTTTTCGAATAGCGACTCGGGTCAGCCTGATGTCCTGTTTACAAAATTCAAGACCTTGCGGAAGACATGGACTCACAATAGCCCAATCTCTCCTCGAGCGATCATAGCGAATCCAAGCAAGACCGCTCCTCTCCAACTCTCCCTCGCCCTCCCCTTCAATCCGCCCACAAACGTCCCCCCGGCCGATCCTGATCCGGGGACCTTCCAGACGAGCAACCAGACCCCGCAAAAGGCTTTAGCGAAGGTCATCAGGATGGCGTAGATGAGTCCTCTCCATATGTTCTTTCCACGCCAGAGCGGGATGAAGGGGATAGAGTATCCGATAGAGCCGAAGAAGATGGGGAGAAGGAAGTAGATGAGAAGCGGGGTTATGTAGTGTTCGAAAGTCCCGATCAGGGTTGGGTGTGGTTGGTCCGAGTGGTTTGAGGAGGCGGTCCTAGATGCTCGGATGGAGAGGTTGGGTTCGGCCTGGTCCATGTGCAACGAGTCGGACCCTGTTCCCCTCATCGTCGTCATCTCCGCCTCCTGTGAAAGACGGCCCGCTTGGTGATCCGTCATAGTATCCAGATCGTTCAGGTAGGAGACGACCAGTCCAGCGATGTACGCTCCGTATAAAGGCGAAGTCCCCGCATACCTCGTCCCAGCGATCATCCCCATAAACAGGCAGACCATGAAGAACAGTAACCCTTTCTTGCCCGCTTTGGTTCTCCATTTTCCCGATCTTGTCTGCTTGAACCATAAGAACCCCGGTCCGATGATCCAGCGGGTCAGGGGGATGAGGACGAAGCCGAACCCAAAGGTCACCCCGATGGCTCGTCCGATATGTCCCCCGAGTGCCATGGCCCCTGATTCGGTGTTCTCCCCGACGAGCGAGAGGATCTCGGAGAGGATGAAAGCGACGACATCGTCCATCACAGCAGCTCCTAGTAAAGCCGTTCCTAACTTGCTACGCTTAATGTCGAACCCAAGAGAAGGACCTGAGAGGAGCGTGAGGACGGTTCCCAAGGAAGTTGAGGAGAGGGCTGCTCCGGCTGCGAAAGAGTGAAGTAGAGGGAAGTTGAACATCGGCGTGAGGAGGAAGGAGAGGGCGATGGGGACCAGGAGACCGCTGAGAGCGATACATGTTGAGAGGGGGAGGAGACCGGTCAGGGTTGATAACGAGGTCGATGCTCCGCCTGTAGAATTACCGAAGCCGTAGTCGACATCATGTAGATCAGTAAGCGAGAATATCAGTCTAACTGCCTTTTACGAACAAAATTCAAACCGCCACGCAGAGACTCACCTTCAAAGACGACAAGCAATAGCCCGATATACCCCACGACGACAAACGTCTCCTGCCATTCGACATGCAACCATTCTGCCAACGGACTACCCCAGACGATCCCGATCAAGATCTGACCCAACAATCCAGCCGAGAGGAGCCATTCAAATGCCCATCCGAAGAGGTTGAGAAAGTAGAAATAGTTGGAGAGGATCAAGAGCGAGGCAATGGGTGGGTCGTGGTAGATGAACTGGGACGGCATGTCGTGACCGCTGTTTGCCGCAGTAGCTAGGATGGACTGCCAGTAACACTCCAGGGAAAGCGCTTGTATTTTAGTCGGTAAATGAGGAGTTTTGGGCCAATTCGACTACCGTTTGCTACCTGTTTACAATTTTGGTAGACACGTCACAAACAGAGAGTAATGGGCAAATTTAGCTCTTGTTTTAGACTGATTAAACAGCTCGTTCACATCGGCGGGAGTAGACAGCGAGTAAACGAGGTCATATACACGGTGCAAACAGGGAGTAAACGAGCGATAATCCACGTGTAAACAGTGCACGAACAAAAGCGGAAGCAATCACGATCAGGGGGGCTGATACGGCGCGTCACATCAATGCGGACATGATAATGCTATAATGTCCGTAGATATCGGATGCAAACACTATATTACATCCGCCACGCTTCGTAAACAACCGCCTGATCAAAGGGAGTCGATATTTGATCAGATTAGATCGATCGCACCGGTCGACCATCAGCTATCGCACTATCAACACCTCAACTCCGCTCTGAGCTCACCATGATCGACATAGCTGCCTAAGGTGGTAGACAGAGCGGGGCTGCTGGTCCATCGAAATCGTTACCATAGCCATCGTCAGCAAACCCGGTAGTCGCAATCACGGAATCGCATCGAACTGCAAAGAACATACCGTCAACGATGTTGGAACCACGCCGATCTGGAGAAAGCCCGGCAAGAACGGGAACGAGTGAGCCGCCTGATCCTCCGAACAAGCATCCGATATCTGACTCACTACTCACTCCATGTCTTACTGTTTCAGTCCGGTTCCCGGGCAGGTCTCTCGATACCAACTTCTCGACCAGGGCTACTCAGCTCCGAGATATGTACGCGGATTCCTCCTTGGGGTCGACAAACTCCTCTCCCTCCGATAACTCCTCCTTTGAGACTCCAATCCGTCCTGCCTCGCATATGGACAGCCGTTCGCAGGTTCCGCCGAGCCGAATCCTGCAAGAGTCGCCGTCAATCCAGATGAATCGAGCCAAAGTCAGCGGAGCGAACAGAGGGTCTAGCTTGATGGCAGCAAGCCCGGTACCCTCGAGACCTGTCAACGTACCTCAGCCCTCTCGATCGAACACGCAGCCCCAGCCGACCCCATCACGACTAGCCGCTCCAATCGTACTCGGTCCCCCTGTCATCGCTCCTCCTGTCATCGCCCGTTCCAGTCAAGGGCAATCTAGTCAGCCTGCACGCCCCGTACGAACCTATGCCTCCCCTCCAACGACACAGCAACCCACACGATCAAACTCTAGCTCCTCTTCCATGAATCCTCCGCCTCCTCCGGTTGCCGGTGTTGCTCAACGACAATCTGGTCATCAACTTCAAAAGATGCTGGCTACAGCGAACAATAACGCAAAGGACATCAGCGATCACACCAGAACACTCGCCTTACATGCGCAACAGATACAGGAGCAAGGGAAGGCGTCGACCGGCCTGGAGAAGATCGTCGAGGAGCTTCGTCAGCAAATGAACCGACTGGCACAGGAGCACGTCAACGTGAAGGCTCAGCTAGCGGATCTCCAGGAGCGTGTCGAAAGCGGAGCAGTCGGATGTCAGGTGGACGTTGATGAGGGCTTGACGAAGGTGGTATCGGTGGTGGTTCGAGCGGCAGCCAGTGTTGCGTATGGCTGCACTCCTCCAAAGGCATATCCTGCCGAAGAAGAGGAGTGGCCACGGGTGGAAGCAGCGGATGGAAGTCTAGGAGAATTGGCGATGAGATGGGATCTGGATCAGCACTTTACATCGGACCGCAATACCGTCCAGACCAACAAGCTACTCACAATCCTCAAATACCAAATCGGAAACCTTCCCCTGACCGCCGACATCCCTCGAGAATCTGTTCCTCCTTATCTCGACAATGCAAACCTCTACAACAATGCGATCTCTGTCCTGTTCCGTCAGTACCAGGCTGCTATGAAGGTACGTACCTGCGATCGCCTTGCAGTGCGCCGACTCGACTGAACATGCCTTACTCTCGCCGGGGTTGCACAGAAAAAGAAGGCTTCCGAAGCGCGGACGAGGCAGATGGAGCTGGCGGAGGAGATCGCAGAGATGGAAGAGCAGGGAGCTTCCGAGGCGGAAATCCAAGCGAAAAAGGACGAGTTGGAAGAGATGAACAAGGGCCAGGGGGTGCCCAGAAAGTATCTGAAAGGGAATGTGAAATCAAAGGCGAATACAGTCAGTATCCCTGTCGCCCACAGTTGGTGTCTGTCGCGAATCGGTGATTGCAGTGCTCACCCGACCGGTCGTCCTTCAGGTACAAAGGTGGATTTCAGCCCGACGTCCATTGACGGAGTACAAAGGTCCCGAATATGACTGTCTCGATAGCGTGTTCTGCACGGTACCGCTCTACTGCGTGAATCCAGATGTCGAGGATGAGGGAAAGATCTGGTGCTGGCCTGACATGCAAGGCGTGTATTCTGAACAGGTGAGAGATTGCACAGTAGCCTGATCTACGTGAGCGGGATGGAGCTGATCAGGACCGACGTATCACAACAGTTCATCAAAGCGTGGCGTACCATATACTTTTTGCGACATTCCACGTTAGGAAAAGGCGGCGGCGTACAGGCGTCACCCGAACCCCCTGGCGGCGCGGTGAGGCAAAAGGCCATTCCTCTCTTTCCTTCTCGCTATGTCGATTTGCATACCGGCCCTCAAGAATGGATGTTCGCCCAGAGCTGGCTGGAGGACGAAGACAATGCCGATCAGGTCGATATGCTTGTCGTTCCTGCTACGCAACCGACGAGCGTTCAGGAAGTACTCACCAGCAACTGGTATGCCACGCACGCATGGGTCACCAAGTCCAAGGCAAGGACCGGAGCCAGTGCAAAGACTGGAGCCACTACCAAGAAGCAGACGAAGGGTGCGGGATCGTCTGGGGGGAAAGGACGTACCAAATCGACTACCCCGGCCGCCATGGCCGCTTCGAGCTCGGGTGTCGATGCCAACAGGCAGCGAGGCATCCGCGGCGAGTCGATCCCTGGAAACTTCGATGGAGGAAGAATGCATACCGGTTCGATGAGTCCTGTCCCAGCCAGTCAGCCAACCCACTTCAACACCCGAAACATACCTGGCCTCTCAGTCACCAACCGCATGCAAAAGTCTCCTTCGTGCGACGGCCTCAGTCCAGTAGGCGATGCCCGATCCCCCACCGACCGCCACCAGGACGAAAATCATAATCAGTTTCAAGGTTTCAGAATGGATATCGATCCTCCCGCCGCTATACGTACCTACTACGAAGATTTCACTTCTCCGGACGAATCTCAAGGTGCCGGATATACCCACATGGGTGGCATGCCGGGTAACGAGGATTTGGAGATGACGCCGGAGGAGCTCCGACAAGCGATGGCCGCTTACCCCGACCTCTTCACCGATATCAACAACTAACGTCATCCAACCTTTCTCTGCGATTTCATCGTCTTCATGATCATGCCCTCCTAGGATACAGGCAACCTTTGGGTTTAATGGGTTTAACGCGATTGTCAGCTTTCATTTTGTATCACGGGTAATCACTTCGGGCGGGGTGTGTGTGGCTTACAGAACCGATGTATTATCCCGGTCAGCCACTGTCAGAATGTATATTATCAGCCCGCCCCCATGTCTTCATTGCCGAATAAATCATCAGGCAATTCCTCGTTGCTGTCTGCGTCCAGCCAGAATTCTGGCTCGCGACCTTCCTGTGGAGGCAGACACTGCATCAGCCCGGTCGTGGTTATCTCCCGACCGATCGGACCCACCGTATCACAGGAAACAGACGCCAGGCAAGCGCCATCGGCCCGAGTGTTCAGTGGCGTAACGATGACAGAGCTCTTCAGATTCTTCAAAGGAACGAGTGTCTTGCCCTGCTTCGTCGCGCGATTGATGCGTATCCCGAGGTCTATGTCGCGATGTTGCCATGGGTAGGTACCGATAGCAGCGTCAAAGAACTCGACCAAAACCAAATCCTCATTCAGCATGTCGGGGAGATGCTCGACCTTCAGGCTGATGGAAAGAAATATGTGAATTTGGCAGAGATGGCGCGGCCCACTGCCGTCGTTTGCCTTTGTTGCGAGTGCGTATTGATTGCGTTGGCCACGGGAGTAGATGGACGAGCAGAACCTGTGACGTGATGGTAGCGAGGCGCAAAGGGGTGCGAATCAATCAGCAGAACGGTCTGATAGGAGACGGGACGGGCTTACTTGAAGCCGTTATATACCGCATGAGTATAGATCCGATAGCCTTGGGACCGGGTCGGTAACGATGGTCGGGGGTCCATGAAGAAGGCTGCATCGATGAACCGGTATTCAGGGCGTTCGGCGTTGAGGTAAGATAGTAAGGGGGCGTAGGCGTCCCAAAGGTGTAGGTCCACGGGTCTTCCTTTCTGGTACGGGACTGGCAGTCGTATGGTTCGAGTAGCAGCGTTCCCTCTCGCTTCTTGGAGCATGAGCGTACCCATTATCGCTATCCTATTCAGAAGAAGCGTCTTGAGCGCTGCTATTTCGACATCGGTTGCGTTCGGCGCGGGATTGTTGATGATGGCGGCAAGGCGGGACTCGAGGATCCACCGTCGAAGACAAGTGCTAGCAATGTCGACTTCGCGGCCGTTGTGGTTGATGTTGGCTAACACACCGTTATTTCGTTCGAAAGCCCAAGTCCCGAATCCGGAGAGAGGGCCAAACAATTGTACACATCGAGGATAGTGCATGGCGATATGCCAATTGATCGTCAGATGTCCCCCAAACGAGAGAATCGCTTTGGCGACGTCCGAAATATCCGTAACCGCGTGTTCTGCATCCTCGACGCTTAGGCTATGCGCATGCAGCGTGCGAAGCGATGCGGTGAGTGCTGTCGCTGCTTGGTACCAGCCCCACCTAGAGCGTCGTTTCCCCGATTCATCGTCAGGATCTTCGGGTTCATAGTCCTCGATGTCGTCGTCATTGGCACCTCGCCATGCAGCGTACAGCGCGAGAGGTAGAAGCTGCGCTATCCTTTTCCACTGATCCACTTTCAATCCCCCTCCCGCCGCTCGTTTTCCTCTTCCTTCCGGGACGAATTGCCTAGTAACACGGTTTGGCAACCGTCCTAAATGTCCTGGATAGATACTATTCTCAAAGACGGCCTTGAAGCTATCGCGAGACGACTCATCCTGATTCATTCCCGCCCAGTCGGGATGAAAGTCGGGGTCTTCGAAGAGTTCGAAGACGAAAAGCTGATTCACGAATGACTTCACCAGGCCGAGGAAGGAGTTGTGTAAAGGGTCCACAGGGGAGCTGGAGGCATGTTCGAATTGAGCCAGCCTTGCCATCGGCGAGAATCGTACCCCATAATCGTTTTCCAGCTGGGCTTGTCGCTCGGGAGATGCCACTTCGTACTCGAAAGCGGCTTTCAACATGTCTTCGGGTGTATGCGCAGGGAGATTGTGCCAATCGTAGCCCTTCGGATCGTTGATGTCGGACTTGACGATAGCGCAGTGGTGGCATGGGTGGTTCTTGTTGGAAAGGCCGACTGAGCCGACCAGTTTTCGAGTCGCCGGTAGGTCGGAGGCGTTGAAAAGCAGTCGGGTTTGAATCTCTACCGACTGCCCGTAGGTCGGACAGAAGGTCTCGAATCCCCGCTCGCAAAAGAGGAAATCCTCGACGAGCAGCTCCAATATCCGATTGAGACAGCTTCGCGATGGTTCTTTTGGTCCGGGGATAACTCCTAGTAACCCAGTGTATTTCCTTAGAAAACATTTGTCCCTCGGCAAATTCGCCACACACGCATATATTCCACCGATGGAAGAGCCGACGACACCCTTCACGGCGAACCTATTCGGATTAATTTCACCAAGCATTCATCAGCGAACTCTATTCTGGTATTAGAGGTAGAACGACTGAACGGTTGCACGCTTCCGGACACTCACCAGTCGATATTGATAATGATCTTGAGCCCAAATGGCAGGTCACAATGCCGCATGAGTCCAGCGCTCGGATCGAAATCAGGCCGTGCACGGGGGTCGTCGCTGAAGCTGTTGTCCTCGAAAACCGACCGTTGCGTATGGGCGAAGCCTGAACGCCAAGCAGAGCCCTCTGAAAGCCCGTCTAACGGGACGTTTCGATCGAAATAAGGGACACTTCTGTCGGTCGGCATGGCTTGTTTCCAGTTGTCGGGGCATTCGTCTTGGCTGCCCCGCCAGTCGTTTAGATGTTGTACGAATGCGTCGTCCTGCATGAAAAGAGCCAGCCACGTGGAAAGGGGGGTAAAGGGCATGACCTTGTACGGGGTGCGGGTACGACCGTTGACCGAATATAGCGCTGCGGTGCACACGCCATCTGTATGAGGCAGCGGCGATCCGCATGCTGGAGATTCGAGGCGGTATAGCTCTTGGTAGGGGACGAGATGCCAACATGCTAAGTTCGGGCAAACGATTCGTCGCTCCATGAAGTCGTCCGGATTCACTCCTAGTCGTGACATAGCTGTGATGACTTGTGTGGGACTGGTCAGAGGTTCTTCGCTGTTCCCTACTGCGATATTCAGCGCGGCTGTAGTTTGTTCTAGTATAGTCGCAGCTGCGATGTTGCTTAATCCTACAGCCTTGCCGAACGCGATGGTAGTGTACAGGTGACGAATGGCGGGATCCAGGTCGTGATGCTGGAGTACGTTCCTCAGGACTACAGTCGGCTTGACTCGGTCTGATGGCTCGATCCGGTCGACTTGCAAGGCTAGACCCGCGAAGCCGTCCTGGGGATCGTTTGCATCGAGCCAGGAATTGTACGCATCGGTCCGACGTTCCAAGATGTCCTGTAGACCCGGTGGTTCGGGTGATAGGCGCTCAACGTCGGCGGGCTCGAAGTCTCGGTTCATGTCGGCATCGTCATCCATATCCTCATAGCCATCTCCGCCATACTCCGAGTCACTGTCTGCTTCGTAGTCATGGTAACCGGTGTTGTCGTATTCCGCGGACGCTGGGAGTTCAGGTGACGCAGGACGGTATGTTTCGACCACCTCCTCTTCCAAAGTGTGACTCTCTTGATCAGGTGATACGGAGCTTCCGATCTCTGGCTCCAGAGTTCCTGTTATGTCGACAGATTCCTGCAGATTCCTATCCGCAGATCGTAGAGGAGCGAGAGGAGCGTTGGGCGGCCTGGCAAGGCGTGGGGCATGAGCCTGACCTCGTGGGTTGTGACGGTAGTACGTGGACGTCGGTAAGGAGCGATATCCATTTGGGGACTTGCTACAGGCCGGACAGAAGCAGGATCGCTTCAGGTGAGAGCACGTACTTTCGGTCAGTCTGTTACGGGATCATCACGTGAGCCGACTACCGACACATGGACTCGATTTACGGACATCAGCATACACCTAAGTCCGGCTCGACGAGGCGAATCCGATTCCCTCGGAGCAGATTCGGTCGCCCCTACCATTCACCGAAACAACAATACGTTTCCGGTACATATCACACACAGGTACAAGGACCTCGAGGTACACGACAACTCTACTCAGGACCTCGACAACCTTACTCGACGTACCTAGGGACAAATGAGAACTCAAACCCGCCTCCTCTACCGAATCCGGTTGCTCTCGACAGGATTCGGCTGTTCGCCATCTCGTTCTTCCAGTTTCGCCATCTCTCGCCATTCTTTTCTCTTGGGTCTTTTCAGTGTTCGCCAGCCTCGCCTCCGTACTCGTCTCCGTATAAATAGCTAGAGGAACTTGACCGAATTCGATAGAGGACGCTCTGTAATAGTAATAGGTCAAGTTCCGATATCACATTCAATACACGCCTATCTGACTTGTTACAACATCTTCAAGACGTGTTGCGGAGAGGTTACAACTCAAGGACGTCGCTAAGTATCTACGCTTCATCGTTTTACCTTAGACCGAATCCGGTACCTCACACCGAGTGATCACCTTCCTTATCCATACATCTCTGGATTCGTATCCCGCACCCGAACCCGCTTCATCTAAGCGGACTTGCGACATTCTCCCAACTACCTGCGATTCACCTATAAGCACCCTACGCCTTACGACTTAGGACCTAGCTCGATTAGCGACTTCCGCCGTAACACAGTCCTAGGAACGAGAGTATCACAGGACCACGTCTCGTTTGCATGAAACATACCAGATACTGTGAGCGAGGTGGCATCGCTGCTTGGCCGACCGCTCGGGGAGTATAGGAGGTCACCGTTCTTCCGGCTCATGAAAAGTTGTGGGACGATGCGGATTCCTTTGACCTCACTTATGAGAACGGGAGCGGTGGGACTACGAGCTACAGGCCAGATCCTTTCACGATGTTGCCGGTGCTGAGCTTCAGGTCGAGGTCAAGGTGCATGATATCCATACGGGCATATGAGAGCGATACAGGTCGAGCTAAGGTATGAGTTGTACGTGGTATCTACCCTACATCTCCAAGGTCAAGGTGTTGTGATGGCTGTGGTATGCAGTGACGTGGCCGACGTGGTGACAGTGGGTACAGTGCAGCTTAGAACGACCAAGTCGATACCGAGGTACCGATATACTTGACATGCTGAGACTCATCCGAAACGAGGTGTAAACAGTGTTATCAAAGTAATAATGAACCGTTTACTCGCTATTTATGACGTCACGAAATGAATGACGTGTAAACTTGGTGTAAATATACCGTCTATACGGCATTTGCTAACAGATTATGATCACGTGACATAAACTAGGGGTAAACTCGTGTGAAACGGTGTATCTCTTAACCATTTAAACAGTGCTAGATTTCCCCGTCCCCCGCAGTGCCAGTAACAACTACGGCGAATGGCCAGATATGTAGGGTCTAGGATATCGCTATGTCTGACCTCTTTTGCGTGATACACTATACTGTAGTATCATTGTATGAGTACGGTGTGGTACCTCTACTTTTCACATGGCGATACGTATTCGACGATGCAAGACGATCTTGACGATTCGCCCCACCAAGGCCGAGGTCGCGCTTCATCTCGGTTCAAGAGGACGGATGTCGGGGAGGGGAAAAGGCATCAATATTCTCGACGATGCTATATGATTACAAGGGTCTTTCACCGATCCCCCCTACCCTCTCCGACGTACACCATTCCATCTCCCCCATCAGAGTCATTTGAGCATGCAAACGATCCCGCCGAGAGAGGTGGAGGGGTGTTCGTCGGAGAGGGTAGGGGGTTCGGTGTTTGAATCACACTGGTCGGGCAAAGCAGGCGAACGGTCCGAGGTGTGGAATTAGGAATGGCGAGCCTCGTGTGGAACTTTTTTACGAGCGAGCATGGTCCCGGCAGACTCGAACCTGCTTGTTTGGTGTGTCGTTTTGGGGGTCGTGGAAGAGAGAACGATATCGATCGCGAGTGGGAAGGCTACCGTAATGCCCGTTCGCCTTGTGTTCATCTCCTAATCCGACGAGAAGGTGACGGTTGTTGATTTGCCAATAGGCTCGCTCGAAGGGTGATGACGTATGAAAACTTTTCCCCAAAGGCCGTAGCTGCCGCTGTGAGGATGTTGATAGGCAGGTCGAACGGTATGGTTTCCTCTGTTTGCCGAAATGCTCTGTTGTCCGCTTGGTCGTTGCCAAAGACAAGGGTAGGCTGGTCGAACTCATTTTCTTGCTCAACCGGTTCCACGTCCCAGTGCGGGTCCCACCCGGCGTCAGTGAGGGGGACGGACAGGGCAAATTCCGTGCGAGGTCAACTGCTCTTGTTGCTGGTAAAACCCAGCAGGATCAGCGACATGCGCTCGGAGTGTTCGAGAAGTCGGCCGGACGACCAGTCTGAGCTTACGACGGTTGCAACCGGGACCACGAGGAAGGTTCCTCAAAACCGCAGATGTCGATGAACGAGAGGGGATTGGTGTACGTCGGAGAGAGAACGGGTTCGAGTGGCGAGTGGGGCTGTGTATGATCATCGTCGCTCACTGAATTTCGGTGTCTAGTTGATGTACACAAATCGCAGAGTACAGAAGGAGCGACCGGTGATGGGCTTGCCTATGGCCTATATATATCTTCCTGAGAGAGCACCAATGCGCTGGCACTCCGAGATTCCGATAAGCGGTTTTGGGGGAATGACGATGACGATGCGATTCGGCCGGCCGGGTCAAATCGGGGTGCAACGGCGATTCCCCTAAAACTGCTCTTGTCTCGGTGGATCCCTTGGCTGTTCGAACGCCGTTCAAGTGAAAACGGGCCGACACCCGACGAGACGGGAGGTCGTCTTCTTTTGTTCGGATTGATGAAACGCGCGACGCGATCAAGGGATTGATGAAACTCTATCATCGCGTGCGCGGAACAAAAGAAGATTCACCATTTAGTTCTAGAACGTTAGAACAATAAGAGTAAAGAATGTTTCAGCTCGCGGGCTGAAGACGATTTGACGACCGCGACGAACAAAGAAGAGGGCGGTTGATGGGTTCGGTGATCGCGAAATCAATGAAACGCGATTTCAAAAGTGGATCGATCGAGGGATCGATGAAACTCTGTTTATCGCGTGAGATCAGGCTGCGTAAAGAAGGGCGGGATCGCAGCCAAAAAGCCACACGACCCGTCACCTTGAAGTGAGACTGAAGGAATGTTTTCTCGCCTGCTTCTAGCAGCGAGAAGCCTGTTGCGGCCCGAAATTACGAGAAGCCCGTGCGGCTGATATGAGCAGCGAGTAGGTTTCGAATCTCATTGCATGAATGCACTTTATCAGATCAGCAGCGATCGATATCGCATACGATACGCTCTGTACGACTAGCGAAGCCAAGACTTTGACCATGGCTCTACAAGGGTTCCCCTGCGCCCCTGCCTGGTTGGGATGTTGGGACGTCGTGATGACATCGACATCTCGTGCGATACATGGGCATGGTTTAATCGCACAATTACGATGAGCGACCTGTACGCCAAGTGCTCACTGCAGCTTCGTGCCAGCGCAACTCGCTCGAAGAGGTGAAGCGCTGCCTAGATCGTCGCTGAGCGGTGAACGTCGGATGCCTAGATGGCGGGCGCAGCGATATCGGCGGTCGGAAATCGCTCCTCTAGCGTGCCGTACCACACTACTACTGTAGAGGGTCGAGGGGATATTGCACACGTTGCCACGGTTCTGTCGCATCCGATACATTGGAAGCTGCCCTGACGACGGGGGTGTGAATCATCCTATCGTTCATCGTCAAAGAGGTATATATATACATGGGTATGGTGGAAGAGAAAAGTGTCCATGCGAAAATAACCTGAAGGTGTTTGGCTCGACCTCTTCAAGAAAAATCAGATGGGGAGGACCGGGAAGACCGTGAGCTGTAAATCATGGTGGCAACAGCGTCGAATCGATTCAGCTCGGCTTGGACCGTCATATAAGTGAGAGCCAATTTCACACGATCCCTTCACTCACGTACAAGTCCGAAATAGATGTGCTTGCCGTGCCGCTTCAGTCATGAGTTGCGCAGCCGGATAGGGACGAATAAGCGCAAATCGAATCAGCGCCACCTGCTATCTGCATGATCCAGCTCCCGGAAAGGCTCCTTTCTACTCACGTATGAGACCCTCGTGTCCTACTCGATCTCAAGGTCGAGCACGAGCGCTCCTCGTGCTATACCTTTTCGTGACAGGCGGGGTCGCCAAGACGGACGGAGGGTTGGGTAGTACAGGCCCTTGAATCCTCGTACTGTACCTCCTCGAGGGGGGCGCAATCGCAGGTGCAGGCGCAGGGTCGAGTTCGGCGACGGGTCCCAGAGCCAGCTCGTCTACCTCGTCCAGCTCTGCTGCCTCCGAGCCCGACCCTGATCCGGCCTTCGATCCAGGTAGAGACCCCGCCGCTCCCGACTTCATCTTCACATCTCCACCCGTCTCTTCCTCAACCACGTCCGACCTTCGAGGAATAGGAGGCTGTCGAGGGAGTCGTTTGAACTGGAAGGTACAGACTTTATAGCCGGTGACGGAGGATGGGATGAGGCGGGCAGAGGTGACCTTGTAGAGACCGTCGTAGCGGTAACCTAATGATGAGCACGAGGAGTCGGGAACAGAAGAGCGAGAGTATAAGCGGGGTTCTGATAGCAGTAGAAACGAATGAGAGAACGGGAAGACCAGTCGACTCACCTTCCAACGGCGCCCACTCGCAGTCCGTCTTGTAGCCCCTGACGACCCTGACCGGCTTCCCCGTCTCGCTACTCCTCTTCAACGCCCCATTCATAGCATGCTCGAAACTCTGGTCGAAGCTCTGTTCCGCCGTCCGCAAGTTCTTGCCGTTCCCCTTCAAGTCCCTGCCCCCAGCTCCGGTGAGGACGAACGATTCGCCCAGATCGATATTGTCTTCGTAACCCCCAGAGAAACAGACCGACCAGGCGCCGACTGTTGGGTTCCCAGAGATGCAGGCTACGAGGGGGGCGTGGATCGAATCCATAGATGCTCCTGCTCGGAGTGGCCAGGCCTTGCCAACGGGTACATCAGGGATCGAGCCGAACTGCTTAGGATTATGGAGACGAGCCAGAGCTACGCCTTTACCCAGTCCCTCTCCGGTTCGTTGCTTCAAGTGTGAGTCGTCATCGTCGTCGTCGACGATGAAGTCGCTAAGCCGGCGTTGATGGCGAACGACAGGACGAGTCCTAGGCGTCTTTTGATCTCGATTGACGTTCCTAGCACTCCGACGAAGCGACGAGTCCGCCCTTGAAGAGGTGCGTTTCGTTAAAGCGGGTCGTTTCGAGGTGGACGAGGAGGGGTGTTTAGGTTTCAAGGTGTTACCGCCTAGACCGAGGGATTCGAGCAACGCCAGGTTCTCTTTGATGATTCGCTGTCGTTCCAGCTCGTAGGCGTCTTCGTGAGACATGATGAGGAGTGAGAGTCAAGAGGGAGCTAGAGACTTTGTGCAGAGTGGTAATGGGAGACGGTCTAAGTGTCCGGTATACGAAACAGTGGAGCAGTCGAATTTGTTGTCGCTCGTCCTTTGTTTGTTTGTTGACCGGGGTCCTTCGGGGTCGCGCTCGGATCCGAAAATAGGGGCGAGGCCGAATTCGCAAGGAGATGTCTCCCACGACAAAGCTTCTCATTCAGACCAAGTCCAATATCATCACTCTTTATCAACAAGCATCAGTGAAACGTATGTTCCATTGCGTTAGGAGCGATTACATGTCTCTATCCACTCTGTGCACGTCGGAAAGGTCGCTATTAAGCGGTAGGCGCAGGATGGCGCGCTCGACGACGATTAATCTATACGCTGTCCGATACCTCGATCCTCCTACTCGGCGGTCACCCTCTCGGTATCGTCAATGGTATGAGCGATCCCTCCTGGTCCATGAGCCAAATCATACCCGGCTCGTCGTTCGTGTTCTCGTATGGCTTCTTCACCTTTGAGGTAAATACTATCCACTGAATCCCTCCCGAGTCCTTCAGCCGCGGCAGCAGCGATCATCCGCTCGAGCTCGGCGTCGATCCTAGCTCGCTTGAAGGTGGCGGTCCGTGGGAAGTATGCTTGACGTTCCCGAATGGGTCTGTATTCAGGAATCGACTCGCGTCCGAGCGCCCTGAGGATGACCTTTTCGCAAGGGGTCTAGCGGCAGATACGAGGCAATAGCCTCAGCTCGCGTTCAGGATTCAAGGTGGTCAATCAATCACTCACGTATGCGCCGTCCACCCGGTTCAAGTTGAACGGCTCGACCATGTTGATGTGCGGATTAGCGATGACGCGAGCATATCGAAGGTGGTTCTTGCTGTTGGTGTGAGGCTACAGCGCGATCGATAGTCAATGAGCCCAGCTGAGACGCATATCTCGTCTCGCACGCAAACACTCACAAGTAGACCGTGAAGGAGAAACACATCCCCAGCCTTCGCTTCGACCTAAATGAACGAAGAATAAGTGACCGCTACTTTGAACTACAGTAGTCGAACAGACTTACGGTGACAAACTTCTTGCAATTAGGGATATGAGAATACAGATCCAACGGCGGCTCAAAACCTTCCGGATGATCGAGCAGAGTCTGACAGATGTTCGCCAGACCGTCCTCACAGAGATAAGTCCCGCCTCCTCGAGGCGGGATGTCCGTGAAGCAATGAATGACGGTGATCGCGTTACCGCTCGAGTCCAGGAATTGTCGATACCAATCATTGTCGTGATGCCTATAGTAAGGGCAACGAGACGGTGTCAGCGTTGTCATTTCGGGGCTATATGAAAAGCAAGCTTACCAGCCTGTCGCTTGTTGAGGGGTGAAATCGTTCTGTTTCAAGAGTTGGTTCCAGGTTATTCTAGATCAGTATGTCGATATCAAACGCGCCGAGAACATCGTGTACTGACCTTGGTCCAATGCTCCGTGCCGAAGTTACAGATCATCTGATCACCGTGGTATCGCTCGCGGATAGGATCGATCTTGTCCTCCCCTCCGACTAATTCACCTGTAAGACGAATCAGCACGAGTCGAGGTAGAGCCAAACAAATGTGCTCACATGCAGCCTGCCACGCTTTCGGACTGAGTTCCTCGACAGGGACCTCGCGATGACGTGGCATCTTGACATACTCGTCTGTCCAAGTCGACTTGGCGTCCTTGTCCCATCCAAGCCTCGTCCACAGGTTGCTCATCCACAACTCTAGGTACTTCTTGTCGATCGCGTTGGGAATCTTCAGCCAGCCATGTTGAACGAAGTGTTCGATCTGTTCGGGGGTGAGTGGTTGGTGGTCCATGTTATATAGCGCCTGTTCGTGGTGGTATTGCCGATGCTTGCGGTTCGGACCCTTCCGACATCTCAATCATGTTTACTGGTCTTGTGGACGGGTTGAAAGGCTTATATATCGTTGATCGAGCTGACACCGGATTACAAAAGGGTCGGACCGGACTTGGGGACCTGGCAAGCGTGGCGCGCGAATCGCAAACTGCCGGTCGCCACCTTTTGGCGATCGCCAACATCCTACGCGCGTGCGGTCCGGGCAGAGCGTTCACTCGACGTCTCGATCGTCGTGTCATCCACATCCAGAAAGGCCTCCATGTTCATCTCCGAAAGGTCTGGGTTCAATACAGGAGACTGACCAGTCGGCTCTAAGTTACTCGCAGTCCATTTGGCGGGATCCTGTTTCGTTCCGGCGAAAGACTTGGCGCGCATCAGACATATGCAACATGGCTGCTCGATGATTTCTTCTCACTTACTTCCGAAATTTCGAGACGGCTCGGCTCCCCTAGTTTGCCTCGGCTCGCCTGATCCTCGCCTAATACAAGGGCATCGAATTTCCTCGCGACCCGATCCAATACGTAATTTGACGAACTCCCGAGGGGTTCCCGAGCTGAAATCGAGGACTGTTCCACGCTCGTCTGTGCCGCCGAGTTTGCATCGGAGTTATTATCAGTCGATCTGCGTGAATGTATTGCTTCTGCTAGGACGACGATCCCATGTTTGTGCAATAGATCACGGAGGATCTCCAGCTGCATATGCAGAAGACCGTCAGCATACCAAACGCGTCGTCCTCCCGCAGACTTGAGTCATTCGTCAACTCACCGATGACCTTGCTGCAGCATAATACATCGTCATCCTAGCAAGATATCCGAAAGCGACTTGCAACGTTCCTCGCATAGCCTCGGGCCATGTTCCCGCTTCACTACCTCTTGTTAAGATCAGCCAGACCCGCACGGCTTCGGTGACCATGACGATTGTCCAGTGGTCCAAGAGTATAGAATCAGGCCGAAGGTTGGCTACGAGCGCCACCCTTTCGATCATCCTGGTCGAACGGAAGAGACACTTTTCCAAAGAATCCTCGGTCCATACAGTCGCGAATGCGTCTCCGGATGATTCCCAGTGACCCGGTTCTTTTGTCATCCAAGGAGAATCAGGTATCAACCAACGTGTCAACATGCAGGCGCACGAATCTGCTGTTAGGTGGAGCGTGACGAGTTGATCCAGCTCCGCAGGCCGGTCCGAGTTCAAGATGTTCTCTCTTGTAAAACGCAGATGATCGGGTAATTCCATCTCCCATGCTCTGATGCGGGATTCGAGAAGGTGGAAAGTGGATCCAGGGGTCCAAGGTGTACGGTCGAGCGAGTGAACGCGTTTGCTGTATCTATGACAAGACACAGGGTAGCCAAATGTCAGCTAATCAATCTACGATATGACGCTGCGATTCAGCGTCTGCTCACCTCAAGACGTCTGAGCGTACGGCCAAGATCCGGACCAAGTGGTTCATCGCACCTCCTTGATCATATCCTCCATCCGTTGCGCTCGTCTCGATCGACCCATATCTGACTGCCTTCGAACGTGCTGCATCCCGACCCACCTCCACCTCGTAGATCCTCCTCGTTACCACCTCCCTCATTCCATCAGAACCGTAATTCTCTTCCGAACAAGGCGTCTGTATCCCCAGACTATCTCTTGTGACAGTAGAATAGATTTCCGAGCCGTCCGCAGCGAGAGTATCCGCGGCCCAACAAGCCCACATTAATCGTCTCTCGGTTTCCTTCTTGACCCAATCCCCGTTCAAGCTCCTCGATGTTGACCCCAACGATGGCGATGCCGCAGATGATACCGTATTGTCATCATCCCGATCCAACCCCAACCCATAGGCCATCCGACTAGCCAGAGCCAAGATCATCCATCCGCTCCCCCACCTCCCAGAGTTCATCTCGTGTTGATAGAGCAAGAGCAGACAGACGAGCTTCGACGTCGAGTACGTATCGATATCGCCCAAAACGAGTTGTTTCGCTTTCGACGCCCAGTGAGCTGCTTGAGGTGTTCCATCCGGATCCGAGCGGGTCGTTTCTGGCGTGTCTGACCCCAGGGAGGCCGAAGAGTCGGGCGTTGGCGTCGAGTCATGTCTGGCGTACCGTGCCGAGACCGCACAGACGACCAAACCCAAAGACTTTCCAATTTTCCCTTCCCTCAACGCTTTCCCAAACTCTTCTTTGTTGACGAAAGCGTTACACCGTACGGGATAGACGTATTCGAAGAACAGCTTGGCGTGGTATCCAACCTCTTCCTGAGTTGGATCTCGGATTTCCTCCTGCATCTCGTTTTCGGCTTGAGCAGGGGACGTCCTGATAGCCAGATTCGCAGCAGCCGATCTTTGGAGGCTTAGCGATGATTGAAATCCAGGAGGAGACGAAGACACCTTATCCGCTTTCAAACATCTCTGCCTGATTCCGAGCTCCTGCTCCGCCTCTCGTCTGCTCATCGCACTCCACCGGCAATCCAGCTTGAGCTTCTTGCAATTGAGACATGTGAGCTTGTTTTCATCGCATTTCACCTGGACGAGAGTATCATGGAGAGGATGACGTCTCGAGTCAGCGTCCACCACTTTCCGAAGTAAAATAATATCATTCTTAAGGATCTTCTGGATGAACTTTGTCGGCCTACTGCCCGCCGAGTAGTATTATTATTGATCATACTGTACTCACATGCCGAAGCCGACAAGTCAAGCACCCTTTCCTAGATCGCGTCGACCTCAAATTCCCAGCTCTAGCTACGGCGGGAGTGTCAGTCTCGTCATCCATCTACTATCTTTCTAGCTCTTAAAGATGATGCTGAGGACTGATCCTAGCTGGCCCAGCTGGACGGCATGACTAGATATAGATCTCCATCTGGGAAAAGCACAGGGAAATGTCAAGCGTCAAGCGTCGAGGTCGTCTGGAAGTTGCTAGTTTGCTAGTCGACACGTCATCACCGCGCGGTCGGTGATTGTCACCGCCGTCTTTGATCCTGTGGAAGAACCTCTCCAAGGTTTCCCCCATCACGGCATGAGATGTGAGAGCTGATGGAAGAATCACTGTCGGATTCTACTATCCCACCTAATGGGTAGTTCAGGGCCAAGAGGCCAGTTGGACGGAGGTGGATGATGAGAGCGGAGAAATCAATAGCGGAGGACGAGGGGATGGTGTTAGAGTCCTTGTGGGTCTTCTTGGGGGTAGATGAAACGGCATGTCTGAGTTCTGTCTGAGTAGGCTGAATTTGATCTTGAAATGAGATCCTGATGTGGTCGACCATCATTATCATAACGATGGGTCGATTCTTGAGACGATCATACGTTGTCGAGTAACAGCGACCAGTCCAGGAGTACCTGTAATCCAGGGGACCGGACCAGATGATGATGATCTCGGCCATCGTGCCCACAACGATATGCCACATCAACTCCGATCCTTTGCAATTGCAAGTAGCGGAAGAAAAAATCATACTGGTCGCGGGTCGTACATTGCAGGGTAATCGTTTTTGGCGTTGAGATACCACTACGAGGGTAAGTTGGCTACCCAAAGGCCACCGGCCACCGGCCAGTACATTTCCATATTTCATCTTGCAGCGCGCGTCGAAACTCCTCCAATTCTCGAATCAATCATTTAGCGAACTCCAGCGAGAATCTCGACAAGGGCGCATTATAACTCCGACGAGGACGAGAGGTCATCTAAATCCCCCTTGGCCCATTCTTACATCTTCGTTAGGCCCGTCTCTCCGACCCTGATCAAGCCCGATCGGCCGAGAACCAGTTCAGCGCGATCAAACTCGGCTCGTCCAGATTATGATGTTGGTACCCCAAGATCGACAACGCTCCAGCATCCGCCGAGATGTGATAACCCGTCTCCAAGGGCCATCCGCACCAACGGACGATGAAGCACCGGGAAAAGTGGCCGTGCGAGACGACGACGATGTCTTTGGCGTCTTCTCCCTTTTCGTAGCACTGTAATGTAAGATCCCCGAGCCAAAAAAATGTAATGCAACTCATCAGCGTTCGGATCTCTCCAACCCGACTAGTAAGCTGGGATTTCGGAAGCTCACCTCTCTATGCCTAGCCCGGATCTTTGCGATAAACCCGTCCACCCGCTTCTCCATCTCCTCCGGACTCTCTCCTGCCGGTCCCCCCTCTTTCTCGCTAGGAGGACACCCGTCGGTCCAGATCCACCAGTCCTTCTTCTTCTCCTTGATCTCCTTGGTGATGAGCCCCTCGTACGCGCCGTAGTCCCATTCGGCGATCTCTTCGGTCGTCTCGAATGGGATGGGAGAGGTTATTTTCGGGTTATCGTGGAAGAGCTACAGTACAGTAAGGATATCAGAACACGGGGTAACGGGATGTCACGTCAGTTTCGTTGATGGCGTGATGTACCCTGCGTTAGGTGACCAGGAGGAACATTTGTTGGGGGTAGGAACTTACAAGCTCGGCCGTCTTCTGCGCTCGTTGACGCGGTGAGACGTAGATATGAGCTACGTTGCTCGGGTCGATAACATCTGATACAGAGCAAAATCATGAATCAAACAAGTTTCAGCGTTTCGATTCGATATCGCTAGAGACGGTGCCGAGAATAATAAGAGGACAAGGACCGGTAGAGGGTAGCTTACCGGGGACGACCAGATCCGCAGTCCGCTTCATAGTCTCGATACCCTGCTCGGTCAGGGGAATGTCCGAAGTCCCTGTCTATTCTCGGGTATGTTATTGTATGTCGAAGAAGCAGCCAGACGAGACGTCAGAATCCGGAGCAAATCCAACAAAGCAAGTCGATGGAGACCATCAGCGCCAAGAAAGTGTTTTGTGCTCTTAGTCCGGTGAATTAGAGTGAGAACCTACGTGTCGACCTATCTCAGAACGAAAGCACGCAAGAACAAAGTTATAAAAACCCAGAGCGACCCGTTCTCAGTCGGAACACAGCTGGAAACACAGGCGAATGACGAGCTTACCGTTGACAGACCATTCAGTCTGACCTGTTTCAACCAGTAGAGAACAAAGCGTCGCAAAGTAGATCAGCAAAAGTATACTCTATACCAGGTTGTGAAGACCGAGAGAGACTTGCCGTGTCTGATCAGGTATACGTGAGGCATACGACCCATCTTGAATCACTGATTGCTGATGAGATGTAGATGTCTGGGAGCTGGGAGAGAGGGCGAGCTGCCAGATGTGCGAGAAGAAGCAGTGTGTAAGCAACGTCGAGAATGTAGGTGGTTGTACGAGCATGATGATGACGTTTCCCCGGCTCGAGGTTGACCAACGAGCCAAAGTTAGAAACCGAGCGGACATCGACACGTTTTGGGCGTCTGTTTACTTTGTGTCGACCCAAAGGGCGACGAATCTGTGCGTGTTTCACATCGATAAATGTCAATGACGGCGTGGTACAACATTGCGGTAGGTTCAGTGCAAAAAGCGTAACTAGGAAATCTTGGTAAAGAACACTTCAGACCCATTCTTGATGCCATCCCTCTCCATGTTGCCATCTGAAACACCTCCACCTGCACCCCAGATATGTTGAAGTCCCATTCCACCCTCCCCAAAACGGGCTTGAATGCCTTGACCGATCATGTCCCACATGACAGCTCCTGTCTCAGGGAAAGTGAGCTTGGCAGTGACATTGAAGATGTCCTTATCAAAGTGCTCAAACAAGAATTCTTTGACAAAAGCCTTGTTGACATCCGCTACAAAGGACCAATTTGGTCCTTGCAGTGAGGTGTTATCTTGATGGGTAGAGCTCAGGGAACGGAGCTTGAGATCCCCGTATGCTGCATTGTGGTAGACTCCAGGGACAGATCCAAATCCATTCTGCAGAGGATGCTGGCAAGGTTGATCTGCCTTAGCTTTGGGCTTTTTCCCTTCCAAAAACTTGTTGAGTTTCCTGTCCAAGATCGCAGATCTTAACACCTGGACATTGTTGCAGTTATGCTTGTTGCTCACCTTGTTTTGAAATCAATTGGATCAAGCCCTAAGAGATCGTCAATGATCCTCCATTTTGCCACTTCATTGAACATGTCTCCAAATTCATCATCATTGCACATGACAGCCACCCCAATCATCTTGTCTGGTAACCTGATGACGAATGACTTCTGACCTGGCGCCCTTCCCGGATGATCGATGACCTGATGACCACGATAGGTGTAGATTTCCTGGCCTAGACCATACATCTTGCTAGAAATCTCTGGATCATCTGGCTTTGCTTTGATCAAGACCTGTGGCTTTATTGTGTCTTCAATGATCCATGAGGGTATGATCTGGTTTTGCATCTCAGGATGTCTTCCTTTCAGTAGCAATGTCTGTAGCCAGATGGTCTACCAATGAAAGATCAGTATAGAATCATGCCAATTTGATATTGTCAGGCCTGTCAGGCTGACGAGTTACCCAACTCACTAGATCTTTGGCGCATGTGATAACACCACCAGGTCCAGCTAGCTGCTGGACCGGCCAACCAAGAGAATCCTCCAGTCCTCTGCCCTCCTCACTCAATTTCCCTCTGGCTTGTTTGATATCCTCTTTGCATCTCTCAACATCATAAACTCCTGATTGTCCAACAGATAACTTCCTAGCAAACCCACTGCTGAGATTCCCTGTTGACCTTGCTAATTCAATGTCGTAATAACTCTGTGTCATTCCCAGTGGATCCCAAATATTCTTCTTGACAAATTCCTCAAGTTGTTGACCAAGGATTTGTTTGGGCAGCAATGAAGCAGCAACATAGGTGAGATTGGTGTACTGATAACAGGATTTGAAGGGGGCTGATGGCTTGAGATAAGCAAGAGACTTGACAACATCCTCAGGTGTAATATCCGTGCTGAATACAATAGTAGCAGTCAGAGATTGTTACCTGCTTGTTTCACATCATGTAGCAAGGACTTACTCATATGAAAGCCCATGCCTGGGCAGCCCAGTCTGATGGCTTAACAGCTCAATGAATGTGGCCCTCTCTTCTGCCTCTTTGTCCATCAGTTGAAATGAGGGGATCACTTCCTGTACTGGCGTGTCCCAGCTTGAGTTGGACTCAGACAAGACAAGGCCAGTAGAGATGGCAGTGAAGAGCTTCGAATTGGAGGCAATGCTGAATAAGGTCTGACAGAACCAAAACCATAATCAGTTCCCTACAGTTCTAACCTGATAACACAGATAGAATAAAGGGGTAGAGCAAAGTATGAGACAACTTGCCTGTTCAGTAACTCGGTCCCCATCTACATCCTTCCTCCCCATCCCAATAGTTTGTTTGTCCCACTGCTTGTCCTCATTCATTCTCACAATAGCCAATGAGACACCGGGAATGCCCCATGCATCTTGGAGTGCCTTGAGATACTGCAAGGTGGTCTCTTGTATGATCTGATCACCTGTCAGGTGGACTCCGGGTATTCCTGCTTTGCCTGCTTCGGTAGTCGACGACATACTTGGTACCGTCGAATCGGGAATTTTCGAGCTGAAAAGGTACGACCAATCGTGCGACTTGACTTAGAGGACACATAAGATCTCATCGCATCGCCCCGCAAACAGGCTTCGACCAACGCTACTATATACTCGTCTTTCGTTCCCCATTGTCCTTCCGCCAATTCTCGAATGGCGCCTTCCTTTCAAGATCCCCTTCAAACGGTAGGGACCCCTTTCGTGTCGAGCTCCCCCTGTCCGATGCCTCCCCTTCGACCCCGGACTGCTCTGCGTAGTGCTATGGTAAGATACTCGCATTACAACGCGACTTAAGACATGCCGATCTGAGAGGCCCCGATACTCGATCGCCCCAACGAAGCATTTTCTACATGACCGTTATCTCAAAAAGTGATAAGAGAAGCCTGAGAGACCTTATTGCTGCCTAGCCATTCCCGCTGCCGTACCCGCTAGCGCATCTAGGCCGGAGAGGTTGAATAACTGTATCATTCCGACTTGGGTTGGTCAGCGTCGACTCTTGCTGCTCCCGTTCATTTTGCTTACGCCAGGATCAGCGGACATGCCATGAGTGCCCCCGCTATCGATCATCGATTCCCAGAATTGGTTGAACTGCGCAGTCATTCTTGTCGCTCAGTATGCCTGTACGAGCGGCGTCGCAACGCACAACGGAATTATGGTACTGACCTCTGAATCCCATACATTTCCTTCGGCAGCGGCACCGAGGCCCGACGGGTGGCTCATGGTTTCATAGTTTACAGCTGAGCTGGCGTGGTTCGGATGACTGTTTGGCACGGTATTTGTTCGAATGGTGCTTGAGACCTGTAGACCGCGACCAGCGCTACTGATGAGTCTCGTACGCCAACCCAGCAATTCCTCGTGGTCGTCCCCATCCCCATGCGTCGAGTCGCCGGTGTTGCCGTTCTGTTCTTCGGGAGTCTGAGCCATCCTCACGTCCAGACGCTCGCGAAGCCTTCGCAACCAATGAAGATTCTTGACCATTCGAGGTGAATTGCGGGACGATACTACCGCTTGGTAGACGTTGATGACGTTGTCGATCAAGGTGATGGCGAAACTGCAGAGCATGTTTTGCGGGTTCTTGAGTACCAGAGTACCCATACAAATGGCGGAGCTAAAAGCATGATACTGCAATAGCCCGATGTAAGTGATAACGACACAGAAAGACTCTCAGAATCGCTTACCCAGATCCACCAGTGCCGACCTGCAGCGTGAGGGTATAAGGCGTGCAGATTCGTAGCGATGGTGACGATAGCCTGTAAGTCAAACGCATTTGTCAATGCCGATAAACGATCGAAACATCCTCAGCATATACTGACATTGCATCGTTCAACTACCGCAAGGTAAGATTGACCGTATCTCGATCGAGTAGGGTCTCCGGGCGAATCGTGAAGCGCTTGTGCGAAATATGGTCGATTGAGAAACACGATGAGCTCGGATATGTTCATCGCCAAGGTGAATTGCTGGATGCGGTGAAACCCTCGAGTCAGATGAGAAGCGTCGGCATCGACTTGACCCTGACACTCACTTGGAATGTCAGATGCAGGTTCCTCTTGTCGACAGGCGGGGATGCAGCCATCGCCGCCTCGGGAGCAGGATAGGCGGAAGGCAAGGCGCAGAGTACCGGCCGACACCTTAGCTCGAACGGGACATCCCTCTCGTATGCGCAACTGCGATTTTCGGATGATCAGCTTCCATTCCGAGATTGAATTTCGCTTCGGATACGTACGCATTTGCGTGCAGCTCTAGGCAGACCGAGTAAGGCGGAGTTTTCACTCTGGACGAGTAGTCCAATACGCTTCGAAATTCGCCGGCGAAAGTCAGTGAAAATGATCCAAGTGTTGGAGCGCATGAGAGCCTTACGCTGCGAACAGGTGCGATAACTCGTATTTGGCGCGATGAAAAGGTTCGAGGTCTCCCGGGATCAGATTGGGATAAGCCGTATCGACATGTTCCGGATTGATGATCCCGCTGGTGAAAGACCCTCAATTCAGCTCGAGACAAACGCCTGCGATGGCAGCCGAAAGACTCACGGTCTGGAGAAACAGTTGCACGACATGATCTCGGTCGAATGACTCTCCCAGAATACCCGTCTACAGGTAATATGGTTCCGGTTATGATCAACATGCTATCCCCCGCAATCATCGAGAACATAAATGCCCTCGCTCTCTATCTCACCTTCGTTCTTCTATCGCGTGTTCCGGAAGATTCCATCTCGCTCCATCACGATGCAAACCCATAGCCAGACTCATCTGCGCCGTCAGACCCCAAAGGGGCCATGCCGAATCCCCGTTCTTGCCAGAATCTGTGCTCCTGTATGATCGGTCAGACAGGATCTGGAATGAGCTGTGGATGTCCTTCCCTGTGAAAGGCCCGACTTACAGGAGCAGATGTGCCATGATATGCTTCAAGCCATCGTCTTAGGTTCAGCGGCGCCCCTTCAATATTCCACAAAAGCAGAAACGTGACTCACCAAAGTCTGTATACCCGCCGTCGTATTGTTCGCCAAAAAGTCGCCTTTCGCCAGACAAGCCTGAGAGACTCGGATATAAGCTTCGACGGTGGAATCGTCCGGCGACAGTTCTAGGTTGTAGTACGACCCCACTGCGAGGATGACGAAGAGTAGAGCCAGTTGTTGGGCCAGGACGTCCCGCCTCTCACCGGATGGTGCGTATGCTTTTTCGGTTATCGAGTCGACGAGTGATCTGGGGGCGATGTTGAAGCTGTTACCATCGTCCCATCAGATCATCAGCCGACGTCGCACCTACTGTACTGTAGCTTCACAACCCGAGACTCACTGCCACGAAAAATGTCTGAAATACGTATCGATCAACACCTTGGCCTCGTGTCGCGGTGGCAACACGCCCAAGATCGTCGACGTCGAGATGCTCCTCGAAGCCGTGTTGAAAGGAAACCCTACGAACGCGCCCAGAGGGTTTTGTCCGAACGGTTCCCCTGATGTTGATGATAAGAGGTGTAAATCCGAGTCCAGGCGAGGGGATGGCATTTGAGATACGGGAGGAGGCGAGTCGCCAGATTCTGCCGTTTCTTGCTGCAAGTCCGTTAGACGAGGTATCTAAAGGTAAGCGTGATGGCGTCTCATCCATCATTTGCCTCTTCCTAAGCTCACATTCTTCAACCATTCACTCGCAGCGGTCCTCCCTAAATACTTCGACCGGCCCGACTTCGAGATGACCAGAGTCCCATGACTATGCCCTTCTTCCTCCGCCGATGGGTCTATCGTCACCTCGATAGCATTCCCTCCTCCTCCTCCGTTTCTCCCACTTGTACTTCCACTTGCACTTGGGAGTTCGTACGGGAACAACCCTGCAATTGTACCCTGATGTGCTTGTAGGTCGTTCATGTAAGAAGGTCGGGGGAATGTATGTGGTTGTAATTGTGGTTGTCGATGCGCCGAACGAGGCATCTCCGCGATGATCCTCTTTGAAGTCTGTTGTTGGTGTTGATAATGATGCGGAGGTTGATAACGATTCTGTGGTTGTTGTTGAGCGGAAAACGAACTAGAAGCCGAAGGCGTAACCTGTCTAAACGGATAAGGAGTAGAAGTATAATCCTGTCCCGCATCCGCATTCGTATTCGTATGTTCAGGTAAAGCTAAAGCTAAAACTGGAGGTGGAGCTGTAGAGTAGATCCGTGCTGTTTCTTCCTGTATAATCGTTGGGGGATTTGCATTCGGATTCGCTAGTGAAGAGGAAGAATCGGCATTCCCATTCCCAGTATAGTTCCGAGTTCCGAGAGGGTCCATCGAATCCGAACGGACCCCCAACCCGGAATCTCCTGAAAGATTTCTTGTCGATTTTTGGTGTCGAAGTTGGTCGAGCCCAGGGACCTCTAGCGTACCGCCATCACCCTCTAGACTTCCACTTCCAGGAAGTAGGAGCGGGACCCTAGATCCAGATCCAGATATCTCCCGCCCAGTCCCAGTTACAGAAGGACGACTAGTACTGGGTCGGACGAGTTCTTCCAGCTCGGCCAGGCGGAGTTTGAGTTGAGCTACTTCGTTTTGGTTTTGGTTTTGGTTTTGGTTTTCGGTCCCCGGTCCGTCCGTCTCCTGTGTTCTTTGGCTATTCGAACAGCCCGGAAAAGATTTGGTCGGATCAGTCTCGAAGACGACAAAGAAACCCCTTGGATCTCAGATATTATGAGCTATGAGAAAGAGGACTGAGTTACCTACCTGAGATGGTCTGTACTTATATTCGTTGTCGTATTCGTATGCGTACTCGTACTCGTATTCGTGTTTGAGCGATCTCCTGTCTTTTGTCGACAAATATCTTCGCATTCTCTCCTGACGCAGCTACTGCACGGCTCTAAGATCGAAAGCATCGAAGCGTTCAGCATGTCGGGATCTGTCGTTTCGTCACGCACGGAAGAAGGGGTGACTAACGCTGTCGATCGCATTTCAGCTTCAACCTTCTGCATTCTTTTATCGATCGGGCGGAATTATGACGTCGATGTATAGAGGTTGATTGTGTGACAAGGATTACATTCCCTTCGTCAGACCGGTGCTCGTCAGGATCGTAAAAGGACCGGGTGGGACTGACCATTACAACTGAGTTGCGGTCTCGCCTTTCTCCTCTTTTTAGGTCTTTCTTCCGTCCGAGCTTCTTCTTCAAGGTCGGGTGATGGGCTCGTGGTAGAGCTCGGCATTGGGTCGAAGATGATACAAGTCGCTACTATGGCTTGGACTGTTGATGATCTGTCCTGTCGAAAGCCTTTGCATCGATTGATGAATAGGTCGTAGGCCCGTAGGCATGGTTAACACAGTACTACTACTGATCTACTTACTAGCTACTGATCACTAGATCACTAGATCACTACTGAAGATAGGGCGAGGACGCGCGGATCTCCGTTAGGGCGTTGTGACCTGAGACTTCAGGTGGACCGGGTCATCCATCACCTCTCGGACGATACAATCCATCAACTCGTTCATGCGAATGATAAGAATGCTGTATAGAGTAATAGTAGTGTTGCATGTACAAAGAACTTTTCTGCTTGTGCAATCGAATATACCCCCGGGAAATGATAGCCGACCCTAACTTCGATCTGGAGCTCGCTTCTTACTCGACGACGACGCTCTTTCGGGCTGGAAGGCAGCGAACCAAGCAAAGGATTGGCGATCAACCGAGGACCCGGGCGCAGAGAGACCTAATGTCCGACTTACGATCGACCCCGTTCGCCCAGCTGGTCACTTGCCTCCACCCGGCATCTACCTTGAGCTACGATTTCGGAAGATAACAAGATGATATCCATCCATCAGCGAACGTTCCACACGCCAAGGGGAGAAGTCATCCTCGCTCAACTCATTCGAGACTCACATGGAAAGCGTTCATCATAGAATTCTCCAACAAGAACAGACAAGCCGCGGCGATCTCGTCCGGCGTAGTGAACCGTCTGGGGAACATGCTATATCCCTCCACGGCGTCTTTGAAATATTGGATCCGGTCTCCGGATTGCATGAGGGGGGAGATGACTAGGGCGGGGGCGAGCGAGTTGACACGGATTCCACAGGGGGCGAGGAAGTCGGCTGCGGCTTCGGTTATTCCTAGGACGCAGGCTATCGAGAGGATCGAACGTCAAAGCGGACGGATCGTCAGTCAGCTTCTTCCACCTTTCCACCTCCCGCCTCATCCTTTCCTCCAAATAAAAGACCCCAAACTCACTCTTCGAAGGCCCATAAGTCAAACACCTAGCCGGAGGCGTATGCCCAACCACGCTCGCCAAGTTAACAATACATCCTCGTTCTTCGATTACCCGTTCGTGGAAGACGTCGAGGGGGGCGTATTGAGAGTTGATGGCGTCGGCGATGAGGGCGTCGACGAGGAAGGTGCCGTAGGCGTTTACTTTGAGGACTGTTTCAAAGTCCTACACATGGGAATATACATACAGTATGCAAGGGGGGAGATGGATGAGGAATGTCAGTACTGAACCCGAGGCTTGTCCTTGTCGGCGCAAGTTCCTCCTCGAAAAATCGAAAATCGGGGACCGACCTTCAACTTGTCCGACATCTTGTTCGTCCAAGGTACGTTCGGGTTCGTAGCCGCACAATGTACAGCCCCAAACAACGATCCTTTGGGGATGACCTTCAACATCTCCTGCAGGGACGCTTCGAGGACTTCACGGGATGTGATATCCGTCTTGGAATAAAAGTACCGTTCGGGGTTGGCGAAAGACTTGATCTTCTCCTTGGCGGCTTCTTCGGGGAGGATATCGAAGATCTACAGTATCACAATCATATCACCCGGTCGGAGTCGAGTATGTGCGAGCGGGTTTAGATAAGCGAATCGTTTTCAGGAACGGATGGGAGAGCGGTACAAGGGGGCGAACTTGTACTTACGATGGCGTTTCCTCCCTTGGCGACGATCTGGGCTGCCGTAGCTCCCCCGATCGAACCGAGACCGCCGGTGATCACGAAAGCTGAGCGCGACGCAGAGAGGTTATGGATCAGTGATTCTGTGGTACAAGACGACCACGTCAGGAACGAAGGGATGGGAGCGGGGCTCACTTTTGCCGTCGAGGATCATATTTGCTGGAATGTGTTCGGAGTTTGGAGTTTGAGGCGGTATAGAGAAGAGAGAGTCGCTCAAGATGTGGAGAACCAGTTGATCCAAAGCATCAGAGAAGCCCTTCAGTAACGCAAAGAATCCAATCCTGCTCCTTTATGTGTTACAACTTCGCGAGACGTTGGTGCGCCGCTCAACCCCGCATCCTAGCGCTTGAAGATGGTTTCGAAGGCCCGCCGTCGTCGTCGGACTCGATCGCGGGGATGTATCGGGTTGGTCGGGGCAATATGTCCGTTACCTCGGTATGTTTATCGGAGTCTCTGTTTAAGCTCGCTTGCCTCTCGTCCGTGCATGGGCGCAGGCGCAAACGCTCAGCTAGGGTTCGTATCCCGGATGAGCGTGATCCTGACCGTCTCGAGATACGTCAGAGTCTATGACATTGTTCAAAGCATCTCGAAGTCGAGAGGTTATCGTGGATTATTGCGTGCTTGTGTTTTCGCGTGCAAGGATCGTTTGAGATGTTACAGTATGAGTTACTTTTTGAACGGCCACTGAGGCGCATTGCCGCTCGGTCCTGGAGTTATTGCAGGAAGACTTGAAGTACGCATTGGTGATGTGTACGATGAGATGGCATCACGACGGCGAACAGAAGCTTCTGACAAACGGAAGGATGTGGGTGGAAAGAACTGGAAGCATGGAAACACTCTATCATGCCGCACCGTTTCCTGCCGGACACAAAAACGTGTAGAGAATGCGATCCCATCGTATACAAGACATTTTTCGAGTTACAGATAAATTTGCTAAACGTCCAGTGCCCCAAAAATCATCGAAATCTAAGCGAGGTATGGCTCGGGAGCGATGTTCTCCAATTGAGCCTTGATCCTCAACGCCACCATCCTCGAGTGGTATCGAGCCGCCTGCAGGGTTCCCACCATCAACCACAGGTTGGGAACACCGGTCTTGGTCTTCCAAGCGGCGTTGAGCTCTCCTTCTTCGTCCATCCCCCAGATGGGACCGAACCTATCGGCGACGTCGTCTCCCAAGGTCTTTCGAACCGAATCGATGGTGTTTGAGAATCCAGTGGCGAGGACGACGATATCGAATTCTCGTTCCCTGTCGCCGTTCAGAACGACCTTGTCCTCCTCGAAGCTGTCAGAACATGAAGCGGAATTATAAGTACAGGCGCGATGGTTGAAACGATCGAGCAGTAGACTGACTGGTCGATGTAGCCCTGTTCGACCTTGATGTTCCCGTTGAGGATCTGCTCGCACGCGCCAGCGTCAAAGTAGAAGCCACCGTTCTTGGTGTATCCTAAAGTTTGGGTAGAGGTACTTCGCTGACCTCGCCAAGTCTGGAATCCTTTCGCTTCAAGACCTTGCAAGAGCTCCATGTCGAGCTCCGTCAACTCGGTTCCCAATCGTCGTCCCATCTCTTCCGACGGGCCCACAGGGAGACCGTGGTGGATCCTGTCGGAGATCTCGATATCGGGTCGTTTCTTGCCGTCTGGCTTGTATGCGCCGAGGATTCGCGGAACGCTATGGGTGAGCGACATGATGTACGTAGGAGAGCGTTGAAGAAGAGTGACCTCGACCCCTCGTCGAGCGAAATCGTAGGCGGTGTCGAACCCGGATGAAGAAGTTCCGACGACGAGAGCCTTCTTTCCGACCCATTCGCGGGAAGAATCGTGCTCGGTAGAGTGCCTGACGGTTCCCTTGAATTGGTCTCGTCCGGGGATGGTAGGTGAATAAGGTACACCCGCTAGACTGGTAGCCATGACCTAGAAGGCAAGGAGCGGGGTTTAGCATACGTCTTGAGATACAAATATCGGCGTTGACGTGACTTACCAGCTGCTTAGGACGGAAAGTCCTCTTTCCTTTGCCAGCTCGCTCGACCTCGATGCTCCATTCGCCGTTCTCGAGCTGTTTGGCCTCCGTGACCGTGGAAGAGGTCCAAACGTGCAGCTCAAGGGCACTGACATACCACTCGAACCAATCCGCCAACTTTCCGGCGGGACAGTAGGCAGGCCAATGTTGAGGGTAAGGCATGTAGGCGAAGTGGTCTGCAAAGGGAAATCGTATCGTTTCAGCCGTGTTTCAGAAGGCACGCGCGCGGGCCGATGGTGTGTGATGCGCATTCGACTCACCGGCCCAGTGGGGGAGGTGCAAAGAGAGAGCTTCGTATCGACCCCTCCAGTTGTCACCGATTCGCTTGTTGCGCTCGATGATCAGGCATTTGACGCCCAAAGCCTGCAGTCGTGCAGCGAGCATCAGACCGCTATTCGATTACGGTAATTCTTTAGCATGCGATCCGGCTGCTGGGGTTGTGGATGAGCGCAACTCACTTCTGTCCTCCTCCGATGATCAAGACTTCGGGCTCGACACCCTGTAACTCCAGGTCGATCTCCCTCTGCTTGTCCCATGCGTGAGGTCCGGTCATATGTCCGTCCCTCTCCGGGACCTCGGGAAACCCGTGCAACGATTCCATCGTCGAGGTCAACGTCCAGATCTTGTAGCCCTCTTCGGTCTTGATGATGTTGACGAGAGCGGTACCTCCGGCGAGTTCGGTCTCCAAGCTGATGTGCGCTTGAATGAACGACATGTCCCCGTAAGGGCGCTCGACTTTTGCATATGGCTCGATGAGGGTGACCTTGTGAACGGGCGTGGTGGGCAGCAAGTCGGAAGCAGCCTTGTGGATGGCTTGCCGGAAGTTGAAGGATCGGTATTCCCAAGTGAAAAGCGCGCGGTCCCTCCAAACACCTGGGATCCGAACCATGTCAGACGCGCCTCTCGATGAATTCAAGGCTAGCGAGCTCACCGTGCTCCATGAACAGTCCCGAAAACTGCTCAGCATCCCCCGAAGTCAGCGCCTGCGACAATTGGCTGACGATTTCTTGCGCGACGTCTCTGGGATTGGTCGCTTCGGGGATCTCTACCGCTCCGGCTCCGTGTGTAGGAAGGGGGTGGTTGTATTTGAACTTGTACATGTAGTCCCTCGCGACAGGCTCAGGATAGATGGGCAGAGGCAGGGTGTCATTGTGGCGGTTTTGCTTGCTGACACGAGCGTCAGCCTTGAGCTTTGCTGTCGGGTCCGTAGGAAAGAGTGGCTCTTGAGTGTGTATGGCGACGGGAGACATGATGTGGAGCTCGATGCGTGTGGTAGTTTATGCGAAGGAAGATGGGGCGCAAAGGTGTGGGTTTCACAGTAGACAAGATGATCACTCGAACATGCTACCCATCCGGCTCTTATAAACTCTCTCTTTAACCTTTCACCATCCCGACGACATCGAATGATCGACCAGTACCGATTGAGCTTTCTCCGATCTCCGATCCGTTCGAGATCCGATGCGTCTTTCGGCTGCCGTGAACCGCGTTGGTTGTTGCCGATTCGGTTGGCTCTCTGCCTAGCGGCTTCCTACTCGAGCGGACCTGACGTTGCCCACGGAGATGATCTCACGGTTTCAGGTGTCTGCATGCAATCAGGAGAAGAAGCCTGTGGGGTTGTGGGTCTCGAGCGAGCGGCAGGAAACACATCCTGATTCTATTCCCTGAACTTGGCACATCCCCCATACGCGCGGGCGCCGTGATCGACGACCACATACATAAAACAGCTATATACAGCCACCCGAAAGTAAAGTCCTGGGGGCTCCAAATCACATTCAACGACCTCCCCTCTCTCTCTCTCTCACAGGCAAAAGTTGCAAACTGAAAACTATCGCAATCACCACGTCCATCGCGAACATCATGTCTGAAGAGAAACAACATCACGGCAGACATCCTCCTGACAGGGATGCAGTCCCGACTCTCGCCTCATTAGGAGTCGATCTTCACCCAGACACATATCGATACTGCGAAGACAGTCAAGCGTTGGCGGATGCTATCGGCGGAAACAGTACGTGTCTCACATCAGCGTTACTGCTTGCTTCGTATTAACACCCGAAAGCCTTCTTCCAGGACTGAGGGATGTCTTCGCCAACTGGATCGTAGTCGCAGCCGCTTTCTCCGCCTGTATGGGTGGTCTCTTGTTCGGTTTCGACCAAGGTATCTTGTCGATCGTCTTGACGATGAAGCAATTCCTGAACCAATTTCCGGAGACGGACCCCGCGCAAGACTCGGGCGCTGCGTTCAACAAGGGTATCATGACGGGTCTCTTGGAGCTGGGCGCATTCCTGGGTGCCATCCAAGCCGGTTATCTCGCCGATAGATATTCGCGAAAGAAGGCTATCGGTGAGTGGCAATGATGTTTGCCTTGGATTGGGCTCGGACTTCGGCTGCTGATCAGACCCTCGCAATACTCAGCCATTGGATCCGCCTGGTTCATCGTCGGTAGCATCATCCAGGCTGCATCATTCAGCTACGCTCAGCTCGTTGTCGGCCGGTTCGTGGGTGGTGTCGGTATCGGCTTTTTGTCCTCGGTCGCTCCCATGTACATTTCCGAAATCGCACCGCCCAACGTGCGAGGCGCCTTCCTCGCCCTGGAAGGTGCGACCATCGTCATCGGTATCGTCATCATGTTCTACATCGTAAGTATAACCCAGTCCGCCTCCAAACCGAACCTAGGCTGATCAAGTTTTGAGCACAGACCTATGGGACTCGACATATCCCAGATGACTGGAGTTTCAGGGTACCGTTCGTCATCCAAGTGGCACCTTGTATCTTCCTCGGACTCGGTCTTTGGAAGCTGCCCTACTCTCCTCGATGGTTGGCTCAAGTCGGCAGGGATCGAGAGGCGTTGGACGCTCTGGTCCGACTTCGTGGGACCCCGTCGACAGACCCTCGAGTACAAGCCGAATGGATCACCATCCGAGCCGAAGCCCTCCGGAACAGGGAAGTCATCGTCATGGCCCATCCTACCATCGCTCAAAAGGCCGGTCTGGCGGCGGAGATTAAGCTGGAGATTGCCGCTTGGATCGACATGTTCAAGCCGGGTATCCTTCGAAGGACCATGATTGGGGTCATGCTCATGGTCTTTCAACAGTTCCAGGGCATCAACGCCCTGATCTACTACTCTCCGACCTTGTTCGAGCAACTCGGTCTAGGCTATGAGATGCAACTCACCATGTCCGGTGTACTCAACGTCTGTCAAATGGTCGCAACCACCTCGTCCTTCTTTTACCTCGACAAGATCGGCCGAAAGCCGCCTCTTCTCTTGGGATCCGTTGTCAACACCATCTCTCATGTTATCGTCGCCGTCATGATCGGTAAGCGTTGTCTCTGCGGGTACAAGCGCATAACAGACTATTTGCTGACGAGCCCAACCCAACAGCCAAGTTTTCGCACGACTGGCCGAACCACCAAAAGGAAGCTTGGGTCGGCGTCTCCTTCATCCTCATCTTCTGCTTCTCTTTCGGTCTCGGATGGTCTCCCGTCCCCTGGGCCCTACCCGCCGAGGTCCACGCCTCTAGTCGGCGAGCCAAGGGAGTGGCCATCACCACCTGCTGCAACTGGTTGTTCAACTTTATCATCGGCGTCATCACCCCTCCCATGATCCAACACATCAAATGGGGAACCTTCCTCTTCTTCGCCGCCTTCTCGTTTATGAGCGCCATCTGGACCTGGTTCTTCTGTCCGGAAACCAAGGGGGTTTCGCTCGAGGGCCTAGATCGGATCTTTGGGACCAAGGCTGGCGTCGAGGAGATCGATGCCAAGGCCGACATCCTTCACGCGATCATCGGAATCTCTTCGACTACCGGCAGGAACGACGTTCCCGCTCTCGGCACGGGATACCAGAACGACGAGATCTCGGACAAAGGCGCCGCTTTCAAAGGACAATCCGAGTTCGTGGAGAGGGTCTGAAAGACCATGGGATTTGAGCGAAAAGAGACTGCTGTTCAGAGGCGCTGAAACGAGGGATTGAATCGGTACAGGCAAATTGAAAGATCAGGAAAAGTCTAGAATAAAAAGTCGAAGGAAACGCGTTGTACAACCTCGTTTTACGTATTGAGCGGATTGTGTGCTTCGTTATGACTATGATATCATGTTACACGGTCAATGGAGACCAGTGTCGATACCAGATCGCATCCTACTTCAGCTCGCCACTGATGCAGCCGTGACGTGAGCTGAAACACAATCCCGCGTGGTATCCCCGAAGTTGCCTTCGTCCCACCAGCCCAGGTGGACGGACGCTAACAATTGAACGAACAACTTTTCGGAGGTATCCCAGTCGAACGGTCCGGTACCCCCACCTCCCCCGGTTGCAACTTTTGTTAGGGACGCGATCTTTGTCTTAGGGGCGCGATGTTTTAGGGCGAGAAGTCCCACCCCAGCGAAAAGGTGGAAATAATAACCCCTAACCCCCTAACCCCTGACCTCCCCGTAACATGAGCTGTAGATCCCCTCCTCCCTAATCCCCTAACCCCTCTAACCCCTAACCACTAATTTCCGTAACCCCTAGCCCCTAACCACCTAATCCGGAACCCCTAAAATAACCCTGGGATTGACTGAGAGGTTTTGAGAAGCTGCGGTGACTTCGTCACCTGCATCTTCAATCCCTTATTTCCACCTTTTTGATCGCGCCCCTAAGACAAAGATCGCGTCCCTAACAAAAGTCCCGGTTGCGCCTCCTCCAAACGACGAATCTCACAGAAAGAAGAGCCGTCATCACCCGCTTCCGCCGGCATCTCGAAATGCCAAATTCAAACCCACGTTCGACAGGTTGCCGCCGGCAGTTTCAACAGTTCACATGGGCCAAGATGCTTCCAACCAATCGCGAGTTTTCTCATCGGCTTCACACAGGTTATTCCTGATGCCATCCCCCAACCTGATGACATCGTTGCGGGCCGTGTCTCAGACTGGGCAGATGGAATTTCAAATCTGGTCTCATGAAACTTGTTTCCGATCCGCCTATGATCATGGGGATGCGAGCAAACCGATCGAATCGCACATCATTGCGCCCTTGGCAGAGGACGTCTGTCAAGCCATGACATTCCATTTCTCGATCTCATTGGTATTTCTCGATCTCGGGAGGTTTCATTCTCGACGCAAAAGTCGGACCCGCGACGTGCCTGACGTCTAAGCGAGCCGGCGGTTACAGACGCGCACACGGGATCAAACGCTGAAACACGTTCGAGCCAATCATCAATCGCGTTTCGATCCCCGAAGGAGAGAACCTCGGCGTACTTGGGCGAAAACTGACCGCAAAGGTCCCGCCTCCCTCTCCGCTCACAGCGTCTTCATCTCCATCGCGCAGATGAACAGCACATGCGCAGCGAGAGAACAATGCCGCAGACGCTGGACCTGGCGGCAGTTGCTGATGTTTAGAGTTTGCCTGCCAAGTCGCTTATACGAATTCTCCCGTCACAACGCACCCTGGGGCTCTTTTGGTTCCCCCTCTCCTCGATGGTCGCTCGATCCCGCACGTCTTGACCCGCGTTTCCCCATTTTTTCCTAGACGGGGTGATCACACGGGACCCCTTGGGACACCGTAGCCGCCGGCAAGAGGTGGGTGTCCCAAACATATATAACTGGGAGGTCGGACGAGGTCTTTCGATTGGCTCACCCTTCTCGATCCTTCTCTTCACACTCAACCGACTCTTCTCTCTCTTCTCTTACACACTTAGTCCTAGTCCTAATCCTCTGCTCCCTCCCTCGACACTTCGACAACTCTCTTTCTCAACATGCCCGGCGCAGGAGTCCTCTCTGGCCAAGTTGCGGGTGCCTCGCACGGCAACCCCTTGAAGAACGGTTTCATCACCCGACAATACCTCTGGGCGTTCTCTTTGACGACCTCGCTCTTCTTCTTGTGGGGTTTCGCTTACGGTCTGTTGGACGTCTTGAACAAGCATTTCCGTGAGTTCCTTTCATGGAATCGACGTACTCGATCGCGTATCCTTCGCTAACGATCTTCCGTCGCGATCGAGTACAGAAAACACTCTTCATGTCACCAAGCTGCAATCGACCGGACTTCAGGTCGCCTACTTCGGTGTCGGATACTTTGCCTACTCTCCCGTCGCTGTAAGTGAAAGCCCGTGCTTCGACCTCGTCCTTCCAACATGTAGGCTTACGACGCGACGCGATGCGATGCGAATCTCCTCTATCAGGCCATCGTCATGAAGAAATACGGATACAAGAAGACGTTCATCATGGGTCTCTCGCTCTACAGTCTGGGTGCCATTCTCTTCTGGCCCGTCGCTGCCATGACGGACAAGACCGACAACAAGCAGGCCATCTTTGGAGGATTCGTCGTCTGCACCGCCGTCATCGCCTGTGGTCTCGCCACCTTGGAAGTCGGCGCCAACTCTTACGTGTCGATCATGCCCCCCGTCAGCGTCGCCAACTTTAGGTTGCAGTTCTCCCAGTCGTTCAACGGAGTCGCTTCCTTTACCGGTCCTTTGATCGCGTCCAAGTACTTGTGAGTTTCGCGTCAACGCGAATTTGAGGTCATCCCGGGCCGATTCTGATGATTTACCTCGATTTCTTGCTGGGTAGCTTCGGAGAAGATGTGAAGCACAGTAATAACAATGTGAGTCCATGCCAGAACTATTCATCAACGATACATCTGTTAACCTACAAAGTTTGTGTGATATTAGGTGCAATACGTCTACCTCGCGGTCGCTATTGCCGGTGAGTGGCTACGGTTTTGGATGAGCGCAGAGAGCCGATTTGCTTACATAAGCCTATGATCCCTATGATCAGGTGTTTGCGTCGCCGCCGCCTACCTCTTCACCAAGTTGCCCGAGCCGGACTTGTCCGACGCCACGGCCCAGGAGAACCAGATCATCACCTCCATGGACGGTTCCGAGGAGAGCAAGAAGATGACCTACGCTAGAATCTTTTACGGTTTCGCCACCCAGTTCTGCTACGTCGGCGCTCAGGTCACCATCGGTACCTTCTTCTTGAACTACGCTCACGAGAACGGTGGTTTCTCCGACTCCAAGGGATCGCAGATGCTCTCTTACGGACTCATCGCCTTTACCGTCGGCCGATTTGTGGGAACCGCCCTCTTGGCCTTTATGTCCGCTCCCCTCCTCTTGGGTATCTGCACTCTCGCTTGTTGTGCCCTCACCTGCGCCATCTCTTCTTTGAAGGGGGGTTCCGGTGGTGTCATCTGTCTCATCATCATCATGTTCTTCGGTGAGTACTACACGCGCTCCCCCTCGCGCATCCTGATCGCGTCATACTGACTTTTTGTCGGTTCTCGCCTGCCAACAGAGTCGGTCCAGTACCCCATCATCTTCGTCTTGGCTACCGGTAACATGGGTCGATTCACCAAGATCGCCGCCGGAGCCGTCGTCATGGGTGTATCCGGAGGAGCCGTCTTCCCCCCTATCCAGGGAGCCATCGCTACCTCGGTCAACACCCGAGTCAGCTACTGGATCGCCCTCCCGGCTTTCATCGAGATCTTCTCCTTTGCCATGTGGCAGTGGAAGCGAGCTGGGTTCGCCATCGGGCTTCCCAAGGACGTCATCCCCGAGGTCGCCGAGGAGGAGGGCTCGTACCACGGTGGAGACGAGAAGCTCGCCGTCGACGAGCAGCTCGACAACAAGAACGAGATGGAGTACGTCGAGAGGGCTCGATACTAGGCGAAAGGGCCTCTTCTGCGCCGGTGCGCAATCTTGTAGCTTTTTATATATATTGGTGTTAGTATAGGGTATATATGTGGGATCTTCTAGGCTGTCCACGTTTGCTGGATACAAAAGTAATGATATACAATCATTTTCGACTGCTCTTGGTTCTCTTGGTTCTTCTTTCGCGACTGTACGAGGTGTTCTGCGCCTCGTTCTCCAGATCTTCTTCCTACGGTCCGCTTTACCGTTATATGAATGTGAACTGTACTTGCATTCCTATTATGCTCTGCGTTACGACGGTCCTACAAAGGGACGACTACCGACTGAAACACGCTGTCGGAAGCTGGCCCCTCTCTGCCTCTGAATATTCGTGATGACGTGTCACACCCCCTCTTATCAAACAAAGACGATCCCGCAGCACCGGCGAGGACCGAAACTCATCCAGGCCCTTGCGGGAATGTTGTCGAGGATGTCGCTCGAAATCAAGACCATCCCAGCCAGAATAGTAGCACTCGATACTAAGCTGCTCCAGCCCACTTGTTTTACCCCACTTTCTCTGAGCCTGGCGGAGTATGCTGGCGAGTTGTTGCGGCGCAAGAGCTAGGGCATCTTACGGAGACTTGGAATCGGGACGCGGGATGGATGAACTTTCGGTCAAGCTCCGGGATGGTCAGCCCGGTACGCTGAGGTGTAATACCAAGGTCGTCGAGCTGCTTGGAAGTGAGTGACTTGCGGACGATTAAGCGCTTTCTTCGTCTGTCGGTTATGCTGACACTCGGATTGATAGGAGGGAAATCGATAGTCTCGACCCCGATCAACAAGCTGCTCAACGTAGCTCTCGTGACCGAGTCAGACGACCAGCATGGCACACCAACCACAACCGACCTCTCGCTCCGAATATCTTTCTTGGTGAAAGCCACACCGCATCACAAGCTTGATACCAGGGAACTGATAATACCACGGGAAGATCGAGAAGAAGCAGAAAGATGGATCGATCTGGCGATGGGACGAGCATATGCTGGTGAGCTTCACTTCTTGGTCTCCCTCGACGTGTATTATTCACGTTGAATGAGAAAATGAGAACGTCTTTCTTAGGTACACCAAGGGCGAGAAAGGTCCGACTGTTGGTGAATCCTATCGGGGGCAAGGGGAACGCGATGAGCCTGGTCAATTCGTTAGCTCTACCGGTCTACAGAGCGGCGGGGTGTGAAGTGGATGTGATCGGTGAGCGAAAACCATGGTCTCATTCTTGACAAAGGAGACTGCCCGCTGATCGCTGTCGATGTTTCTGTTCTGTTGGGTGATCCTAGAGACTCGATACGGGAAACATGCAGAGGAGATCGCACGCGATATGAAGTTGGATTGTGAGTAAGTCCAGTCCCTCAGCACCTACGCTACGAGCCGCTACAGTAGTTCTGACTGATCCTTTCATACTGTACTGGACCATATCTAGCGTCCTGGCAGCAGCATCAGGCGATGGAATCATACACGAACTGATCAACGGATTGGCCATCCGGAGCGATGCCCAGCAAGCTCTCAAGATTCCCGTGGTACCCATCCCGACCGGTATGTTCCCCACATAGTGAACCAGGTAACTTATTCTGTCAAGCTGAATAGCAACGTGTGGATAGGGTCGGCAAACGGAATGTCTATCAACTTGCTCGGTCTTGAAGAAGGGTTCGACATCCCCCTAGCCGTATTGAACACGATCAAGGGCAAGTCGCCTGGATGACAGGTCGCCTATCTCTGGGATATCAATTGATATCCGAATTATCGGCTTTGTTCTCCTCCTCGCACTTCAGGCCAGATCATGCCGCTGGATATCTGTTCTGTCACGCACGGCGACGCGAGGCGGTTCTCGTTCATGAGCGTGGCGATGGGTTTGATGTGCGATATCGATCTGGGTAAGCACTCGCAAAAGTTTCTCCGTCAAGGCTTCCCGTTGACAAGATTTCGGCTATTGGGATAGGTACGGAGCATCTGCGATGGTTAGGTGATACCCGCTTCGTTTATGGCTTTCTCAAAGGCAGTGAGTACAGCGTGTCTCAGACGTGATGTTCCCCGCTCACCGATGCCCGGCCCTATCCACACAGTCATTTCGAACTCGTCGATGCGATGCAAGATTCACATCAAGGTCGCGACCGCCGACAAGGGGTTGATGATTCAACGTCTGAACGAGTCTCGACAAGCCCAAGCTCATACTCGGCGGGACCAGCTGGATGACCCCGATCAGATCCGCAAAGCCGCAAACGGCCACGAGGAGGATTCGGACCCCTCCATCCCTCCTGTACGGATGCTGGAGCCTGACGAGACCTGGTTGATCCTGGAGAGCGGGAATCAATACGCCAAGGTCGAGAAGAAGGACGGGCCTAGTCCCAGGTGGTCGTCGAACGGTTCTTGGGACGAGGGCGAAGGGATGCTCTACGTCTAGTGAGTTTTTCGTTCACTCTCATCGATTTACGAAGGACTGGCTCTGATCATAGGGACTTGCAGTACCGGTCTTCAACCATACGTAGCCAGGGACCTCATGCAGTTCCCGGTGTGTATTCCTGGAGAAGGTCTTATGGATGTTGTGGTTCAGTCTCTGGTGAGTAGGTTCCGACGAGCTTCGAAGGTGTCTATTCGGGCTGACGGTTCGAGTGTCAAATATAGGTACCTCGGTCTGTGTTGGCTCAGTCGATTTCAGGTGGGGCGGAGGGGAAGCAATTTTATCTGGATTCGGTGAGTAATTCTTGTGCGAGTCAATTATGGAAGCACTCCTGACGCTCGCGAGTTGCGTATGCTGCAGCAACACTACTACAAAGGTAAGTCCTGCACGTTGCGCTATTCAGAACGGTATCGATAATGTTCTGACGGATTGCATCGATTGCGCTTCAGCCTCGGCTTATGTGGTGGAACTCGAAGGCAAGAACAGCTTGGTCTCTGTCGGTATGTGTTTCAGTGCCGAACCTCTCGCCTAGAACCTCCTAACCGTATTTCGATACCACAGATGGGGAAGCTTTGCGAGGAACGAGATTGTCGGTCGAGCTCTTGCCCAAGATGGCCAGGACGCTCAGCCTTTACGGGACTTGGGCGCAATCGACGTTTGGGAAAGCGGAACCGACGGGCTCGTAGGCAAAAACAAAAAGCCTTGAACCTGCTGCAAGAATCATTGATGTTTTGATCACGGACCTTATGAACGTTTACGATAGTGACCTCGGTATAGATTTGTAATCGGGGTTCTCATGTCTTTTCCATATCAGACGTCTCCATGTCTCCGTGTATCGACGATGGAATCCGCCATCGATGACGTAGGATCGTAGGGTCGAGGTGGAGGCACGAACGAGCGAGATTGACATGCAGGTAGGTGTTCGGGATGATCGTCGTGACCAACACCTATCGTATCTCTCTCAAAGGCTTTACATCTACACTCGCAATCTCCTTGACATAGCTTCCAGACGGCTGTCAACGACAAGTATGGCAGGAATGACACCAACATGAGCCAATCTGGAAGTAACAACCGTAACAAAACCGATCGACCTACCATCTCCGCCCTCCTGCAAGAAGCCCTGGATACCCCTCTTGAACGCTTGTCAATCGACGAACCTCTTATAGACCTGCCTTCAAGAGCCTATGATACCCCAGCTACACCACCCGTAGCCCATATAGACCAATCACAGCATCCACATCATCACGCTCAGCAGCAGCACGTTACAGCTCCTATCCGACAGACCGCAGAACCAGAACAGATCGAACCGGACGGCATGCCAATCGTTAGACCCGGTGGTGGGTCGAGGTCCGGCCTGAAAGGTCTTCTAAACAAGAGCAGACAGTCAATAGCAGCTTCTGTAAACTCGGGGGCTTCCAGGACGACCATCTCGTCTAATCCGCCTCAGGATGACCAACCACTTAGTGCGAAACGCATGGGCAAGCTTCCTCTTGGGCCTGCTTCGAGGCGACTCTCTGAAGCTCAAGAGATGAGGGAGGAAGTCATGAACCTGCGTCACCGATCCGGGGCTGCTCAAGAACAACCAGGAGAGACCGTTTCAAAACCAAGACGAGACTCGCTCGATGGCGTTCGGATAGGCGGGAAGCCCTTCTCCTCTCTCGTCGCAAGTAACCCCTTTCAGCAGGAAGACGATCCGATCAAGTCTCTCATATCCAATAACGATCCTTTTCAGAAGAATGAACCGCGATCGGAGATACTACAGACCAAAGCTAGTAGTAGGCCACGGATGAGACATCGGTCTAGTTCGACGTCGACGTTGGAAACCCCGCCTAGGCATCTGCAACGGACGATATCGTCCCTCATAAATCAGAAGGATGGGAAAGGAAAGACGGGGTTGTCCCAGTACCCGCCCGACCATAACCTGTCGAGCTCGTTACCGCGTTCAGCATCCTTCGCATCGCTGGCTTTTCCTAGCCACCTATCCTTGCCGAAAACCAAACTGCCGACATTCCCCTCGTTTCCCAACGTACCTATGGCCGCAATCGGGGGCGTAAGGGGGTTCTCAGCAAGTGCGCGGGACGACAAATCCCTCTGGAAGACCTGGTGGGAAGGTTCAGGCGCTACGGCGGAAGAGATGAAGAAGGACGAAAAGGCTCGGGAGCATGCGCACAAGCATATGCTGGACGATGCTGATAAAGGCGGGACGCTCGAAGAGGAGAGAGAGCATATTCAGCAGAAATGCAAGTGCACCATCTTTGAGGCTAGCGGAAGGATCGTGCTAAACTGTTCGTTTCTGGTTTCCTGACAGACGATACACCGAAAAATCCGATCGTTTTCTGCCATGGTTTATTGGGTTTCGATTACATCGGTAAGCCGCGTTACGTTTCTCATTGCGCCTCTCCTTTGCTCAAATCGATCCTGATTTGTACTATGCCCGTCCAACAGGCCCGAAAGGTCTACCAGCGTGAGTTCGGCTTGACTTTTCATATTGAAGAGCATGAAAGCTGATAATCGCGGACTGTAGTCTGCAAATCTCGCATTGGAGAGGGATCTGTAACGTCTTGCAGGAGAACGGCATCGAATTGATGATCGCCAAGGTCCCAGCGACATCTTCGGCTGCTCAGAGAGCCGAGGTCTTGTTGGCAGCGATCGAGGAGCAATTCCCGGGGAGAGAAGTGAATCTGGTGGGGCATAGCATGGTGAGTCTAATTATGAAGAGGAATAGCTTTTCGATATGCGCTCGCGTGTCTAACACAAGCCTTGTTGCGCGACAGGGTGGGCTGGACGGCCGATATCTGATCTCCAAGTTGAAATCAAAAAGATCCTTCAAGGTGGCGAGCCTGACCACGATCGCTACGCCTCATCGTGGATCTCCTTTTGCCGACTATTTCATCGACAACATCATCGGTCGTAAGTGGTGGTGTGTATTCCTTCGGCCCGAGTGAGATCCTCTCACCGACACATACATACATGCATTGCAGGCGAGCGATTACCCTCGTGGCTGACTGTACTCGATACCGTCTCCTTCGGTGCCGCTGGAGACGGGAGCGCCTTCCAAGCGTTGACGACCCGTTCCATGGCGTTATTCAACGAACAAGTACCGGACGATCCGAACGTCAAGTATTACTCGTGGGGAGCTCATTATCAGCCCGGGTGGTTCGACCCCCTGAGGTGGAGCCACGATTGCATCCAGGCGGTCGAGGGGGATAACGACGGGTTGGTCAGTGTGGAGAGTAGCAAGTGGGGAGAGTTCAGAGGAGTCTTGATCGGATGTAGTCATGTTGACACGTGAGTGTCTCGTGCCATGTTCGCACGGACTTGAGAGCGAATTAACATGATCGATTTGATAGGGTCGGATGGGTCAACCACGTCAGATTCACCATGGAAGCCTGGGCTGGTCGACCGATCGCTTTCAAGCCGGCAACGTTTTACCTAGAAATCGTGAGTGCCCCCCCAGATACAGGATGATGCGGCCTGTGTCACGGGTGACTGGGATCTTGACTGGTACTGATGAGCTGTATTCGCTGCATGTTTCGCAGGCAGACCATCTTGCCAAGCAGGGCTTCTAGTTGATTATGGGTGGGTCTGGGTGAGGGGAGGGAACATCGTTATCGTGTTGCGATATATGTAGATCGCGCAACGGGTCTCGCAATGTATTTCACGACGTATCATATGCTGCCCGCGCTGTATAATCTCGATCGAGGCTTGAAAACGTGGCCAACGGACATGGACTCTTACTAGTATACACACGACGATCATGGCCTCTGATGCAAGCTGTCAAATAGCTTGTTGTCCTCCTTTGTCTCCGTCCCCGCTTCGATCCATATCCCTATCCTACCCCCGTCACTTGGAAACAGCAGCCAAAGCCTCATCATACGCCTCCTTTGCTCCGATCTTCGGCTGGTAGAAGTCCAGCACCTCCTTGCTAGTAGAATGACGCTTGACCGAGAGTTGTCCGTCCCACCCGATGTTCAAGTTCGTAGCCAACGAATGGACTGTGTTGTCCGGGTACATGGGCCCCTTCATAGCGTGGATCATCGATGCGTCACGGAAGACGACGTCGTCGACGGTGGTCCCTGCGTGCTTCTCCAACAGCTGGACAGACTCCTTGCCGGTGATGTCTGACGGGCCGGTGAGGACGTAACGTTTGCCAGAGTGTTTCGCTACGTCCGAGGCAGGGATGAGGAGGAGCAGACCGGCGATGTTCCCGACCTCGGTAGCGTCAATGGGAGCGATCCCAGCATCGGCATCAAAGGGCAGCTTGAGGGTCCCCTTCTCCCCGGTCTTTCGGTACGTCTCCAACCACTGGACCAAGGCGGGGTAACAGTACGCGTGGAAGATGTTCGGCTGAAGAGAAGTCCACTTCATCGACTTGAAGTCCGGGTCGTCCAGCATGGCCTCGACCGCCCAGTGGCTCCTCCCGTACCAGATCGAACTGGCCGCTCCGACCGCAAAGGTGGTCGTCGAGATCCTCACCGCATACTCAACCCCGGCCTCAAGCGCATAGTTGAGGAAGAGCGACTCGTCGACGAAGTGCGTCACCCCGTTATGGCTCGCGATGAACAGCCTTTGGACCTGGCGCTCCTTGAGCCAGTCGGAATCGATCGCCGTCCAGTTCTTCTCGACCACTTCGACGTTGTCGGAAAGCGAGGCGAGTTCTTTGGCCGTCTTCCCCGAAGCGTCTCTGGTCAGTGCGATGATCTTGTGCTGAGCAAATGGGCTCGAGGCGAGGTTGGAGACGAGGGTCTTGACGACGCCTACGCCGGTATTGCCGGTAGCGCCGACGATGAGGATGGAGGGGGACGACATGGTAGGGAGGGTACTTTGTTATTGTATAGTGTAGATCTCAAGGAGAAAGGTTGGTTTGGTAGTAGCTAAGAGCAGACGAAGATGTCGATGATTCCGATCCTCCCAACTCTTGCTGCGCTCGACCTGAAACCGGGCTGGGCCTTCCTTATAAACGGCGATCACGTGCGGAACAACCGAATCTCCGGGAGGAGCGAAAGGATCGCCAAGGGGATGACGAATCTTTTGCTTCCGATCCTTCCTTGGTAAGCACCTATCCCTGAGCATGTGAAGGCCTAGGCAAGGCAAACGGGTCGACCACGCGTCAGCTTAATTCTATGCTAGCGACCGCTTCCGCACTCCTCGCGCGACGTCTTGCGCGCAAAACAACTGACTCTCGCATCACGCGTCCAGCCACGCGGAGCAATGTGGGGCGTGATCGCTCTCTTCCCGCACATAAATAATATTTCCCGCGTCCAAATTTGGTAGTTCTCGCACTCGATCTTGCCCTCAGCGCTCTCACACATGTATCCGCACTACATTTTTTTTTCTGTTGTGAAGTACATCGACGACTACTACCCCTCCCAATTCCCCAATCCTTACTCTACCCCTTCCGATCACAATTGCTTTCGGTAACTTTGATATTCGAGGTATGACGATATTAATATTATATCCCAAGAGCAATTATTACAAAGGTCGTGACCGATACCCCTATGCCACAAATATATCAAGTTGCAAGCTGTACAAGAATCCAATATTTCTCTCCCGCCTTGGCGCCCTACGTCTTTTTGGCTTTCCCGCTGTTCTTCTCCTTCTTCTTGCCCTCCTTTGCAACCGGGAAACGAGCATCATTCCCTTCGATCCTCACCGCCATGTCCTCGGCATCCACGCAAGCGACTTCCCAGAACTCATCGATCATCGGCTTCCAGTACTCGCTGTCCGGATCCGGCAGGCCAGGAGATGTAAAGACGATGACCTCTCCCTTCCCATCCTTGAATCGAGGTCGAGCGCAGAGAGTTACGGACAACGTTCCAGATTTCAGTGCCGCGTCGGTCATCTTGGTCCGGATTGCATCGTGGAAATTGTTCCACACCTGCGCTCGAGCGTTTCGAGCCGCCTGAGCATCGCGATTCTTGCTTCCCGTAATCATCTCTGCCGGCAGCCATTCGGCGTCCTGCCCCGCAAGCCATTCGACCGTCCGCTTTTTCTGCTTGTGCAGATCCTGCCATTGTTCTCCGGTACACTTGACGTACTTTAACAACGGCGAGGGGAGGCGCCGTCGCGTCGATCTGCGAAAGTTCACTCTCATAAGCAAACATGAGTCTCGTCGCATATACTCCGTCCTACTCACTCTCCCTTGTCCTCGTTGTCCTCCTCCTCCTCGTCGTCCTCCTCCTCCTCGTCGTCCTCCTCCTCCTCGTCGTCCTCCTCCTCCTCGTCGTCCTCGTCGTCGTCGTCGTTGTCCCCCTCCTCCTCGTCGTCGTCGTCGCCCCCCTCGTTAGGCGAAGCTCCCTCACGCTTCAAATCCTTTCGATCGGGACCATCATCGTTCCCGCTCTCGCCGTCGCTATCCCCATCGCTTTTGCCGCTACGACTAGGGAAATCGTTTCCAAAGTCACCGCCGCCAAAGTCATCGCCGTCTTGGCTGTGCAGGTCTGCATTGCTTTGTACCTCACTACCAAATTTCTCGCTGCATATTTATGTCAAGGGAGCAAGGTTCAGCATCAAAGACGCTCTTCACCGTGCCAAAGCTATTCAGACTTACGTCTCCCACTTTTCCCGCTCCTTTTCCCTCGCTTCCCGCACAGCCAACACGTTGCGCACATCAACTTCCGTGAGCACGGCTGGCTTCGACCATGCAAAGTCCTCCCGCACCGAGGTAGACTCTACTTGCCAAGCTTGACCGTCTTCATCGCTATCCAGGTTGCGATAGTGAAACTCAACTAAGTAACGTTTGAGTTTCGCTCTGAAGTCCGCTTCGACCAGGGTGGGGAACGGTTCATCGATAGCAGGAGCAAGCCGTCCCAACACCTTGCTCCACACATTTTCCCGCAACTCCCAACGTTCTCGGAACGAGACACCGTCCATCCTTCCGAGCTTGAGATTGTGGACGTCGGCAAAGTAACCTGCCCAAGTCTCCGTATGCGGGAATAGCCCGATCGTGTCTTCCACCTGGGCACGTAGGGTCCACCGGCTCCCTGCAATCATTGGCCTTTTACCCAATGCTTGGAGTGCTGATCGTGCTCCCGCATTTTCGAGCTCCGCAAGGCTCAGGTCGATCGCAATTGGCATACCGACTGTGTCGCCGTGTTCCCGCCAGAGCTCACGCGCGCGGCTGCTGATATCAGCCCAACGATGTCGAGCCTCCGGGAGTGAAACAACTTTTTGCAAAGGCGCCCAGGTTGCTTGTAGCAAAACACCATCGGTGCGTCGCAGCATATCCAGGATGGGAACCCACTCGCTCTCGTAGAACCGTCCTTCACCCAACAGTCGTCGGAGGTAATGTATCTCGCCGGCCAAGGAACTGGTCGACTTGAAATCCGGACGATTGGCGAAGACCTCGAATATGCCCCCGACCACAGCGATGAAAGCAGGAGTGGCACCTTTCATCCATTCCCGCCCCATATACACCCCATCTTGCCATCCGCAACCTCGTACCACGTTTCCAAGTGCTGCCCGCATTGCAGTCGCCTTCGTCAGATACCTCCGACCGACGTCCCACAGCTGCTTCTTGTCGGGAGTGTCGCATTCATGCGGCCGGCCATCGATCTCAGAGACAGCTCTGAAGGGTCTGAAGGTATCTCCCAACAACGCGTGAACGCATTCCGCTGCTCGCTCCTCAATGTCGATGATCTCGTCCCATCTCCTCTCAAGCTCTTTTGTCAGGACATTGTATCCATCTTTTCCCAGAGAATTTATCTTGCGGATGATTTCCCGCTTCGATATCCCCTGCCACCTTTCCTCGCGAGCCTCGACTGCTTGAGCCAGTATACCGTATGCTTGTGCTCGTGCAGGAGAATGACACTCGTTGAAAGCTTTCCCGTAAGCTCCAGAGTCCCAAGCAAACTCAAAGAAATCGCACAAGCGTTCCGGCTGTGACTTCCCATCGTCGGTCCCGATTTCCATGACCTTCGTCCACTCGGACGCGTTCCAGCCTTCCCCAAGCTCAAGCTGAACTTCCCTTTCAACGTGCTCTTTCCATGACTCCATACTGTGAGCCGGGTTGCGCCGGACACCCTTCATCGCGAAGTCCAAAGCTCGTACCAGTCCATCTGGATTTTTGAACCGTCCGGTTGGAAACGGTTCTTGCCAGCGGGAACCCGCACGATAAATCGGACTCCGCAAGTTCCGTCCGATCCCGTAAATGACTTGGCCGAGGAAGTCCTTTTTCTCATGGCGAGAAGGTTTGAGAGAGGCCGCTTCACCAGTCTTTTGCTTCTTCCGTGGCCCGTCATCATCCCCCTTGTCCATGTCCCCAAAATCTCTCGGAGTTCTGCCTCGCCGTTTTCTGGCACCATCCCAGACGTCTTCGGCCACATCTGTAACGATGTCTAATCCCCTCTTGCGGGAATTTTGTTTTGGACCGGTCCCTTGTGACCGTTGTTCCCATTCAGCAAACTTCGAGAATGTATCCTTCAAAGCTTCCTTGTCGATCGGAACTGCTTTAGGGAGTTTGCGGACTTGTTGCGGTCGTTCCAGCTTGATATTCGGGACAGGCCAAGATACCGAGGGGAAAGGACCTGTTTCCGAATCCAGGAGATCAAATCGCTGTTACCACAAATTCATAGTCAGCTTTTGATCATTCCCGCTCGAAACATCTGCTGTATGACTAAATCACTTACTCTCTTGTACCCAATTCCCGCCTCTTTATTCATCTTCTCCTCCGCTTCACCCCGTTGCTCTTCTTCGCCTTCTTTTTGCTTCTCTGCACCATTGTCCTCGTCCCCGTCTTTCTGCGCTGACTGGCGATTCGACTTGTCGTTGTCGTTATCCTCCACATTCTTCGCTCGAGACGCAGCCTCCCGGTCCATGCGATCTTTGTCGAGCATCGCCTGCCTCAGAGTCTCTCCCAATTTCGTCTTCTTCTCCTCGTCCTCCTTCTCCTTCTTCTCCTCGTCCTCCTTCTCCTTCTTCTCCTCCTTCTCCTTCTCCTTCTTCTCCTCGTCCTCCTTCTCCTTCTTCTCCTCCTTCTCCTTCTCCTTCTTCTCCTCGTCCTCCTTCTCCTTCTTCTCCTCCTTCTCCTTCTCCTCCTTCTCCTTCTCCTCCTCCTCCTCCTGCCTTCTAATCTCTTGCTCACATCGCATTGCCTCCTCCTCCGAAAATTCTCTGTCCAACCGGCCCTCTTCCACCATCGCGGATAACTCTCGTTGCTCCACAATCCTTGCCAGCTCTTCTGCCAGCTCTTCTTCTTCCCGAACTTGGCGTCTCTCTTCTGATAATTCCCGCTGACGTACACGCAGGTCGATATCAAGTTCGTCCATGAATCCATGGACAGGCGAAGACGCAACATTGGCAGAAGGGGGAGGAGCATTTGCAGGGAGAGGTACGGGTTTTGGACTAGAGGATTTTGAAGGCTGCAACACAACGGTGAAAGAAGTAGTGGTCAGTCCAGCTCTTTCCCGCAATCTTGATCGACCTTGGGGAGGTACTTACAGGCAACGGACTCAAAGTCGATGTCTTTTTACGTGGTCGATCGAGCTCCTCTTCCGAACCAGACCTGGCTCTTTTGGCCTAGATCCCATTGTTCCCATCACTCAATTAGGGTATATCAGACACCAAGCACATTCAGACTACTGAACTCACCAGTCTTTCCCGTTCCTCAGCTTCAAGCTTCCGCTTCCTGTTACCTTCGTTCAGTTTCTCTCCGGCAAGCTTCTTCTTTTGCTTTTTGGTCAACGTGCGAGGTCTTCCGGCACCAAGAGCGGCTGGCTTATCCCCTTGCGCATTAGAAGCTTCGTCCGACATCGTAGTATGTGATATTTGATAGAGGCGAGAGCAGATGTTGCAGATATGCTATAGAACGATGAGAAAATGGGATGCGGGAAAGAAGAAGGTCGGTGGTACGAAACACGAGCGCCAACGTTCAGTCAGCGTTCTTATATACACTCCAAGCTGAGTTAAGACCGACTGTCCTTCTTTGTTCTTCTTTCTGGTATGCACTGCAGTTTCGCTGATCAGTTACGGCTTGCTAAGATTACTCCTTGTTGTACTAGATGTCTTGTGCACTGTGTTTCGTTGTTACGGCTATACTTTCTTTTGTTTTGAATGTCACCTCCTTAGCTCCTTTCAAGTCTTTGTTGGCCACTTGCGCGTGAGAGAGAGCTGCTGTTTTTTAAGGCAACGCTAGTCGCTCCTCGATTCCCGCTGGCTTTACCTTTCCCGCACACTCACACGGACTATTTCTCGCCGTTCATCTACTGTATTATTACTGTAGACTGGACTCTGGTGACTCATGACTCAGCTACCAGCTAGTATACTCTTCATACGAGCACAACATTATTACAGCTCTACAACGTGCAACATCTGTCACACTTACCAATACATATCGTGGACACACAACACGGATCCATCCTGTCTGTTCCTTACGAAGTTCAAATATATAGCATATACACTCCATTTCATACCTCACTTCATCATTTCACTATGGACTACGACGATCAAGATTTTTACCGAGAGCTCGAGATCGCCGAACGTCTTGAAGATGACCCACCCATACCGACACACGGTGAACAGCTGGATGTTCGTACCGCCCCCCCTAAATTCGTGTCACGATTAAACTACAATCTGGCTGTGCAAGACATCCTGGATTCCCTCCGGGCTCAATGCGCTGAATACGCTCCCAAGCTCAATGTCAAACCTCAGACGTTGCTCCATTCGGTACTCGACGTCACTCACAAAGAAAAGAAGAGTCGTCAACTGACTACTTGGCAGGCAATCGTACATCTGACTAGAGAAGAGCTTAGTGAGTGCTATCCAACTTTGTTAGATAGTCCCTACCTTTCCATGGTACCTTTGCTCACACCGCGTAACCATTCGCCAGAGAATTCTGCTGCACTCCATTCCGATGCCAATTCTCAAGAGGTCACAAACCCAACGAAATCCGCGCGGGAATTATTCGCTGCGACCATCACCGAAGCCAAAAAAAGGAGGCAGCAAAATCATTGGCCTGAGGCGCATATCGAACGGGTTCGCCAAGAGTTGGAGACTCGTCGCACGCACCGCCAACCTAAAAACCCACCCCCTCCCCCAAGGACTACGGACGCACGACGATTTGCAGCCAAGCGCGCCCTCGATGCATTTCAGGCTATTGGCATTCAGGTAAATACCTTCACTATCGTCCACCAACCGGCAACTATCAGCTAAGAGCGGCGGGAATCGTCTTTACCATAATCACAGCTTGGTCGACTGCACGAAATTCACGACATCGCCAGCTGTCTTATCATCATGCCGGTTGATCCTGACCATCCGCTTGTTCCTCAATGTACGGTTCAAAGCCCTTACTTGGAATCGGTGTTGTCCAAGCGCTGGGGCGTTGTGGGAAGCGATCAAGCTCGCAGCTATGGGGTGTTACGGACGATTCAAGCTTCAATCCGAGAGGCTAGAGCTCGCAGGTGTAAGTGGTGTGTTCGTCAGTACCACTATTGTTTATGACCGAGAAATTCACGTCACCTACTTTTCAGACGATGAGCAGATCTCGGCCAGTGGTTCTGCGGGAACTTCAAGCTCAACGTCCCTTGAGCGTCATCATACTAGCCTGTCGATGCCAGAGCAGAGAAATCGACTCACTGAGGAGATCAAGACTATGCTGAACCAACACTTGCCCCTGGATAAGCAGGTGTCGCAAGTGCCATGGGCTACTATGCATCTACTGTGTTATGCGCAGGAGCTCTGGTGGGAGGGTGTAAAGCTTGACTTTCAGTGGGACGGAGTACGAAAGACTCACAGGGCCGAGGTATGTGGAGACAGCTGGGCCGAGTTGGGATGGTTTTGAGGAACTGATGGTTATTGACGACTAGGTCGAAGCCTTGGGTAGTGCCTATGTCAAAGGGAAGCTGCGTCTGTGTCCTCTTAAAGATTATCAGGAACCAGACCGGACCCACATGAAGGAAATTCTTGGACAGCTGGCAGTCCGGGGAACCTCTCAGAAAGCTCAGAAGCGGGTCTTCGGGACCACCGCCCCGACCTATTCGCAGGAAACATTCGACAGACTTGTTGCTGATCTACGACATGACCACGTTTGAGCGGAGCGCTTGAGTAGTACACACTGTCCTTTTTCGTTTCAAAATGTAAATGTTCAGCGTAATATGTATAATCCCTGTCGTGCGATATTTGACACTTCCCGCCGGTCAGCACGATTCCCGCCGCAAAAATCGTGCAAGAAATGGATGGCGCGGGGAGCGAACTCTGGATCGCAAGCCACCATCCTCCCAAAAAAAAAAGGGACACGGCGCGACCGTTGCGCTATTGAAGCGCACAACATGCATGTTGACAAAGCGCTGAATTAGCGGCAGTGAATGCGCATCCATTACGCCCCATCTGAAACACGACATTGATTGGAAGTACGAACCTCTGAATCGGCTCATGAAGGGCGAGCCAAAAGCGAGGCTATCGTTCTGCTGATGCACTGGCCGCTCTGTGATGTTTCGATTTATCGAAACATCACAGAGCGGCCAGTTCAGAAGCAGAACGATAGCCTCGCTTTTGGCGAGCTTTGGCTCAGCGCTTACAGCGCTATTTCAGTGATGACTTGTCGGCGGGAACATCGTGGACATCGGGTTATGAGGCGGGAATAGAAGACTCACGATCTGATGTGAGACGGGAACAATGGCTTCTCAGTGTTTTATCTCCTTGGGTAAGTCATCGTACGGATCATCATTGCGTGGTGGCTTCGAATGGCGAATCGTATATATCATTGCCACTTGAACATCGGCACAACCATCACAATTATATTTGAACTCCCTAAATATCTATCGGTCTTGGAGTATATAGACCAGGAGCACGGCGTAGAGGCGGAAAATGGCGCGACGACATATGTTGATTATGATAGTATAAATTAATATACCTTTATGATGGACCTGAATATCAAAAGATGAATACGGTTCTGATCGGCGGGAAACAAATTTGGGAGACATACGTAGCGTATACTCACCGGTCTAGCTGCACTCGCCCATGAGACCGTTGTGTAGACATCGACACATCTTGTTCGCTCGAGTCGATTCTTCTCGGAACGTCGCCAGAGTCTCCGCCGAGAAGGCGGGAAGTTTTTTCGCCGACTGTTCTCTGGTCATCCGCCAAAGTTTCTCCCATCGTTTGTATATGATGTTGATCCGGTACAAACCGGCACAAAGCGGGAACCAACTTCGAGGAGTGTGCTCCTTGCACAAGCGTAGCATCGACATGCAGTGAAACAGTCCTTGGCCGAACGCGTAGATCTCGTACATGCGATCTTCATTGCTGGCGGCGAGCGTGACCATACCGCCGGTCGCAAGGATCTCGGTCCTGGCGTCATCATGAGCCATCATGATGATGTCCTACCGACAACGGAATCAACAACGGAATAGATCAGATCAATATGACTTCGGTGCAATTCCCGCTGTTAAAACTCACGTGCACTCGGAACTGAGTAAAGCCGTCGTTACACCTTTCGACCAAAGGATATTTGAACGGGATGTCGGGGGACATGAATAATTCCCGCGTGAGGTCCTGCGGAGTGTACCCGGGCGGGAGACGATGCATGCCGAGCTTCCAGTTCCATTGTAATCCGAGGCCTGTCTCATTGATCGCTTTCCAATTCCACTCGAGACAAGGCTGGTTGTTAAGCCTATTCGCCTCGAAGATGGGCGAGCGAGGCGGGAATATGCCTCGTAGCATCCCGGGAGGAGGTGGCTCGTCGAACGCGCACATCTCTGGATACAATTCGACATTGTGTTCGGGCGCCCAAACAACGCGGTGATCTCTTGCGACCGTGTACGCATTGCCGTTCTCGTCGTAGTGGTAGACGCCGGGGGAAGTAGGGTCCTGGTAAGGACTGTATTGAGCGACGTGAGGGCCATAAAACATGGAGGGGGGACGGGTAGGAAGAGCGATGTTCTCCATGGTGATGAGCTTGACGAATGTGAAGGTAAGTCGTGTGAATCGGCTAGGATGGTGATAAGAGAACGCGTGGAACGTTATGTGATTGTGATTGACATACATACAAGTTATAGAAGTTACAAGTCGACGGAAAGAACGTAGGTCAGTGCAGCTATATATATTCGCGAAGTAACACCAAACGCAAGAAGAACTCTTGTAAAGTCTACGATAACGATCGTCGGAAGCTCGCACGTAACAAAAGATAAACACCTTCAAAGGACCTTACTAAGCGGCGAAAGGCATCGTACATCATCATCGTATCCACTTTGCAAGCGAAATCTACGTACCTTACCCTCCCAGGAACAAAGAACAAAGAAAATTTCGTCAAAGGATCGACGATCATACCAACGTAATCACCCTATTCTCAGAGGCCACCGGGTACGATCGGAAGGTCTCAGGGCTTTCAAACGTTCATACTTGGCGTCGGTATTTGCGGGAATACAGTCAAGACATATTCAATGCGGGAATTTCAGGGGTGTTCCGATAGATCGTCAGCAGTCTCACTCAGACCAGGGAGTTGGGCATCGACCCGTTCATCGCTATTCCGCTTCCAATGCGTCATCAGCGCTGTCAGTCAGGCCTGGTAATTGAGCCTCGACTCTGGGGTCCATTCCCTCATCGGGCATGCGGGAGGCAGACCCACCACGTGGAAGACTTGCAGCCAGCTCTAAGGGCTTGCATGAATTCCGCCAAGGTAGCAGTCTGCGATCGGCCTTGATCGGAGGGAAGGAGAATGCTGAGCTGCGATGCAGATTTGCTGTGGCGGGAATTTCAATCTTTGAAAGAGTTTTCTTCTGACTATCCACCAGTTGCTCAAGGTACTGAAGCCTTTC